ATTTAATAAACTTTAAAATCTACTTTATTTTTATTATATTAAAACTATTTAATAAATTTAACTTTTATATAAATTATAAAAACTTAAAAATTATTATTATTATCTTTAAGTAAAATAATATTATAAACTATTATTATATTAAATAAAAATAATATTTAGCTCTATTTTTATTATAATTATAAACTAGTTTTAGGCAAGCTAGGTGCATTTAAATAATTAGTTTTAAAAGTATATTTTAAAAATAAAAATATAATATATTAAGGCTTATAAAAGTTATATTTATAAGTTATTTATTTTAAGGTTAATTTTACCTTATTAGTTATTTTAAATTTAAAATTATTAATATTTAAATTAAAATTTTTATATATAATAAATACCTTTAATAAGGTATAATATATAAAATAATATTATTAATTAATAAACTTATTATTTTTAATTGCCTTAATTAAACTAAAACTAGTTTTAAAAGTATATAATTAGGTAGCTAGTTTTAAAAATATTAATATAATTTAAAATATTATTCTAAACTTCCTATAATATAAAAAATAAATTTCTATTAATATATCTAGCTAGAACTTTTATTTTTATAACTTAATTTAAATTTAAACTTTATTTAAATATTACTCGCCTAGTAGGTATTAAAACTAGTATTATATAAATATATATAACTATATATATTTATAAAAGATTATAATTTATAATATATATATTTATATTCTTATATTATACTAGTCCAATTATATATTAATATATATTAAAATTCTTTTAATTTTAATATAGTAAATATTTTATATAAAGTAGATCTTATAAAAATAATAGTATAAAAAGTGCTATTTTAATATTTATCCTTATATAAGAAAGCCTTATAAATTTAAAGCAATAAAATACTAGTTAAGTTTTATAAATAATTAATAAATGGTATAAAACTAATTCTATATATTTTATTAGTAAATTATATAATATTATTATTTATAATTATTACCTTTTATTAATTATTATTAAAATTATAAATATATTGCTATTAATTTAAAATATTAAACTTTTAATTAAAAGTATAAAATATTATTTAAATAAGTAGTGGTAGTTATAATAAATTTATTATTTATAAAAACTATAAATAAATTATTACTAGTAATAAAATTAAAACTAACTTTATTATAGTTTTAAAATATTTACCCTTATTAATAAAATGTAATTATCCCCTAATAATAACCTTATTTTATTATATATATATAGCTACTTTTAAAACTTATTAATCTTAAATATATAGTTTTTAAAGCTTTTAAATTACTTTTAAAAAGCATATAATAAGGTAATTTGTTTTATTATAATAAATATAATAAATATATTATAATTAATTAGAAACTAGTTTTATATTAATATTATATAATATATTTATAGCTCTTTTATAAATAATTTATTTTTATATATTTTAATAATAAATTTAATACTATTAAAGTTTGAATATTAAAGAGCATATTAATATATAATTAAGGCTTTTAAATAAATATATTTAATAATTTAAGTTGATTATAACACAATTTTTATTATAAAATAATAAAAATAAATTTAAGTTTTAAATATTATAAAATATTATTAATTAATATTTAAATTAAGTTAAATAGAATTTAAAACTAATATATATATAAATATATAAATATAGCTAATTAATTTTATAATTAGTTGAAAACTTTATATAATAAAGCTTTACTAGTTTTATTAGCAATTAAAGGTTTATAATAATAGACTTTATATATTAATAATATTACTTCTTTAATATGCTTTATATTTTTAGAAATAAAAAATAAAGTTATAGCTATAATTAATATATACCTATTATATTAATTTACTAGTATAATTATAGCTTAAAACTAGTTTAATATAAAATAAAATTAAGTAAAAATAGTTATATATAATAGATAGACTTTTAGCTTTACCTTTATATTATAATATTATAAATACTATTATTATTCTATAATATACTATATATAAAATTGCTAAAATAGTTTATAAATTATTAATAGCGCTATATAAAATGGTAAAATATAGTAGAAATTATAATAAAGCTTTTTTATTTATTATAAAATATTTATATTAAATAAAATATTTTTTTATTTATAAATTTAAATTATTTTAAAAAGCGGTTTATATAGGTTTTTATATTTTAAATAAGAAATAATACTCTTATAAATAATATAGCTAGCTATAATTTATATTAATAAAACCTTTTTTAAAACTTTTATATAATTATATTATATTATTTATATATTAGTTAAAAATTAGTTTATTAAAATATATATAAACTTATAATATAAACATTAAAATAAAATAACTATTCTTTATATTTTATATTTTAAAAGCTATTAACTAAAATAATATATTTATTATTTTAATAAAATTTAAGTTTATATTTAAAATATTATTTAAAATATAAAAGCATGCTTTAATATTATTATATTTATAATAATATTTAATATATTAAATATTATTTAAAATAAATATATAATAATAGGTTAGTAGCTATTATTAAAGTATATATTAAATATAATTTAAATAAGTATAAATATATAGCTAGTTTTATATTAGTTTATAATTTAAGCTATATTTATTATATTATATACTAAATTTATAATATATTTTTTATAATATTTATAATTAATATATATTTTTATTTTAATATTTTAAAATAAGGCTAGGTTTTTATATATATAATTTTTAATATAAATAGTTTTAAGGCCTTTATAAAATAATAAATATTATTATTAAATATAATTATATTATTATTATTTTTAATATTATTTTAATTTAAAATAATAATAACTATTTTATAAGTTTAAAATAAGTATAAAATTAGTTAATTATAATATATATATATTAGTTAATAATAATATTAAACATAAGTTAATTATAGTTATTATTTTATAAAATAGGTAAATAAAATATAATTAGTAAGGGAAATTTTAAGCTTATAAGTATTAGGCCTAATATTTTATTAGGGTTACTTTTATTTATTATTAAATTTAAATTAGCTTTATTAGTAGTTAATTTTAAATATATTATTATGCTTATATAATTGGGCTATAGGTAGTATATAAAACCAAACTAAAAGAAGTTTAAAATTAATTTAAAAATTATATATAAAAGTATATATAAAAAAATAGTACTATTTTCTTATTATACCCTTATTATATATTATATAAAGCTAATATATATATTAAGTTTTTTTTAAGTTATTTATTTATTTAACTAGTATAATATTAGATAAGCTTAAATTTTTAAGCCCTTTAATTAGTTGCAGCCACCCCTGTAACGCCCTATAGGTTAGCCTCCACCAGGCTTGACGGTTAGCCGAGCTACCAACCCGCTAGAATTATGATTTAGGCTGAGCGAAGCGGCCGCTGGCTATTACCACAGGCTCGATACTGCAGGCACGTAGTGTAGAGGGGGGAGCCGAAGCGTAGACCAGAGCGCCAGGCAAAACAGACCACCTGTTCGCGCGAATGAAGGAAGAGTACGCACCATATACGCAATATACCGCACCATGATCGTCTCGGCCAGCGGACCGCCGACAAGGCAGATGCCGTCTCACATCATCTCACCTCATCTGACCTGCCTGCGCAACACCGACGCAAAGCTTCTCCCTTTGCACGAGCACGCAGGCACGCAGGCACGCAAGCACAGCCGGGCTACGCTGGCACGACCAACCTGACAGCTCACCGTCCACCGAGTGCCGTGGCTCGTTGGGCGCCCCTCCAGCCCGTAGCGCAAGCCCCCCCCGGGAAATCTTGTTTTTCTCGTGCGCCCTCCCCCCTCCCATCCCGCTTTCAGCTCCCAGAAAGGGGGCCACGATAGCACCACCATCGGTCCAGGTGATCGGGTATGCAAAGCGCGCTACCTAGTGTACTGTAGGGCCGATCGATCTACCGTGGTGCGGCCAGCCCTTCGCTCTGCTCTCGCTCGCAGCAGGAATGCCACAGCCCAGTAGTGCCTTGTCCCCTGCCCGTCCAATAGGTGACGACGCACTTGCGCGGGTGTGGGCGAGGCACCCCCAGGACCGGGTCTCCCAACCCATCGGGCCCCATCCCTAGCTCGTTTCTTTTCGGCGATGGGGAGACCAGTGGCCCGCATTGTCATGGGGACGTAGGTTTGGGCGACACCCCAGATAGGGTGTGTGCCGGAGTACGGAGTACTCGTACATACACACACTTAGAACACACAGACATCAGACACCAGTCAGGTAGACAGCCAGATAGACAGACAGCCAGGCTGACTGACTGACTGACAGATAGGACGGACAAGGGCCTGGGCGGAACGTACCAGACGGCTTTGCATCATCGCATTGGCGACCGCCCGCCCGGGTACGACAATCGTGATCAGCTGCGCAGGAACCCGAGATTCTGACAGGCTGGCCCCGTGGGAATGGGCTGCGGGCTGCAGATGGGCCAGTTCTTCGGTGTTTCTGTTGGGTTGGGGGGTCTGTTGGTTGGTCGGCTCTGCCTTGCCTTTGGCTGCCTACTCCTGGCTGGTCCTTTTGGTGTGCAGTCTGTGTTTGTCTCTCCTGTTCGTCGTGTCGCGTCAGTGGGACGAAACCACCCCACAGCCCACCCGAGCCCCCGTGTTTGCTTTGGCTCGGCCTTACTCTGGCGGTGGGAAAAACAACAAACCCCCACGTAGGAAGGTGGTGGTGGGACAGCAGATACCACAGTAGCAGCAGGGCCGTGGGAAGGGTAAGTTGTCTCATGCGCAAGCAACCAGCGACCAGGCGACGGGAGAGACAGTCACTGCCTTGGCGCAGTGTGTGAGACAATACACACAAGACAGATTAATCGATTGCTTGTGCAGACGGACAAACAAACATATAGGTGCGAATGGACGGGTAAATCAGACAGGTCCCCTTGGGCGGTCTGCCTGCCTGCCTGCCTGCCTGCCTGTCATGTCATATCAGCCCCTCTCAGCCCTTTCCATGGGCCAGCAGGGCTGGCAGGTTGCCAGACTGGGCCGGCACAACTGCACCATCACGGAAGCATGCGTGTGCGACAGGAGATCATATCCTCTTCCAGGTGCTTCCTGACACTATTCTGCCATGTAACGTGCTCTCGTCGGACCTCAACCGCGGCTCAAGTGTAAGCCGGAGCAAAGCCACCGTGCCTCAAAGCCGCCGTCATGTGGCCTCGGGCCATGGGACAGACGTCACTGTCAACCGTCGCGATTGGGAACATCGGGGACACGGCTGGGTCATCACTGGGGATACGATGACTGTTCAAGTGTCCGTTCTGTGATCACACCGGTTGCGATTACACTGCTTTCACGCTTTCGGTCTGGCACTGCCAGAAGCGCCTGAAAATGCCCGTAAGCTTTCCTATTCTACCTAGTCTGCGGTGCTGAAATGCAACTATTCAAATGAGATGGGGGAGGCCGTCTTAACTTGAGGTGGCCTTGAGGGGGTATCCTATCCTGCGACAAAGACGACAAAGACAGTCGGTCATCTATGGCACCATTCAGTCCGTCATACTAGACGTATATACTTTGTGAACCGACAGGATGTTGGTAAGAATGGAAACTCCAGAAGCTGTGGCCGCGATGCAGTGTTGTTCTCCAACCCAGATGTATTAAGCCCGACATGGAGACCAAACACTTCGGACCAGCTCCAGCCCGGCCGAAGATCACAGCGTTTGCTTGTCTCCATCACCAGCTCTCGGACGCCAATCGGATTTGGTGGGCTTTTTCTATTGTGTTCGTCCATGTCATTCGGCAGCGTATTAACCCATTTCCAATATCATAATGTGTCTCGTAAACCTCGGCCGGGGCCGCTCTACTCCCTGATGGCCGACTCTCTCGGGCTCGTAACCTCCTCTTTCTTTGCGAACCACCCACCGATCCAGCTCTGTCGCTTGTTCGCCGCAGCCTGCGCCTCGTTGTTCTCCTGCACCAACCTAAGTGGGCGAGGCTTGTTGCCCGCATCGAATTTCTGTGTGACCTTCTTCTCGCGGGGCGGGCTGTGGTTTGGCGTGCTGCTGATGGTGTCCCTGTCGTTCGTCATCTGGGACGACGAGTCGCCGCTGACGCTCGAAGTCTCTGAGCGCATACCGGGGAAGTTGCCAGGGACAGAGCTGGCAGTCGCTCCAGAGGTATTGCGCTCACGCTGTGGGGTGCTGAAGAAGGTCTGCGAGTTCCGCGAGATGGGGGACAGAGGCCCGTCCGGCCCCTTATACATCTGGTTGACAACAGATGCGGCCCCGGTGATCTGTTCGCTCATCGGCCGCACACGCCGCGTGGACTGCGAGCGCCCCAGACCGATCGGAATACTAGGTGCCGTGTCGGGGTTGGAGAACTGCGCGAGATTAGCGGCGGTTGGCATCACCGACATGGGCCTTGGTCGGGGCTTGGTGGCCGCTTGTGGGTTGGAAATAGCCATGGACTTGGCCCGCTGCAGCACCGAGGAGCCAGAGGCCTCCCTTGGTGGTGGCGGCAGGTCTTTGTTGGTATCTGGCTTCGCCCCCGGCTCAGTTTGATCGAGGATGTGCTCAAAGTCCTGGTGCTGCAAAAGGCGCTCGATGATCCTGTTAATATAAAGCGTCAAGGCCTTGTTCTGGTCCTTCATGGACCGCACATCGCCTTCAAGTCGGCGGACGATATCGCTCTGGTCCTCTCCGTCGGCAGCGTCGCCGAGCTCGTCAGCAAGGCTGGCTCCGCCGGACTTGCCCTCGAGCGCGGCAAGTGCATCGTCGTTGCTTTGTGGCCCGCCCATGTAGCTGAAGTCACTGTTCTTGAAGTCGCCGTTCAGGGTCTTCTCCTGCAGCAGCAACTGATAGCTCTCGTTGTCCTCCATGAGGCGCGCGTTGGCCATGCGAGTCTCCATGAGGAGCTTCTCGACCTCCTGCAGCCTGCCGCCGCCGCGGTTCTCGGACTCGACAAGCTTGATCTGGGCCTCCGCCAGTTCCAGACGCAGAGACTCGATGAGCTTGTCCTTCTGCATGACGAGTTTCGACTGGTTCCTGGAATCGCTGCGCTGCAGAGACGCAGGCGGTGCAAAGCTGCCACCTTCGAGGCCAGGGGAGGTTGGGTTCACTGGTTGAGGAGCCGTTAGTATCTTGCTTAGATGATGAGAGTCGGTAATAGGTGCTCATGGCGCTGCTCTAGTACTTACGGGACCTAGTCGACCGAACCTCATCATCGTTATCTTCCTTGCTCATCTTCTGGTTGAGAGAGTCCTTCAAACGTGCAATGATCATCTGCAGCTGCTCTTCGCGATTTGACATTTCCTCCTTTTCCTTGACCATGGAGGAGCGCTCAGCCTCATAGATGGCCTCCATCTCCCTGATCTTTCGGGTGGCCTCGCGCTGCTCATTCTGCAGAGCCTCGATCTGCTCCTCGTGCTCGTGGCACTTCTCTTCGTATTTGACCTGCTCGCTGACCGTCTCGTCGAGCCTGGACTGGAGCACCTCGGCCTGCTTCCTGTACTCCTCGGATGTGGTCTCGGCCTTGGCCAGCCTATCCTTCAGATCATCGAGCAGTGCGACTGTTTCGGCGCGGGCTGCCTCCTCAGCCTCGACAGTGGCGGTGTTGCTGGAGGGGCCGTTGGCACTCGCGAGGGGCGATTCCCGCCTTTGTCCTGCAGCAGCACGCGCGGAGACAGGTGTCCCTGATCGGAAGGAGCGCGAACGGGCATGGCTTTGTGGGCTGCTGCCCGCAGCAGTAGCAGTAGCAGCATTGGATGTAGGCGTGGAAGAGCGTGGCGTGGCACGCGACGACGTAGAAGACGACGATGCCAGGGTCGAGGTAGGGTCTCGACCTGTGACAGGCGGTTTTTTGGCCGCAACGGTTGACATGATGGCCGTGTGGATGTTGTCTCGTTGTTGTTATGGTGTTTCGAGAATGTCTCGGCTGGGCTGAAGAGAAAGAAACAAACAAAGAGTTAGAGAAACACGCTAGGACTCGCAAGTAGCGGTTATAACAGGAGTTGCAGGGCGTGGGCAAGTGTTAAGCAAGATGCGGTGAGAGAGGTGGTCCGTACCGACACTCCTCTTTCTCTGGATGCTGTCAAAGTGGATATCCGGTTGGGAGGATGGAATGGCGACTAGCGCGATGCCATGGGGATCTGGAGCGGGCAGCGATTCGAAGATAGAGATGCAATTGTGGGTGCGGACGGGGTTGTCTGTCTGCCCAGTGTTTGGACGATGCTGGAATACAAGACCTGGTTGATGTGATTTGTGTTTAGCATGCGTGGCCCAGCAATGAGGACGCAGGTGGCGCTGGCAGGTCTCGAAGAACGCGATTGACTCGGTGCAATCCAAGGCACGTCGGACCAGCAAAGAATACAAGCAAAGAGCAGGGCACGGCAGAGTTGGGGCAAAGCAGAAGCGGCTTGGGGTTGGGGATTCCGAGAGAGAAGCGGGCAGTGATTGGCAGGGCGACCGGGAACAAGTGTGTTAGGGCGGTGTTAAGGCTCGCGGGCCAGCTGGTATGGGATGCATAAACAGAAGGGAGAGTGAGTACACAGTACTCCGTAGGTTCTGCCCCTTTCTTTTCCCAATCAGCAGCGCAGACCGAGGAACAACATACTCATTGCAAGACTTCCAGAATGCAGCTTTACTGCAGGAACTGCTAGGGTCTACTGCCCTACAGTGCATACTACATAGTACGACAATTCCACAGGGTGCAGCCGCTCTCTGTGTCGAGAGCTGACGTACCTGGGTACCTAGGTATCTACTCCGTAGGTACCCAGGTACGGAGTACCCTGGTAGGTACCGTCGCGCAGGGCTGGTCGCACAGTGTCCTCAAACCGTGCCAGCAGAGGTTAATCGCCTTTGATATCTGGTTCGATGGCGCCTGTTGATTGATTATTGGGCCATTCTCCGGGGGAAGCGCCCAAAAGTACATACCGTCTGCCAGTAGAATTCGCACGTCGAACGACTATTGAAACAAACCCGGCCACATGAGTGACTCAACCAGCTCAACTCCCTGCGAGCAACATCCCAGCCTGATATTCAGCCCAAATCTGGCCCAGGCACAGGCGCAATGCACAGACTCGACCGACGGCAACGCTTCTTGGCCTTCCCAAAGGCCCGGATCTTCCATGGTGGCAGGCATGCCTCCCTCATTTGCCGGCTCATCTCCATGTTTATGCCGAACAGGCAGACAAGGACGCCCGGCCTACACCGTATGTCCTGGCAATTATCTGCTTGTAAGCTCCACGTGACTGGGCATGCATGATCTCGCCCTGGGGAGAAGTCGACATCAAATCTCGGTTGTCCTGCGGCTTGCCAATCTCGACCAGGACCTTCTCCGGGGGACGTCTCTTATTGTTCTGGGGATACAACCCGTCTGCCCTCCCACGGAAGCATCTTTGAAAATTGCTTGAGACGGTCTGTACAGAATGGCCATTAATCATGCATCTTCAGATCACACAGGGTGGGCGCCACTTGGGCGGGCTTCCCAACTGCGGTGCGAACATACAGACATACCGAGGCTCCAGCGCCAGAGGATGATGGCATGGGGCTCGTCGGACCGCATTCCAGCACGCTTCTCTTTCCCCACATCTAGGCCCAAAGTTTTGTCTGCCTTGCGCAAGAAGTGCTCAGTGCTTCGGCGGGTTCAGCGGAGACAGGATAGCTCCACCTCGGGCTTGTCCGTGTTCTCCGCGCTTTGCTGGCGTGGGCTGCGTGGGTGGTGAAGTCCGGCGTCCACGGATAGCAGGCCTAGCAGGCCTAGCAGGCCGCTGGTTTGCTGATGAGGAAGGGCTCAAGCTCGCAAGCCAAGGCGTGCCCAATAACGTATCTCAGTTCGTGCGTACTGGATCTGAACTAATGACAGTGGACAAGACGGGCCTGAGCCTTTGAATGGTGATATAACAACTAAATGGCAGTGGTAATGTAGTTTCAAGGCTGGCAATATCCATCCTAGTGGCAACAGATCTCGCATTGCCACCACGAGAAGCCACTCAGTTGCGGCACAGCTCTTGGAGCTTCTCTTCGCGTGTGATCTCCAAGACCAATGAGCTGCCTGGACTGAGAATGTCAACTGGGAAAGGCAAGCCAGACAGCGAACTTATTCTTTCACTGGGATGCGCTTCAAATGCTGCTCGTGCTCCGCCTTGCAGATATGTTCCTTACTTGACAACCCCCAGCCCGGACTCAAAACCTTGGCCCGGGGTTCTCCTAGGATATTCGACGCCAATGTTGTCGAGGAGAACGAGCTGAGCGTGAAGCAAAGTCTGAGAGCCGAACAATCCTCTCGGGTCAACAGCGCCATGTCTTCCACGTGTCTAGGGCGCACCTCTATCCCTTCCGAGGCCATAAGCCATGTTCTGTAGCATACGGGGTACCTGTTCTCTAAAGCGACATCCAAGCAGAGTCAATAACTATGCCGACCAAGAATGGCCAAGGACGAGCGTTTCGCTGGGCATTTTGCTGAGTTTCTTGTCTACGCTCCTTAGCTGAGAGGACAATCTAGTCCCTCAAAGTGTGGGCATCTAGGGTATGGTTCAATCAACATCCCAAATCCCCCGCCGCGAAACGGCTACGATTCAAGCAACGCAAAAGCAATGGCGACTGCTGCATTCGTCTTTGTGGTATCGACCACTCGACGGAGCGCACTCGTGTTTGCACAGGATATGCTAGTCGTTAAGTGCTTGGGAGGTCCACCTCCCGCGCCTTAAGCTGTGACAGATTTTCACGCAGCAATCTGAGTCTTGATTCGGCCTCAACACTCGGGGCACGGGAAGGCGAAAAGCGGCCATAGGCTTTACTATTCGGTGCAGGAATAGCCTCTGATATGATCGTAGCCACGGGTTTGCAAAATACGTAAGCCGCACCAGCCTCATCGTACGTGACAAGGTAAAGCATTCAATGCTTGACCTTTTGGCGCCGACAGGACGTTGAAATCCTGGATAGTCGCCGGCTTTATCAGCCGTGGCTAGATACCGCGCGGCAGGATAAAGTCTGTCAGGTATCGACACTTGGGCGTCGAGCTCATGCCTTCTCATGGTTCTAACAGCAGGCATCATGTGTTACGACAGTTCCGCTGTACCGTTGCGATACCAGACATGCGTTCGCGCTTATTGGCCAAGAAAGGATAATGTGCTGCATGTGACTCTACGAGTTCCATTCATTACAAATGGTCATAGAATGCTGCGAGCACTCAGGACACATGCTGGCATCGCTAACGGCGATACCGGGAGAGACCTGAGGACTGTTACGAGCCTAGGATAGATAGTTCACAAAATCTTGCAAAATGTCGCCCGAAGCTTGCAGAGGTGGTGCCAAGACGGCGGCGCGGCTAGGTGTGGATTGGTGCTGGGTGAAGCAGATCTCATGATGCTACCCTAGAGCCATTCAGAGGATGGGAGACCTCGTCCTTTTGTGGTCTGTCGTGAATGACAACCTGGTATCATGTCCTGTACTGAAAAAAGTTTTCCGTTCCCATGCCATGTAACAAAATGACCGTGTGTGAAGCATTTGCATCGCCATTGCCCAACCAGACGCCGTAACCGTGACACCCGCGATCCTAGTGATAGGTCAAGCATTCTATGAAGCCTGCTCGCTGAGGATGTCGGAGTCACCAGCGTCGAGGACGGCCATGGTGGAGCATCGGAAGAGCTTTCCGCAGGCAGTACCCAGCTCGATCTGAGCGGAGGAAGAGGTTAGCCATCGCGTTCACCCTCCAGAGAAAACAGGTCTCTCCTTCGCTGGGTTGGAGGACGCCGAACAGACGGCGCTGTTGCGTCCTCCGCAGAAAGGGCGTGTGATGCCTTTGTTTCCCATTGTTGTCTTTTTTTGCTAATCTTCTCCTTCTTCTCTCCCTCAACTTCGTGGGGACAAACTTACGTTGGTGCCGCCGTAGTGGTGGACCGGGGCCTTGGACAGCATGGAGTAGTACTCGAGCTCCGACTTGCGGAGAGGAGGGGTGTTGCCGGCGATGAGGACCAGCTTGGCCTTGCCAGAGCGGAGAGCTGGAAGCGACGGCACATTAGCACGAGTTCACATTTTTTGGGTGCACAGGATAGAGCATTAAGCGGACTTACCCTTCAGAGTGGACTTGTAACCCAGAACGACCTTACCCGACTTCATCACCAGGGCGAGGCGAGAGTTGAGGGTGTCACCGGTCTTGGTCTTCTTCTTGGGGGCCATCTTGACTGATTTGTGGTGATCTGGTCTTGATCTGGGTCTGGTCGAAGGATGGGAGATGGGTTGTCAGAAGAGGGTCGACGATGAGGCACGGTCGACAACGAGAAAAGTTCACTTGGACGCACGGCTGGCTAGCAACTTTCCGCTCAGAGCGAGTGGAGATGCCGGCCAATCATAGCGTAGCAGCGGCGGACAAACCCTAGGCCAGAGCACGTGAATAAGTGGGGCGGCTTCGGCGTGCGGAACCTGCAGGTGTGCGGCGTGCTAGTGGCGCACCGCAGCGCTGCCAGAATGGGCTCGCCGGCTGTGCTGCTTTGAAATCAGGCCAGGAGACGGCAAAACCAGAAAAGAGGGACAGCCCCCGTCATTTCCACCCTGCACACCACACCCAGCAAACGCAACGAAGCACCACTACCCATCACGACATATTACCGTCCACGAGACAGAAATCAGTCAAGATGGCCCGTCGTCCCGCTCGTTGCTACCGTTACTGCAAGAACAAGGTGAGCGACGACCCTGCTGCGAGCGCTGCAATTTGAAGAAGAGGATTTCGATCTGGAGAATGGGAAAAAAGGCGTCGAGGACTGCCAAGGAAGGAAACACTTCGTCTACAGACACAAGAGGAGACGGCGAGACGCCCTGAGGAACCTCCCGACACGCTTGTCGATACCATGTCGCTGTCGGGAGGCCGGGGTTGTGGGAGGTCGTCGAGTGATTTGCCTCTGCATCCCAACAAACCCGCAGAGATCACAGCTCTCTCCATCGATCGAGTCCATCGACATCAGTAGCAGCGCTCCAGCACGACGTCACTACAGATAGACAGTATTGCTAACTTGATGACACTCAGCCCTACCCCAAGTCCCGGTTCAACCGTGGTGTCCCCGACCCCAAGATCCGCATCTACGATCTTGGCCGCAAGCGCGCTACCGTCGACGACTTCCCTCTCTGCATCCACCTCGTCTCCAACGAGTATGAGCAGCTGAGCTCCGAGGCCCTCGAGGCCGCCCGTATCTGCGCCAACAAGTACCTTGTCAAGGTCGCCGGAAAGGAAGGTTTCCACCTGCGTGTCCGCGCTCACCCTTTCCACGTCGTCCGTATCAACAAGATGTTGTCTTGTGCCGGTGCCGATAGACTGCAGACTGGTATGCGTGGTGCCTGGGGCAAGCCCAACGGCACTGTCGCCCGTGTCAACATCGGTCAGATCATCATGTCTGTCCGTACTCGTGACTCCAGTATGTGCCCACTCCATGAATACTGCCCGTTGCTCGGACGTCCCGAGCAGGGACGAGCAGGGACAACAGCCATGAATGTCTGCTGACGTACCATGATCAGACCGTGCCACCGCCCTCGAGGCCCTGCGCCGATCCCAGTACAAGTTCCCCGGTCGCCAAAAGATCATCATCTCCAAGAACTGGGGCTTCACCCCTCTCCGTCGCGAGGAGTACCTGGAGAAGAAGGCTGCTGGCCGCGTCAAGGTGGACGGTGCCTACGTGCAGTTCCTGAGCAACCACGGTCCCCTGAAGGAGAACATGAAGCGCTTCCCCGAGGCCTTCTCCGAGGCTTAAGCGTCTTCTCTTCTTTTTGCTGCATGACAAGTCAAAAACCGTACTGCATTTGGGATCCGGGCTGGCGTAAAATAGGGTTTACTACGAAAGGTCGAGGGGCTACGTTGATTCAGGCTAGATGTTCTTTCCTAAGGGAAAAAGAAGTAGCTACGACTCAGTCAAATCGGATTTCAATCCATGGGGTTTACCACAAAGATTACTTGACTCCGCCAGTGACGGCAGCTGCAATGCAATGTGCGGGATGATGACATGAACTCTTCTTACACTTTGGGAATCCCAACGAAGTGGGAGACCGCACTTATAAAGCCCAATGACTCTCGCAGACTTGCTCCAAGAAACCCGGGACCTGTCACCCGTGACCCTTCCGAGACACCGGTACCGGCCGCGAGACCAGCAGTAGTTGCTGGTGGCGGTAGGGGCCGGGTTGTGAGGACACTTGACTGCCCAGGTAAGGATACCTAGATACCCAGCAGCACGCCAGAAGGGCATGATCCTCAGTCGCTTGTGGTTGGTTCATGTCATCTCGTACGGGCACGTTACTGCACAAAACATGGGTTGCCTGCATAGTGGACTCAAAGTAGACTATACGTGCTCGTGTGATCATTGTTAGCCGCGGCGAACGCTCATCTCGCGAGCCGGCAAGCCTGGAACATCAAGAAAGACTGGCAGATACCCACCGTTTTCATCATAGGGCAAAATTCTGCAACATCTTCGGCGAGTTCACGAGTAAGTCGCTGGTGAGACCAGCAGGTTCTGAAAGGCACCTAAGCTTTTTGATCTTCGGCGTTTGTGAATCAGGGGAAGAGGTCTATTCGCCTCCCCAGATGCCGAGATCCCCAAGTCCTCCGTTGATGACAACGCAGGTTTGAGGCCTTGATGAGTCACTCCGACTTACAAATCGTTATGCTCGTACAGAGATGCATCGGCTTGTCGGCCACGGGCAGATTGGCAAAGGTTTGAGGCCAACGTGGTGAACCAAAGGCGACATCGAGGGTTGCAAAGGGTCCGATCCATCCATCTTATCATCCCGGGCCCGCTCTTGAGATAAAGGAGATCGGGGGTAGCGAGGACCCGCCCCAACATTATGCAGAACAGGTGCACTACTGCGTACTGCGAAATGGGAACGGCCCATCGTCAGCCCTGCCAGGAGACGTGGGCAGGCGGTTCGCTGTGTTTGAGATTTGGTCATCCACCCATCTGCCCAACCACCCTGTCTGTGCTGTCTTGCCAGGTGTGTGCCGGGGGAAAAGTAATGGGACGAAGGTGGCAATGTGAGGTGATTGTCGGCGGGGGGGGGGGGGACAAAGAGAACACGCTGCAAACATGCCACGAGTCGGGCTACCGTGACGGTACACTATAATCGACATGCGGTCGCAACCGTCAAGTCTGAGCCCATGGGGGCCATGGCTGCAGGTTGGAACCCGTTCCAAGGACGAAAGGGGCCAAGCTGAAGGATCTCCCAGGTGTGTAATACAAGGCGCGGGAGCTTATGTTTGATAAGATTAGGACGTGGGCTCCTGGCATCCCACATCCCACATCCCATTCAACTGCGCTGCTGCGCGACTCGCAAGAAGACGCTCGGATGGCAAATCCAATGTCCCTCCCTCTCTTCCCCGGGGGCCATGGTCTGGAAAGCTGGATCAGCGCGGTTGGGGACATCTGGAGGCGCTCGTCATCTCTGTGAAACGGACGTCACCAGGTAGCGCTACCGGCTTGCAGCCGGTGAGGGGCAGCCAACTGCAGGTACCTGGACGAGCTGGGAATGCTAGTATGTACCTACCTTTCTGGGTACCTACCTGGTAGCACGTAGTCGCTCTCGTCTCCAGTCACGCCGCTTATCACTGGTGGGGGTTGACGCTCCGAAAAAGCAAGCGACAGACATGTCAACGACATCAGCAAGCACATCAGCACACGCCCAACCCGTCTGCCCGTCCAGCTGTTGTCTCACCACCCTCCCTTCCTCTCCTTCCTGCCCCCATTCTGTACCTCCTCTTCCTGCCTGCCTCTAGCACCTGCACACCGAATCCGCCGGTACCGCGTCGGGTGTGCCGTCGTTGTATGCTGCTGCTCGTGGACTGGGCTCCCTTGACCTACTCAGCGCCATAACACACACCACCACACCACCACACCACCGCATTGTTGGGGCTAGCCGTCCCGTCATTTACTCATCACCACCCCTCCCTCCCTCTTGTCCATCCGCTTTCCCTGGGCACGCTCCGGCTACAGGATACCGTATACGTGTTGCTTGTTTCTGTAGAAGGCACGACGAGATCCTCGTCCTCCTCTTACGGCTCTTTGAGCAACAACTTTGTCCTCTCCTACTGTTCTTGTCTCGTCATCCTCCTCAGTCCTCAGTCCTCCCAGGGTTGCTCTTCCACCGGAGACGTTTAGTCATTCTTGGTGCTCTTGACGACATCCTTACCGGGTCCCTTGTCCCGAATTACGTCCGTACAAACCCGACATAGCTACGTGCTTTAGTCGGCTCCGTTCGACCCTGTCTCCACTATCAGTCTCCTCCTCGACTGCGAAAGTGGCTCTCTGACACCACCATTGCCCTTATTACCCGTCGCTTGGGTGCGCCTCACTGTATCCGCTCCCGTGGGACGGAGGACGACGGGTTGAGCACGATCCACTCATCATGCCATCTCGCTTCTAAATATCGCCTCCCGACCTCGACACAGCAGTTTGCTGCCTGTCCTCGACATCAGATTCCCATACATACTTGAAGCACCTGCGTCGGCTGTGCCCGCAAGCCATATCTCTCCCGCCTCCTTATCTAAACCATCTGGGCTTCGCAACCCCGCGGCTACTACATCGCTCCAGATCTATCTAATCATTTCCACATATATACCCTATTGTACAGAATGGCCTTCCATCAACCTACGAGACAAGTTGCACGGCGCACTTCTCGTGCAGTCGCCCCGAACTCGGCGGATCTAGAGGCGCTCGCACCACGACCTCCTCTAACACAGTCACGCGACGAGTCGCAAACATGGGTCCTATTCTCGCCTGCCACCGACTCGGGAACCTCTGTCTCCTATCTGTCGTCGATACAAGACGAGCAGCCCACACCTGGCCGGTCAAGGATAAGCGACATTGGAAGCCTTCAAACAATAGCACAATCCGACCACTTCTATTCCGAACCTGCCAACTCCGACGTCCTCGAGGAAGACGACGCGAACGAGGACGATGCCGAGTTCGACAGTCTTGACAGTCACTTGCCAGACTTCCTGCACAGGGGGCAGCAAGGAGGAAACACACAGTCTACCACTATTTTCCCAGGCCACGATGGGTTGGGCAGTTTCAGACTTGACACCCAAGGATTGGCAACAGAAATGCAGGAGACAATGTATCAGTTTGAGCGTTACAACCCCCGCAGGGTCAAGAGACGACGAGAGTCTCTGGAACTCGGTCAGCTTGCTTTGGAGAGCGAGGAGGCACAGGAAGCTGATAGACGGCGGCGCATCGAGGAATGGCGCCTCGAGCAGAGCCGAGTATTATTACAAGAGATACAGAACGAGACGAGACGTAGGAGAGAATCGACCGTGTCTGCGCTGACGGGCGGGCTCAGGAGAGGAAGTCAAGCATTTGTGGATGCTGAGGCCGAGGACGCGGCGCTGAGCACGGCTGGCGATCCGACGCCCGATGCTTCCATGGCAGGGACTGAATGGCATGACCAGGATGCATCTGAGATGGATCTCGGCGCTGGAGAGACCGAAGAAGCGGGTTACTGGACGCGTCTCACACGAAGCGTCATCCGTGACCTGATGGGCATTGATGATAAGCTGCTGTGCGTGCTTTTCGGCGAGGCACTTCCTGGGGATATGGATCTCGACACTGACGACCTGTCATCCACGCCGCGGGCTGCTGCTCCTGGGAGCAGTGCGGCAGAGTCAGAGTCATCTTGGCAGCTTCAACTCCTTGACAGGATGGCCCGGGAGCTTGGCGACCTGGTCAACCACCTGTCTGCTCACCCGCACCCTGGGGCCTTCTCAACATACACTCGCATGCAGCAGATGCCCCTGCCTTACGCTGGACTGCCTGTTATACCCGAAACTGCTGCTACCCCTGCACAGTATGCCTCAGTGCAGGCCGTGCCTACGGTCACTGAGCCGACCGAGGCGATGAGGCCTGCGCCTTCGAGGAGGCCTTCGACCGCGGAGGAAAGCACAATGGCATCCATGCCTAAATTCCAGCCTACGCTACAGGCAGTGCCCCATGCACAGCCCATGGACATACCTCGGACAAAGGCTGCAGAGGGTTCAACCGAGGCATCTGGGTCTGAGAAGCTCGCGGGCACTTTCACACAGCAAGAGTGGGAGCAAGACCTAGACATCAAGCTTGTATTCCGGTATCTGCGTAACCGATTCACCTCGTCACGTGCTGCGGCTTCGAATGCCACTGGGCACTCGCAATCGCATCCCCACAACCCTTCCTCGGCTCAAGATGCAGCAGCGAGAGCAGCAGCCCGCGTGAGACAACATCATCCCCTCGTGCGTGGTGTCCACTCTCATCAAAGACGGACTTCTTTCAAGGTCAGCGTGCCTGCAGGTGCGCAAAGCCAACTAGTCAGGCACGCCAGCAGCTGCGCCAGCCAGAGTACTAAGAGGAGTGGGCGGCGGGGAAGCATGAGTGTTTCGTCGAGACACTCCAGCAGGCATTATTGGGACCTTGGTGCGCGTGACGGCGCGGGTAGTATTGGCACCGGAAGCATGATCGCCAGCACGGGGCCGATGGGGAGCTGGGGGGAGGTCTAAGAACGGCTTAGAGATCAGTGTACGATTACCCGTGGGATGATAATGACGGCATGGCTCGGTGAAAGGCGCTTCTGGTTGTTTTCATTGTTATTTCTCGGCCCGCACATGGTTGTTGGCGAGGTTTTCGCCGACCGGCCGGGTGTGGACGAATATACACAGGAGGAATAAGGGAGCGCAGCATAAACCTACCTCATCTTGGGGCATACAGCAGCATAGATTTAGCTCGAGTACTGAAAGATATCCCAGCACCAACGTTTCATAGCTCTGCTGATAGGAAGCATCTCGTGTACTCATGTAAGTGTATGGCCCTGGAGGCTGGCGTCGAGGAAGCAAGCAAGTGTCAAGAAAGCGTCTAAATCTACTGTTTTCAAATTCCCTCATGTCATTTCTCGGCCGGTTTGAGGAACTTGTTTGGTCCCTCCAGGTATCATGAAATTACCATCAAACAGTTGTTTGAAAGTCAAACCAAGCTTTTCCCGCGCCACATGATCTATACCTAAACGCCGATACAATGAATCAAATGAAGTCCTTTCTTCCAACACCGGACAGCGCCGTGCCCAAAAATTAATCACCCCCCGCGGGGGGGGGGGGGCACACGCCTATGCGAAATGAATGTGCTCCTTGTTGAAGGCGTAGAGCAGTCTCAGGAACGCGTTCTCGTCCAGCTTACCCGCGCGCTCGTCGGCCAGCCCCGTGGTCTCGAGCACTCGCTGCACCTTTGACCGCACCAGCTCTGCGACCTTGGTCTTCTTCCTCCTGCTGGGCGTCTTGGCCGGCTTCGCGGCCGCGACCGCGGCCTGCTCTTTGAAGAATGCGGGCACGTCGTCCTCGTCGTTGCCGCCTTCATTGCCGTCGACTTCCATGATGCCGCCCCACTCCTCGTCATCTTCCTCACCGGCGCCGTCGCCGTTGTTGTCATTGCCGTCCACGTCCATGCCCATTATTTCGTCCTCCTCGTCCTCGGCGCCGGTCTCGACGGCGCTGTCATCCACTGGGACGTCGTTCATGGCGCACCAGGTGCGGTAGTTCTTCTCGACCATGGCGAGGACCTCCTTGGTGCCGAAGCTGGCGCGCACCGTCTTGTTCTTCCTGCTGAAGACGACGCGCAGCAGGCCGTCGAACTCGGCCCAGCTGACGGCGGGGCGGTCCTTGCCCAGTTTGGGCTCGATGCGCACCACTGACGACTCGACCTGCGGCGGGGGCTTGAAGTTCTGCTTGCCGACCTTCATGATGTGCGTGATCTTGGAGAAGAACTGGGCGTTGACGGACAGCCGGTTGTAGAGGGCGTCGCCTGGGCGGGCGGTCAGGCGAAGGGCGAATTCTCTCTGTTGGTGGGATGGTCAGCACATAGCACATGGCGCCGGTACGCACTGGCGTGACGGACGGGGGTGGGTGCCATACCTGGAACATGAGAACACAACACCTCGGGGGGTTCGGCATGCTAAGGAGCTTAAAGACGAGGGGACTCGAGATCTGGTAGGGCGTGTTGGATATGCAGACGTCGTGGGGCGGGAAGTCGAGCTTGATGGCGTCGCCCAGCAGGACCTCGAGCTTCTTCTGGGACGGCGTGCCCATCACACGCTTGGTGATCTCGGCGGCCATCCTGGGGTCCAGCTCGACAGCGTACAGCTTCTTGGCCTTCTCCAGTATGCGCACGCTGATGTTGCCCGTTCCGGGGCCGATCTCGAGGACGGTGTCGGTGGGCTTGAGGTACGACTTGTCGACGATGGCGTCGGCTATGCCGGGGTTCTTGAGGATGTGCTGGCCGACATTGGTATTAAACTTGAAGACATTGTTCTTGCTCGTGGTTGCTGCGCCGCCGGGTTTCTTGGAAGGGCGTTCGTAGGGGGTCGAGGACGACGATGCGCCTTTGCGCTTGGTGGATGCTTTGCCCATGTTGTGGGAGGTGACTGGGCGGGCAGATTGGACTAGGTTGTTTTCATCACCGGTCCTGGCAGTCGTTGGAAGGCGTGCACAAGCAGGTGGTCGAGTAAGTGCGAGCATATGAGGAGTATTGTTTTGCTATCTTGGTCCCCGAACCAAAAAATATTCTTATCGATAAGTACCTAGGTAAGGAAAGACTGCGGAGGGACGGCCCCGCTGCTGAGAGACCCTCGGGTCGGGCGACAGCGTGGGTCGCAGCTCCGCGCCCGGCCAACTGGGGCCGTAGTGCGTCTACTTGCTCGGTAAGTCGACCGTCACGGCAACACCAGCGGGGCCAGCCACTTTGAGGCGTCACTATTGTACTGCCAACGGTGATGAAGATGCCACGCCAGCTGAAAAGTGCCTGTTCCAGAGTTGCCTTGTCCCACGCACAAGCCCATTGCTTTGCGGCCCCAAGAAGTGGCTCAAGGGGAGAGAGAACGTGGGCCAGACTGTTGGGGCACCCAATCTGAAACCCACCTTTTCATCAGCAGCATCGACAGCATCGACAGCATCGACACGCATATCCACACCGCAGCGCCTAGCCAGGCACACCCACAAGGTTCGAGGATCTGTTGATCTGCCGAGGCGTTCGAGTCGCTGAGGACGTGTATCGGAGGCCTTCGCCACGGCCCATCCCCAGTCACCCGTCGCCAGTCAGACGGAGCAGTGAGGCGAAGCACGCCTGCTTGCGTCGTCCCGGCCCCAGCCAGCCCAGCCAACCACACTTGCCACCGAGCTTAAGCCTCTATCGACGCCGTGTCTGCTTCGACCTTGTCCAAAAAGCACCTGAGCTCCTACTTTGTGCTGTTGTCTCACCAATCTCCAGTTGAATTCCAATACAAAAGTATTATTATTTGGTCGCTCCCACGAGTTGTCTGCAGTCGGACCCTGGTACCGGGGTGGTGCTGATATTGAAGCTCACATCACTCACCCTGAGCCTGACTCCGAGCCTTCACGGGGGAGAATGCGGTCCTGAGTAACGCCTGCAAGGACAGCCCCAATAACACTTCCTCTGTGACCACTGCAGAATCCCGCCCCGCCCTCACCATGTCGATCCGGATAGCCCTGGAAAATCCGCCCGAGTTCTACACCAACCTCGATGCCATCTCCGGGAAGGTAATTCTGGGCATTAGCCGGCCTGAGCAAATCGGCGCCGTCATCGTCAAACTCGAAGGCGAGTCCAAAACATCCCTGGGTGCTCCGGATGACGCAGGACTCCAACTGGACGCCCCGAATCGACGCAGGGCTACTGTCGCGGAAAACTCTCAGACCCTTCATGAGAACCATAAGATTCTCTACAAGGTCCAGCAAGTGTTTCCCGGCGACAATGTCCCTGCCTATGCCTCCCCGGTCGTCCTCAACCCAGGTCAACACGAGTGGCCGTTCAGCTTCAAAGTTCCATTCAATAATGCCTGCGGCGATCCCAACGCAATGGTCAAGATTGGTGGTCTTGCCGGGGCCGGGGGCTTCGCTGGTCCGAGTTTCTTCGGCATGGGCGGTATCAGACTGATGGATGGAAGTAAACAGCTGCTCTACCCTCACGTCACCAAGACCCTGCCCCCGAGCTTCACGGGCTTTCCAAGGGAGGCAGAGATCAGGTACTATGTGAAGGTGACAATTCAAAGGCCAGGTCTTTTCCGGGAGAATATCAGGCATCAAGTCGGCTTCAAGTTCATGCCTATCGAGCCACCACGCCCGCGGCCAACGAATCAGGAGGGCTATGCCCGACGCCCGTTCACCTTCACTCCGAAAAGCCCGGGCATCAATGGCAAGCCACAGGCGCAACAGCAGCAGAAGAGACAGTCCGTGTTCAGCCGCAAGCAAAGCTCCAATGGCCTTGCCACAGATGGCTCATCCCCTTCAGAACCGGAACAGCCTCCATCAGTCGAAATCTCAGCTCGATTACCACATCCTGCCATCCTCACGTGCAACAAGCCCATTCCGCTCCGTCTTCTCGCCAAGAAGCTCGTGGACACCAGTGCGCAGTGCTACTTGGTTTCGCTCCAGATCGACCTTGTCGGCTCCACCATTGTCCGTTGTCAAGATCTTGTAAACACCGAAACAACACGCTGGGTGGTTGCTAGTCGCCACGGGCTCTCAATTCCTCTCCAGAAAGGACCCGGCGATGCTGTCGGCACTGAAACCGAAGTCAACAACGTCTTGTGGAACAACTCGCCCCTACCAAACACTGTTATGCCGAGTTTCATCACTTGTAATCTCAAGCGGACATACTCATTAGAACTCAAACTCGGCGTAAGCTGGGGCACGCCACCCGGGGCAACGGCAGCCATCCCCGAGGAGGCGTCCTCCCTGTCTTCTCTACCATCGGTAATGAAGATGGGGAAGTCCAAGGGCAAGGCAAAGGACCCCTCATATAATCTGGCGCAAACCATGTTCCTACCCCTACACTTCAGCTCGGTCCAGGTGTACTCTGGCCTGGAACCACCACCAGGCCTAGCCGAGGCCGCCATGAAGGGCCGCAGACAGCAAACACAGCAGAGGCCGTCCGCCCGGCCCAGCCAGTCCGCGCCCTCGCTCCCGCCGCGACAAGAACGGCCGCACGACCCGCTCTACCCGCCGCAGCTCCGGCCTGGTCAGACAGCCACGCAGGCTCAGACGCAGGCACAAGGTTCTGGGGCTTCTGTCGGTGGAGCTGCCCCTTCAATGGAGGCTCCGCCGGCTTATGACGATGCGCCGCCGAGTTATGATGATGCAATGGCGGACGCGATGGTGGAGCCTATTGTTCCGGACGGCCGGACGAGACCGGCGTGGAGTGGGGTGACTAATGAGAACTCCCCAGAGACCCTACCAGGGAAGAATTGATAGAACCTTTGATAATGCGTAGCCTTCATACCCCATCATAATTTATGTCTTGCCTCCTTGATTTATCCAACCCTAAACTGTCCTGGTTTGGAACGACTTCTGTGTGCTGGACATCAAGCCTGTGACGTTCTTGGACGACGGCGACCATACAAATCCGGTTTCGCTTCTATTCCGCATACGTCCGAAGACATACACGGCCTTCATACAGTGCTACAATACTATGCTTCACGTGTGTGTGTGGTTTCGCTTCTATTCCGTATACGTCCGAGGACATACATGGCGCCTTCATACGGCGGTAAACACTCAAGACCTAGAGTTCAGTTATCTTCACAATACGGTTATTCTTTGGATCCTAGTACTAAGGCATGCTGAAATATAAATTCAAGTTTGTCGGCTTGACATATTAAATTATTATGTCTCAAGTAGATTTTGGTGTCTCTCATCCAATCACTTCGTCCTAACTATATCACGTATCTAATACTAGTATGTGCTGGGACAACTGAGGTCAGAACTACTAGTATAAGCTAAATTCAAGTAGCAAATATCTATGGAACTGAACCCTCAATTCCTTGGTAAACCTACGTTCTGTAAAGTTAGGTCTGTTCCTCATTAGGCATATAACTTGCTCGTTCATTTGTAGTCATGGCCGCCTAAACCTCAATTAGAGACTGCGTACTTTGATCGCCTTCTCTGTTTGAGACAGAGGCTCTACCACACCTGATATCCACTCCTGCTTCTTCTCATCCTTGAATTCGGGATACGGCTTCCTGCAGTGCCAACTTTCTTCGGGATACCCCAGAATCTTGGCCACTATCCACTTTGTGCCATTGATGCCTCCCTTGCCAAAGCCCCATTCCATCTTGGCCAGCTCGATCTGGGCTACCTCGGCATCCTTCACCTTCCCTGCCTTGAAAAGGTCGTAGATATTCGTGCACACCTTGGGATACAGGTTTGCCACGCCCGTGATCACACCCGTGCTGCCCACGGACAGGGCCGGGACAAGCCAGTCGCTCTGTCCGGCAAGGGCACAGAATTGGGAGGGGTCATAGGTTGCCCTGACACGGGCGACCTTCGCGATTCCACCGCAGGTGAGCTTAACGCCAACGATGTTGGGGTGGCGGCCGAGGCGCTCGAGCATATCTGAGTTCACGTCCAGGCCGGCAACGACGCCTGGGAAGTTGTAAATGAGCACGGGCACGGGGCTGGCATCAGCCAGCTCTTCGAAGAAGCCCACGATGGCCTCCTCGTTCATGGCAAAGTGGAAGTAGCTGGGCACGAGGACGAGGACGAAGTCCGCCCCGGCCTCCCTGGCGCGGTGCGTCTCCGCGATGACCTCGCGCGTCGACTGGCCGGATGTGCCCATGGTGATGGGCAGATCTGCGCGGCCGAGCGACGTGGCGACCTCGCGGGTAAGCTTCACGAGCTGGACCTTCTCTTCTTGTGTGAGGACGACGGCCTCGCCGTTGGTCCCTGCTATCACGACTGCGAGATCTCACTTTAGTAGCTGGACGAAGACTTACAGGCGGGGGGCGCTTACCTCCATCAAGCCCAGAGCTTATCAGGAATTCAATATGTTTCTTCTGCAGGTACCAGTCAAGCTCTTGACTGGCATCATTCTTGAACCATGTCAGACTTGGGGCATGGATTCCGGGAGGGAATGATCGTGTAGTTGTCGAACCCATGTTCTGGAAGGTGTAGATGGGCACGTTATGGAATGGTGACAAAATTAAATTCACAAGGACAAGTATTTTTCGAAGCTGGGTAGTTACAAAGCCGTGGGAAGACTGGCGTACTACGGGCGTCTTGAACAAATCTAATAAACTTTGACTTCAGATGCTGGGGAGCATCAAGGCGTCCCTGTATCAGGCCCACAGCCGACTCACGACTTCGCCATCCGACTAACATCGTGCTACAAAATCGCATTTTACGGACCAAATGCGGGAATCACTCGCGGAAACTTGGGTCGATTCCAGCTAGTGTCGAGGAAGCCCTCACCCTTCGTCTCCACAGTCCCACATCTGTCGGGACGACGCATGATGCGGCGGAAAGCCCGACGAGGACAGGAGTTTTGAGGGCCCGGAGCCACGTTCTAGATCTTGAGTCTAGCATCGCAGAGAACAAAACATAGTGGCTTGATGTTCTATAGAAATGCGCGCCATTCGCAAGAGGCAGAGTGAGGAGGGTCTGTGTCTTTGCTGCCAGCCAATCATGCTTGCTGCTCGCGTCGGCTCGCATGTCGGCTCGGCTGTTGCAAAGGCACGAGGAACGTGTTGGCCGGGGCGCCTGGGCGTCCCCAGCTCCAGCATGTCCGACGTTCCCCATGGGATAGTGGCAATCGTCCCCGGACCCCAGAGTCAAGCCACCTGAAATATCCACTTCGGCAGACGCCTGTCTCTGCGCCAGAGCGTGGGGTCGGGGGCTTGAGGGCGAGCTATGACGAGGCTGGAATGGGATTGCATGGATGCCGGGTCGTGGACGGCCGAGGAAGTTCAGTTCGCGAGCGCATCTGTACCCTGCAGGCAAGGGTTGCATCTCGACTGAGAATCCGGAGGGCTTCGTAACGAGTTCTGTCTATTGAACGTGACTAAACCCCCCTGGCTCCTGGCCACAACGTCTCCCAGTCCGCCGGAACTGGGCCCGAGCGTGGGGCACTCGCCCTTGAGTAATTGGTGATACTAAAAGCTTTGTGCCCTCCGTCTCTTCGTTGCTCCTGCTTCCCGGGCCCTTGTCGTCGCACGAAGATCCCAAGACCCAGAGAACATTTGAAAGCCCCGAACCAAGAGTGCCAACGCTACGAGCAACTACCTACGTAGCCATGGGAGGCTTTCGCGCAGTCGAGGATCGGCCAACGCCCAAGGAAGTGTACAATTGGCGGCTATATCTCGAAGCAGCAGTCATTTCATTCGGTTCGCTGTTGTATGTCAACCCCCAGCTACAGTCTTCCTCTTTAGGCTCTTTCACGCTCACAAAACAAATGTCAGGTTTGGCTACGACTCGGCTTTTATCGGAACGACAATCGCAAGAGACAGTTTCAAGAGAGACTTCAATATCACAGCTGACGTGGCGAACAGCATCTCAAGCAACATCACTTCGGCATTCCAGGCTGGAGCCTTCTTTGGAGCCATATTCTGTTTTCTGATCACGGAGCGCGTGGGACGGAAATGGGCGCTGGAATGTAGTTCTGTCATCTTTGTTGTTGGCGCCGTTCTGATGACTGCTGCCACCAGCCAACTGTCATATATTTGTGAGTTTGGAGCCCCTTTTCTGTACCCTGACACTACTCCCGGCTCTCGTTACAGAGTTGGACGCTGACAGATAGTAGACGCCGGTCGCGTTCTCACCGGGGTCGGGTGCGGTATCATAACAGCCACAGTTCCGAGCTACATCGCGGAGTTGTCAGTCCCGTCTATCCGTGGTATGCTCACCGGACTGTTCGAGATTGTCTACCAAGTCGGGTCTGTTCTTGGGTTCTGGATCAACTATGGGATCACCAAGAACATGGACTCCTCGAGCGCAGTAAGCTGGCGGATTCCCATGGCCGTACAGCTGATACCGGCCGGCCTCTTGTTGGGTGGCGGCTTGTTCCTCCACGAGAGTCCCCTCTGGCTCATGCGAAATGATAGAGAGGAGCAGGTCTTTAAGAACCTGCAGTACCTCCGTCAGCTCGCCCCCGAGCATCAGTGTATGTCTAATTCTTCGCCAAATCTGCAACCGAGCCCTGCTGAAACGTGATCAGATATCCAAGAAGAGGTGCAAATGATGCGGGACAGGCTTGCCGAGGAGGCTGCTGTTGCCGGCAAGTACGGAACCGGTGCATGGTCTTTTTTCCGTGGGGCGCTGAGCGAGCTGAGCCGGAAGGGTATGAGGAACCGTGTTCTGCTCATTTTCTGTGGCTTTGCTCTGCAGAACTTTGGTGGAGCTGGAGGTATGGAATGTCACGATACTCAATCTTCCGGTTGTCAAGCCTGTCGTTGACTAACCTTTTCTGTCCCTCGAAGCTATCAACTACTATTCCCCAACCTTATTTGGCTCTCTGGGAATCACAGATGTCACATTGTACACCGGTATTTACGGCCTGGTAAAAGGTACGAAACTCGCCGCCCAGACCTGATGTTGGCCTCGGGTCACTGATGTATGCTTCTAGCCGTTTCGTCTATTATATTTTACATCTTCCTCATTGATGTGTGGGGTCGCCGCGGCCCTACGATCGTCTCGTCACTGGGCTGCTCTCTATGCCTGTGGTATATCGGCGCATACGTCAAAGTCGGCCATCCAGCAGATCTCATCAAGGCCGGTAAGAAGCTGCCCTCGTCCACGGCCGCCGGTGGTCAAGCCGCCACAGCACTCATCATGATCTACTCTGTGTTGTAAGTACCACCACCCTCATTCTTTTACGGTCTAGTTCTTTTCCAATTAACATTATACTACACAAGCTGGTCTTTCGGACTCAACGGTATCCCATGGATTGTGTCGGCTGAGATATTCCCTGGTGCACTACGTACAATCACTGGAACCTGGACTGCTTGCTGCAATTGGTCAGTACATTTACTTCAGCCCTCACGTCGTCATATTTATCTAACGCCAATGTCTTCAGGCTCACCCAATTCATCATCACGAAGTCACTGCCCTATATTTTCACGTCTATGGGCTATGGCACTTGGTTCTTCTTTGGGACCTGGTTGCTGATCGCCGTGGCATGGGCCTTCTTCTTCCTACCAGAAACCAAGGGTGTCTCCATTGACCAGATGGATCTTATCTTGTACGTCTTGCTCGTCTTTATTCCTCTCACACCCTATGCTGACTCTATTGTGGAACAGTGGCTACGAGGGTGACAGACAGGGCTTGTCATACAAGGAAAATACCGCAAGGCCTTCAGCCGATGCGAAAGACAAGACGATCGAGAGTGAACACGCCGAGGAGCTGTAGTTTGGCTTCAGTGTCGGTTTCCACTTGCTGGTGGTTGCTTCGTTGCTGCAGCAATTAGCGAAGATATTTGAGTGAATTTATACCATCGCTGCTCTATTGAATTATCTAGATATATCAACACGTCAGTATTCAGACTTTGTTGTCAATGAATGTTGCCCGGTAGGGTGAGGTATCGACGTCGTGCAGTCCAAGGTCACATGCAACTGGTCCGCAACGTCATACATGCATCCTGTTTGCTGTGCGAGTTAGTGTCAACACTCAGGCTGAGCCATGTGGCATGAAATAATTCTTTGCACCCAAATGAAAGGAATGCATTGGATTTATGGTTGTATGTATAGAATCCGTACTTGTACAACATTGACGGCCCTCGAGGAAGCTTCGCGAACGACCGAAAACGGCACCCAAACAAAGAGACTGCACCTAGACATGTGACACTCGCCTTATTAACACCAAAGGTTTCCGTATCATTTGCATATGCATATAAGACTCGAGCTTGAAAAGCGCGCCTATTACAGCCTGCGGCTGGTGGTGGGTTTCCTGGCAGGGGAGCTGCCAGAGAGTATCACATAGGGAGAAGTGACGGTACGGGTCTTATTTACTGCTAGAGATAACCAACGGTAGATTGGTTATTATGGTCTTTTGGCCGGACGGTGTAGGCGTGTGGCTAGCAGTCGCGCCCTCCGTTGCAGGAGACATACTGAGGCTCATGATTTAAGGAGACGAGACACGATAGATTGGAACCGCAGGAAGGAATGAGATGACACCAAGTAATGCCAAACCCGCTTTGACCCAGATTTAAGCGCAAAAACTGACCAACATGTATGCCAGGGCGTCAGAGAGAGCATGGGAACATATGTCACAAGATGACAGGCTACACATTCAGTGTTGAAATGAAATTGCTCAAGTATGAGGTCTGTGGACTCTTTAGTCTTTGCCGGCACTTGAGACATTGATTTTAAAGAAAGTAAGTATCGGCGGCAGGAGAAAGAATCGGGTAGATGGTCACGGCGAAGGTCAGTCGGGCCTATTGAGTTATAGCGAGCTTTCGAAGACAGTAATTGTCCAGGAGTCCTGCCGTAATTCCGGCATGGGTGATCGTATCTAAAACTTATTACTGCCATGGAGTTGTCCGTCATCTACGGCTGAACCTTTGAGCGATTGCTTTTGCATGAGAGCAACACCAATGAGTGTTCTGTTAGGACAAAAGACAATTGCAGTGCTTTATTAGATACCCGCAATAGGGTCTGCTAGGCAAGGCCTTTTACGGTGAGTTTCGAACACATGTCTTTGCAAGCCGGTGTTCTTTTCAAGGCTACCATCTCAGACTACAAGTCCATTACATAGACAGATTAATGCGATTTGTATAATGCAATCTGATTAATGGGAACGTGCCTCTGTCCGGTGATGCTGACAGGAAAATGGCGTATCCCCCCTTCCCTCGTGGTATTATGCTGGTATCATGGTATAGAAATCAAACCCAAACGCCCCCCTGATGTCTCATCATAGTCACTTCTAAAAAAGGATAGTAGAAGAAGAAAAAAACCAAGAAAAAAACCAAGAAAAAAACCAAGAAAAAAACCAAGAAACAAAGCAGGCCAAACCTTCGGAATGCGTAAAATGCACACGAATCTCTTGGTCAAAGGCAACAAGGCTCATGACCAACTAGCGACGACCGCCGCCCTTCTTTGCAGCGTTGGAATAACCGCCGCTGACCCTGGAGCCCCTCCGGCGCGCAACGGTGGCGGCATCCCAGGTGCCGGCAAATATGTCCTCGCACTCGTCCTCGTCGTCCGAGTCAAACATGACCTCGCCGTCGCTCTGGGCGGGACTACTACGACCATCCCCCAGGCCACCGGCCTCCTCCGAGCTGCAGCTCACCTTGGGCGCGGCACCATCACCATCGAGCGCGGAGGCCCTCCTGGCGGCAGGGCTGGTGAGAGACCCGGCGGGCGCGGAGGACGAGTAAAAGTGGGGGGTGGCTCGGCTGGCAGCAGGGTGGTCCTGTTGGAGGTCCTCCCAGGAGCGGTGCAGCGAGACCCTCTCGGTCTCGAGTATGAACTTGCCAACCTTGTACTTCTGGGCGTGCTCGCGGGCGTCGACGTACTTCCAGCCGATCTTGACGGCGCAGGTGGCGCAGGTGATGTCGGCGACGACGTGGATGCCGGTGACGAGGCTCCGCTTCTCGGGCGAGCCGACGGAGACGTTGACGAGGTTGGCGCCGTCGCGGGCGAGCGAGGTGTACGAGGTGGGGTTCGGGGCGGGGGCGGCGGTGCTGGAGGCGGCGGCGGCGAGGGGCGGGCCGGGGCAGGACGGGGTGGAGGAGGGCAGGGGCGCCGAGACGAGCAGGGCGCGGCCGTGGCGGCCGGTGAAGCCCTTGGAGACGACCTGCAGCCCGTAGGCGAGGTCTGTGCCGCAGGTGGTGCAGCGCAGGACGTCCGGGAAGGTGCGGGACAGGCGGCCGCGGTCCGAGTTACGGCGGGTCCGGGGCGGCTGCCGGGGTGGCTGGGACAAGGGCTTGTCGTGGTCCAGGTGAATGGAGTAGGTCTCGCAGGGGAGGTGGTCTATGGAGGTGAGCGAGGTGGGCGAGGTGGGCGAGGTGCTCAGCGAGGGCACATCATTGCTGGCGGCGGCGGAGGAGGCGATCGAGACGATGGTGGCGGAGCTCTGGCGGCGGCGGAAGAAGGGGATCTTGAGGCTTGGGAGGAGGTAGGTCGCAAACAGAGGGCCCGTGTCGCCCTTGTTGGCACCCTGAGTGCTGCTGCTGCTGCTGCTGCGGAAGACGTTCATTGTGGGCTGTGATTCCGCGCACAGTGTGCAGGTTTCTGGTTTCTTCCGAGGATGTGCCTATTCTGGGGCCGAAGGGAGGAGGCTCGACACAGAATATACGGCACTGGATCGGTCTGGAGTCGAAAAGTCGACGGGCAATGGTCTGTTCATGGCAGGCTGCTCTGCAGACTGCAGTTGTGGTGGACATTGGACATGGGCGGCGAGTTCGGAAGTCACAAGGACAGGCGGGTGGTGATGAAGTCACGACCGGGCGCACAACGAGAATGAGGGGCTGGATGCAACCACTACCGAGCCAGAGCTTAGCAGAGCCCCACAGTGACGCACTGCTGTCTCTGCACCCAACATGCCACTACAGTATCGCTCGCTGCAGGTCTATCACAGCACGACACAAACTGAAAAAAAATTAAAAATTTATTAAATGCAAATGCAGAGCACATCTAGACTCACTTAGGTACTTAGTACCTACGTAGGTAATCTATCTCCCACACATGTGCCCCCCCCACAACCCCCCACCCCCCTGCTTATCGCGGCAGGCTGATAACCGCTGCTGTGCCATGTGATAGCCGACAGTGACGGCGGGATGGCGCCATGCTGACCCAGACCCAGACCCAGACCAGCCCGCCTGATGTGATGTGACTAAAAACGACACGAGACTCAACGTCTGGTAAGTCTGGGCTGCTGGGCTGCTGGGCTGCTGGGTAGGGTAGCCAGCCAAGAAACCGTTGAAGTTGTAAAAGTCAGCCCGTCAGCCCGTCAGCCCGTCAGCCTGTTGCAGGTTCGGCACCACTTCCGGCACCACAAACCACAAGCTGCTTCCACAGTATGCACGCCGTTATTCTTCTGCCCACGAGCAAGGGACCCCTCCATACCTGCGCTGTACTCGTTCCGTTTCGCTGCTGCACATGCCCTCCTGCCCCTCCTCCTCCTCCTCAGAAGCCATGAGCCGCTTGATGTATGTGTTGTCCGGCTTCAGCGCCGCATACATGTTCGGCACGACCACGACAGGTGCATTCCCAAGGCCACCTGACCTGGTAGAGAGGGCTTTGATGGCTTGTAGCTGCCGCCCTGCCACCTGCCACACGAACCGGCCCTTGCCCGAGTAGAGCTTGAACGCGAGGCTCGCCTTGACAAGCTCCCACTGGCTGAGCTCCGGGTGGACGACGCCGTCGGGGAGCAGGAACCACGACGCCCCCGGGCCTCCGGCTGCCTGTGCTGGGACCCGTGGCTTGATGTCCATCCACGCCCGGTACACCTGCCCCACCGACCCCCGGTAGTCATCCAGCCTCACCAGCTTGCTCCATTCCCCTCGGCATGCCTCCAGGTCACACCTCAGGTTCTGGTGCAGGGCGGCAAACCACTCGGGGTGTTGCTGCTCGCATACCGCTGCAAAGCGGTTCCAGTAGCCCGTGATGTCCTCGTCGGTCGTGCCGGCGTTGCTCCGCACCATGAATTCGTGCAGGTCCTTCAGTGAAGCATCGACAATGCTTCTCGCCGTGAACGAGAGAAAGTCAATGATGTGCTGCGCACCAGGGCCCACGGACCGCGACCCGTCGCTGGCTTTGTAGCGCGGCGTCGACAAGTGTCGCTTCATCCCCACCACATCATCTCGGAAGCGCCTCCATTCGTCCCGCCCGAATAGGATCCCCTGCTTCGGCTGGTCCGCGAGCTCACTCAGGAGCCAGCTCAGCTTGATGACACGCTCGTCGCTCAGGCTGTTGAGGTCATAGGCCAGCTTCTCTTTGAACGAGGTGCACGGGCCGAGGAATTTGGGCATGAGGTTGAACCAAATTGCTTTCGCCACCATCGCGTCAACGTAGCCAGTCTCCCCATAGAGCTTTCGTAAGTCCCCTAGGGTGGTGGTGTCTTTCTCTATATACGGCGAGAAATCCGGCTTTTCTGGCACATCCGAGTTCTCAAAGTTTTCCACGAGCTCGGGAAGCCAGCACACCCAGGCCTTGTCGCCGTCGTAGTCACCGCCCGAAAGCTTTGCAGCCAAGGGCATATTGCCCTTGGACGAGAAGACAATCACGTCACGGATATGCCGCAGTTCGGGCTTGAAGACTGCTCTCACTTTTTGGATGTCGCTGGGGAGGTGGGCCGGACATCGGCCGACGAGGACACCCATGCCGTCAAGGTCCGACAGCTCATCTGTGCCATCGTCGAATCTAGAAGAGAAGCAGAGATGGACTTCGTCTGGCTCGAGGACTCCTTGGAAATCGACAAGCATATAGGCGTACGTCGACTTTGGTATCTTGATATGAAGCTCGTCCTTCAGGTCATCGCCCCTGCGCTTTTGCGCTTGGAAGACCATGTCTTGTAGGAACTTGAGTCTCATAGGCTCGAAACCCCCATCAACCACGAAGCTCATCATATCTTCGGTGCTTTCGGGAAGGCCAGCTAGGAAGGGCATCCCCTGTGGCGTAATGCGGAACGAACCGCGTGGGTTGAGTCCTCGAATCCATTTCCTGAAGAGCTCTGGGTGTTGGAGGGCTTCTTTCAGATAGCAAGTTTCCTCTTCCGATCTCGTGGTTAGATTATCGACAAACGTCTGCCGCAGCGCTGCGACATCCTTTGATCTATCCTCTAATATTGGCAGGAATTGCTTGTTGAGGCTGGCGGAAACCAGGCCCATCGAGTATGAGCGTCTCCAAAGTCCTGTGAGCCTCTTCAGACATGTAGCAATTCCATTTTCTTTGTTTCGGGTACGTCTCAATCCAGTCCTCACGGCCCAGGTCCGTGGTGTCGATCATCCACATTCCCTTTGCACTGCCCAAACGGCCCTGGATTGCGGACGGGATGGATTGCAAGCCGAGAACGTCTCGTATTTTCCTCATTAGACTCGGCGAGATCCTTGCAACACCATCATTCATCACTTCAAGTTCATCAAGCGGGGAAAGGGTGTCCTTGGACTTTTCAGAAAGGATGTCCTCGGCCTTTTCACGTATTTGCGATTCTTCCAACACCACTGTAGGACTCGTTCGGCTCAAACCTGAGGTCGGGCTGTTAGTAGAGCACCTCGATAACTGACAAAGGCCCACTGACCAAGCGCAATGCGAGAGAAAAGCTTGAGATGTGACTGGTCGCAATTCTTGTCAAAGTTCAGGAGCCAATCGAGCATGGCTTCTCGCGAACAAGCCGAGCGGGCTTGGGGGCTCGTGGTCTCTGATAGATTTGACACTGTTTGGCTGGCATCGTGCAAGTCTCGTCCGCTCTCCGCAAAAAACAGAACCCTTTCGTTGAAAATGACTCTGGGAGCTTGGCCGTGTTTCAAGTCCTTGATCTCAGACTTCTCGCTCCTTTCTCTTACAAAAAAAGCTGACCAGTGGCGGTCCATGAATGGGTGAGGCTCGTTCGCAAGCCAGTCAGCTACCAAAGCCGCTGCTCCCTCCTTCCCGGCCAGCCAGGTGTCAACGGAGGGGATCCTGACCTCTAGGAATCTGTCCGAGCCGAACCGACGAAGTAGTCGAGAGCCCTGCTCGAGCTTTAGTGGATGCAGCTCCAACTGCATCGCAGGCCCCTGCCTCGACGTCGAGAGGTGCATCGTGGCCGTCAGCATCACGAGAGCGTCGCCCTCGCACTCGAAGTTGTTGTAGAGTCCACCGCGCCAAGCTACCGGGTCTGATTTCTCCGGGAAACTCTTGCCTTTGAAAGAAGGGTGATTTCTGAGCGTGCGCCACAAGGTATCCAAATCCGCTAGACGCGGGTGGTATTGCAAGTCAAGCGAGGCCACATCCACACCACAGTGCAGGGCGACCCGGGTCACCTCCCAGATAACGACGGTCGGTGCGCTAGAAATATTTCCAGGTACAATGGCTGCCGAATGGATCAGCAAAAGACATAAGCGGAGAGCCATATGAACCACCTACGCCACACCAGGCAGAGGCGATCACGCAGTGATGTGCCTCTATTGGCCCCTAGGTCGGGTGTCAAATCCGAAAGAGGCCTCAATATGTCCCGGTAATCGGGAACAGTAGAGCATGTTCTCATGGACATCGTTGTCATGGTTGTGCTAGTCTGTATGTCACTGGCACTGCTCTGGGAGGAGTCCAATTCGGCCTGACTGGGCCCGATGTCAAGCTCGCAAAACGACTCCTCCAGAGCATCGATTTCGGAAGGGGTTGGCGAGCATGATCTGTCCAACGGGGCCGAAGATTGTGGCTGATCAGAATCAATCCCCTGTGCCGGGAGTCCCGCTCCCACAAACGGCCTGTCGGTTGCGGGTCGTGTCGGCACGTCGTCGAGCGCTCTGTACGCACGGTAAGGCGAGGCGACTCTCGCCATGAAATCTGACATCATGTGAATGTAAAGAGAAGACAGTTGGGGATCAAAGTTATGTAACAGAATGGTGTAAAAACCCCTTGGTTGCACCGGCACTATTGGTTTGACCAAGATCCAAGCTGAAGCCGTTCCGAGGCCGGCTCGCTGGGCTGGTCGGCTGAGGCAGCAGAGAGCAAACACAAGCTGGAAGCTCCGGCAAGGACTGCTTCCAAGGTTAGTAGCACGTAGCAGCAACCTCGTGAATCAGGGCAGATGTTATCTCAGAATATTGAAGTGGTCATATACATTGGAAATCTGGGATGCCCGTGATGGCTGTGGCTTGCTGAGGGTGCGCTTGCCCAGAGGTCTCATGTGATGTCGGGAGGTGCTACGGCAAGGTGAGTTCACAATTTGGGGCCCCACGGAGCCCCGGAGTAAGTGAATTAAAGTACCTAGGTACGGAAAACCAAACAAGGCACACTATGCACAGAGCCGATTGAAATGAAAACATCATCCAGCGTGGAGATCTCACCTGCAGTCAAACGCTTGGTGATCCCCCAACGGCTGGTCCACTTTATTAACGAAGACGGGTTAGGGTTTCTCTGCAGCCCCCCCAAACGTCCTACCCCCGAGTTACTCTCAAGTGCTCAAGTGCTCAAGTGTCTCTTGTTGGGATGGTTATCAAACCCTTCCAGAGTGTCTAGACCAGGAATTTCCATCATTCACTTAAGAACATCACAAGAAAAAGCACCATTATAAGACCTCTCACTCTCTTCATCATCATGACTGGCATAGCAGGGTTGCTACAACAGTTTGAACATGTGGAACTTTAGAACTCATCACTTGAGCACCAAACTCACATTATTCAGCTGCTGTCTACGGGGTTTTGAACAGGTTGGATTTCATTAATCATTCACACATTATATGAACAGATATTAGTGAACAGAAATGCAGAGAATAAAAATTTAGCCCTAGTCGAGCTTCTCAGCCATGACTTGACATGTATTAACGTGTAGAGAGGGCAGCCAGCCATGGCTATCTGAAAGCATGGACTTTTGTATCTCACAGTGCCATGAGGCATTGGTGTACATCAACATGAGATACCTAGGTGGTGACTGGAATCAGCGCCAGGTCTATGACACTCTTCCATAGACCTATCAGCATTGCCGCATTTGAATGTGATTATGTGTGGTTTCGCTTCTATTCTGTATACTTCCGAGGACATACATGGCGCCTTCATACGGTGCTCGTGCAATAATGAACTCATAATCTTGAACTACCTACCTATGCTGTGAGAGTAGACACTTATGTAATCCGCTCAGTCACAACATGGCCAGACTTTAGGACTGGAAGGAGACATCTGGAGGGGGCTTTTGGGTGGCCAAGTCTCGGCCTAGTACATCTACTTGGTTGGCTTTGATATTGATGACGACTCGGAGTGTTTTTCTTTTAATTAGCATGTTCAGTGCACAGATTGGTGTTAAGTTGTGGGTGGCTCGGTATGTATATACCTACTTAAGTAATTAGGTAGTGGCGGTCTCGTAGTGAGGGTGCTCAGAGAAAGATAGACTTCCTCCTCACCTACCTACTTGGTAGGTACCTAGGTAATTAGGTATCAATGAATTCCAGTGCTGGGCCCTACCACTATACTCACGACCCTTATTTCTGACACTTGGTTCGGAATTTCCAATAGCTCGCGATGTCTTCAGTAAAACACAAAATCATCTCATAAATGACTTCCATTTACTTCGAAAGATCTGATGAGAAACAGCGTTTGTGGAGGTCTCTTGTTTGTAAATATTGATGCAATATCTGGTCAGACAAAGTTCCACACATGATGGCCCGATCCCGAGGTCCCCTTCTTTTCCCCTTCCCTCGACGTTTACATACGGGGAAAACAAAAACCTTCAATCCGCATCCAAAATCCCACTTCAGTTATCATTGTTATCAGTGAACACGACCAACAAGTCCTTGTTTCCACCAGGAGTCGCACTGCTCTGCTTGTTGTCCTCCTCGTTTCCCTTGTCGTCCTTCCACGCCCCGACTCCAACGTAAACGCCGTGAGCAAAGGTCCTCACCCAGTCCTCAAGTCCTCGGTCGTTCTTGGGTGCATCGATGCGCGAGACCTTCCCCTTGGAGTCAAGGTGCACGAATCGCTGCAGCGACTTCTTCTTGTCGGCGGACAGCTTCTGCCACGCCGCGTTACAGTCCTGCATGAAGGTTGCATCGCCCTTGCGCGTGCTGGGTGCGCCCTTTTGCTCGATCGTCAGATTTCCGCCGCCTCCGACGATGTAGCTGATGTCGTAGTATTGGTTCTTGCCCTCTGGAAAGCCGTTGAAGGTGACCTCGGCCTGCTCGCCCTCGTGGCCCCCGTGGGTGGCGATGATGGCACCGGAGACCTGCTTCTTGTCCGGGCTCTTGACGGTCGCGGTGCCGCCGTTGCCTTTGACATTGATGGTCCCCGGGTTGTTGCCGCCCTGGAAGCCATGGACCAGGAAGGTTTGGGAGTGGGAAGAGTTGTTCTTGACGGTGATGGTCGGCATCGTGCACAGGTCTCAGATGAAAATAAATGGATGAAATGTATATGTAAAAGTAGCTGAATCAAAATAAGTCCAGATGCAGAAGTTTGAAGTAAACAATCTAAATATACTGAATTTGTTAGAATGGTCTAATAGTGATCTCCTTCTACTGAAAACTGCTGAGACCTGTATTATTTATATCATTTCTTCACAGCCAAATAGCACTCTTCAATTTTCCTCAAGCTCAGCCTCTGGCCTACAACTAGGACCATAAAATGTTGAGGAAGCTTACCTCAGTATTTGAGGATCACGAGGCGAGACTATAGTCACATTGCCAATCCTTTCGCCGCAGACTATGGCAGAAGGAACTTTGTGCTTCACATACTCAGACAATACGCCTATACACCTGTGCCGAAGCGGCCGCGAATCTAGCTGCCCCCAATTTACTCAGCAAAGTCATAAGCCCTTGCCCTGACAAGGAGAATGTGATAGTTCCGAGATACTGAGGTAGGTTAGAGGCGGCTAAGATGACAGCAGGATCACGGAAGGCGGCAAGCGTAGAGTTTGACGCCCACTTGCTTATTCGGTGTGCAGCGGCCACCTCGGTGTCAGAATATATTGTGCATCTATCGAGCTTACATCAGACCCAGACCTATTCACCAGCCTTGTCATGTTGCGCCAGCTGACCAGTCACAGCCACGAAACCGTGAGATGGCCACTGGACCCAACCAATTTGAGACCTCATGACAAGGACGGCTTGCTTGAGTCTCTCGCTGCACGAAGGATCAGCCATGAGTACTTCTGCTTCCAGGGTAATTGAATCAACGAGTCTGCGCTTTTGCCGCAATGAGGCAGCCATCTCATCGCGAAGGATTATCACATGAGCCGGCTGATGATGCCGATGGTTACAATGTGTTTTGGATTTGAATTGGAAAGTCCATGAGTGCCCATGCTGAAATTGTGGTTTGTGAGAGGCGAAGCCCATTAATATAAAGGACAGCTCCTCCGATGTCCACGTCGTTAAACAACTCGAGATCTTTATTCAGAGATCACATCGATAACAAATATTTAGCAACCTGTAAACAGTCTCAACACCAACAAACAGCACCTTTCCAGTCCTTCTACATTCCATCTTCTCTTTTACAACAATGGCACCCTCCAAGCGCGGTCTCGGTTGGCCATTTGACAACGAAGCTGGCGCGTTCAAGCCCTACGACGCGGCCGTCAAGGACCACAGCCTCACATGGCTCTTCAACTGGGAGATGTGGAAGCCCCAAGGCTTCCCAGCCGGGCTGACCTATGTTCCCCAGGTACGCACAGCTGCCGAAGCTGGCAAGATCGACCAGGTAATTACGCCCTGTTTCCCACCTATCTACCTGCATGGCACCCAATAAAAATTAATGTTATTTTAGTTCTTGGGCGGTCTTGGAAAGGTCAGCCACTTCATCGGTTTCAACGAGCCGGACCACCCCGGACAGGCAAACATGTCTGTCGGCCAGGCCGTGAAGCTGTGGAAGCAGCATGTCCTGCCGGCCAAGAAGAAGTATGGGTTCAAGCTGGGCTCGCCAGCCATGACCAACTCCCCAGCCGGCAAAAAGTGGCTGCAGGACTTCCTCAAGCAGCTCGGCGGGGACGCCCAGGTCGACTTCATCGTGGTCCACTGGTACGGGCTGGATGTCAACAACCTAAAGCAGTTCATTGAGGACATGCACAAGACTTTCAACAAGCCAATCTGGCTGAACGAGTTCGCCTGCACAACCTTTGGCGGCAAGGTGCCAAGCCAGCAGGATGTTGAGAAGTTTGAGCGTGAGGCGCTCAAGTACCTCGACGGGAAGGCATTTGTCGAGAAGTATGCTTGGTTTGGGGCGGCCACGCACAACAGCAGCATGGGTGGCGTGGCACTTGTGAACAAGCTGGCCAACAATGGGAACCTGACTTCTGTGGGAAAGATTTACTGTGCCAAGTAGGTAGTTTCTGCATTCTGTACCTTGCGGCATGATCAATAGTATTAGAGCTTTTTTTACTGAGACGAGACAGACCCGCGAGCCAGGCCTCTGTCATGATGGCATCTGTAGAAACAGCTTCTGAGCCGGCGACCGAGGAACCTGTTGCTGAGGAACCCGTTGCTACTGAGGAAGCCTCAGCCTCAGCCTCACAGGCCGAGGGATTCCCACAAATCCAGTTGAACATCATGTCCAGGGCGGTGGCAGCCCCGGCCAAGCCCGGCATCCAGCTGACCAACAAGAGCAAGAAGGAAGAGACATATCAGTTCTTCAACAACTACTGGAACGGCAACGGGGAGGCAGGTGCCAACTTTGACAAGCCGGAAAAGCCAACCAAGCTGAAGGCGGGTGCGTCGACCTTTGTGGAGCTCCCGGAGTCGTTCAAGGGCCGGGTGCAGCGCGGCAAGCTCATCCCGGCGACGTGGGTCGAGTTCCAGCTGTCTGCTAGCAACGACCACAAGGCATGGGGCAACATCAGCCTGCAGCAGGGCTACGACGGCCCTGCGATGATCCGGTCGACGGACGGGACCAACAACTCGATCGGCTTCACCAACGACATCCTGCCAGGGGCGCCCAAGGCGGCGAGGCAGAAGAGGTCCGACGGCAAGGAGTGCCTTGCCAGCACGATGGGCAACTGGATGGGAGGTCCCAACCAGGCGGCCATTGACTACGAGAACAAGGTCGTCGGGCAGAAGAAGGCGTACATTACCGGTGGGTCGGGGACAGTTGTTGTGAACTCCAAGAACAAGAGGCTGGCTGTCGAGTTCTATTAATAGAGCAATTTTGTGTTGGTTATGAGGATGGAATGATATTGGTAGATTGGTAGATTGGTAGATCGAAACCCGAGACATCATTTGAAGACCACAATACGTACCTGGACATAGACCTGCACAAGTAAGTAATCAAGTGCGTTGTGGTGTTGGCAGTGCTGTCAATTCGAAACTGCAACGCCGCCCGCCAGCCAATCAATGCGACACGGGTGTGGCTGTCCCTTCGTGTTTTAGGCGGGTCAATCGTGCGTGGCCATGCTGTTGGCCTTGCTGCCTTAGAATTAGGGGGCCTTGGGGGCCTTGGGGGCCTTTTTGGGGGCGTCCCCCCGGGTGAGCCAAGGTCTAGTGGTAGTGTGCTGGCCAGACAAACGAGAGTTGATCAGAATGACTCGAAATTTCCAGACGCAAGCCTGACGCTAGCCAAGACTCCACACCCAATTTGTGGACCGCCTCGCCTGTTTTTCTCCTTGTCGACCCTCGCTCCCGCCTCCTCTTTATCAACCCCGACCTCTCCGTCTCCCTCGTCGACTTCGATCGATTCAGCCTCATTCATCAGCCAACCAACCAATCCGTCAACCTGAAAGTACCATCTCCTGCTCGCCCGTCTCCACCTGTTCGCGCAAAAGCAGCCATCGACATCCTAACCAACACCATCAATCAATCACACACCACCTGCAGCTCCACCTGACTAGGTCAATCAATCAATCAATCAATCAATCAACCAGATCCTCGACCACTTTGCCGTCGTCGCGCCCTGCGAATTCCCAACCAACCAACAATCCAACCCATCTCCAAGCGAAATCCCCCACGGTGGCATATCACAATGGCGCCCATGAAAACTTTAAATTCCAATCAGTCGAGTAGTAATTACGGCGAGGACATGGCCCGCCAGGCCAACGTTCTCGCCTCCTGCTACGTCGTCGACGCCGCCGGCTCGCTCAAGGGCCTCCACTACTGCACTACCCTGGCTGCAGGGGCCGAGTGGTATTCCTGAGGTCCCCATCTCAGGATTACCCTCCCCGCCGTCAAGTCCCCCCCTCGCCGCAATCACCTCGTCAAACGAGCTCGCCCTGACGCCCAAGCCTGCCAAGCGTCAGTCCACGGCATCCAACAGCGAGTCTCGTCGCCGACGAGGGGGGGCAACACTTCGCATCAGGGAAGAATGTGAGAGATTCTTTTGTGAGACCATGGCGACCGCTTTCTTCGGTGAGAGGAACGGTCACTCAGCGGTCTCCGGCCTGACGGGTGTTTTTCAACAACACGATCACTCAGCAAACAATAGCACCGGCACCACTGACGCCAACCGGCGCCCATCCGCTGGGAGCAGCGCTGCTTCCATTGACTCGGGATACTTTGGCTCCTACACCAGCAACGCCCATCCCGACCAGCGCCAGCAGCTCACGCCTCCGTGTGATGGACCCGAAATCATGTGCGGCAGTGGTCCTGCAAACAGCAACATCGAGGTCACCTCGTGGATGGAGATATGGGACTACCAGGGCGGTGCTAGCTTCCGCGCCTTCACGGCGGAGGACTACGCCCGTGGCGAGAGGACCCTGTTCACCTTCTTCGACGCCGGTGTCGTCGGCCGCGATCTGAAAGACGCTCTCGTGGCGCTGATGGAGCTGGCCGAGTCGCCTTTGGGCTGCTCACAGTTGGTCATCTGCATCGACCGGTCCATCGAGACTGACGAGGCCAAGACGCTGACAAAGGGCCTGCGGTGGGCGGGCCTCGAGCTCATGACACTCGACCAGTGGGCGGGAGCTGTCGATGTGACGAGCAAGGAATGGGTGTTCATGGGCACGGAAGTGTAGGATATGGACCAGCAGCCTTCTTTTCGACATCCAACACTCTCGTTATTTGGCAATCTGCCTTTGAGTCCTGGGAACGGTCTTTTGGTTTGGAGTGTTGGGTCGCGTTGATTTCCTTGTCTGTGTTGTCTTTGTGGGATCGTTCGATTGTCTCTGTTCAGGTGATCTCTTAAAAGCGTTCTGAAAAAAGGAAGACTTTGAAACAATGTGGAAGGAAAATCCGTCGTGATTACGGCAAGAACATGGATTACAAGCACAGCACCAGGAGCACGGGAGTACATAACAGCATCCTACCTTTTCGACCATCAAGTTATAAGCACAAAAGGTGCAACAGATTTTAGTCAACAAGAATGGCGATGCGGTTGCAAAACCAATACTTTGGGTAGATGCTGACGCAATTCTATCGGTTCTAATTTCTCTTGAAGCCAAGTTTCGTAGACGGCGTAACGCGACATTATAGCACGTATAGCACGCTTCCTGATCATCCCCCGTCGCGAATGCCGAAATGGTCCACGGCAGCATATCAAAATTCTCCCTCGAATGCCCTAGCGGTTAGGCCCTTCTTGCCCAGGTATTCCTTGACGTCCCTAACCGTGTACTCGCCACGGTGGAACATGCCCGCTCCGAGCGCCGCGTCCGTGGTCGTCTCGGCGAATACCTCCTCGAAGTGACCCGGGTTGCCGGCGCCAGAGGAGGCGATGACGGGGATCTTGACGGCTCCCTTGACCTGGCGAATCAGCTCCAGGTCGAAGCCGCTGTTGGTGCCGTCGCGGTCGATGCAGTTGAGCAGCAGCTCGCCGCAGCCCATGGCCTCGACCGCCTGGGCCAGCTGGACGACATCCAGGTCCCGCGTCTCGCGCCCGCCCTTGATGGTGCACGCGTAGTAGCAGTACTCCTCCCCGCCGTTTGGGCCGGGGAACTTGGTCTTGATGGTGTGGTGAGCGCCCGCCGCCTCCGGAGAGGCCACGTAGACCCTCTTGGGGTCGATGGACACCACCACTGCCTGGTTGCCGTAGGCGCGCGAGATCTGCTCGATCGCCGTGGTGCCCGACAGCTTGCAGCCGGCGGCATAGTACTCCTCCGCGGCGGTCACGGCGTCCGACCCGATGCTCACCTTGTCGGCGCCGCTGCGGAAGTACATGCTCGCGATGTCGAGCGCCGACACCTTCCTCCCGTCGAGCGGGTCGACCGTGTCCCGGATCCCGCCGCCGATGGTAAGCGGCACAAACACGGTTTGCGAGGTGAGCCGCAGAATCTCCAGCATGGGCAGGTCCTTGAGCGGCAGGTCCCGGAAGGACGTGATGTTCAGGAAGGTCACCTCGTCGGCACCCTGCTCGTAGTACTTCTTGGCCATGTCGACTGGCTTTCCCAGGTTGCGGACGCCACGGTCGGCGTCCTTCTCGCGCACGTCGTATTGGTCGCCCTTTGTGACGACGAGGTCGCCCGAATCATTTGTCCGTACATCGAGACACGCGATTACCCGCCTGGTAAGGCCTGGCTGTGTAACTGCTCCCCCACTGGACTGTGTCGACGCCGTGGCCTCAGGCTGTACCTGACCCAAGATTTTCGCACCCTCCCCGGTGAGGAAAGACCTGATGACCCTCAGTCCTGCGACACCGCTCTTCTCGGGGTGGAACTGAGTGACGAGAATGTTGCCCTTGGCGACGGCACCGACAAACGTCTCGCTTCCATAGCCTGCCGTGGCCACAGTCCATCCCTGGCCCTCCAGGTCTCCCTTCTTGTACGGACATCGGTAGCTGTGGACATAGTAGTACTTGGATCCGGGCCTCAGGTCGTAAAGCGACACGCCGCCCTCGACGACAGCATCGTTCCAGCCAATGTGCGGGACTGCCTTGTCACTGTCGTCAAAGCGGGAGAGCGAAGAGGCGATAAAGCCCAACCCGGGGCACTGGGAATCCTCGGAAGATCCAGAGAACAGAGCCTGCATGCCAACACAGATGCCCATGAAGGGCTTGCCGGCCTCGATGTGGGCTTTTATGGCGGGGAGGAAACCCGCCGAAGACAGCTGTGAAAGGCAGTGGCCAAAGTGGCCGACGCCGGGGAGGATGAGTTTCTGAGGGCATTGTGTAAGCAAGGAAGGGCGCATCAAGTGTGACTTTTTCCGGGCTGGGAGCTGCATTACATACATCCGCATTCTTGACCTCTTCGGGAGTCTTGACCCAGGCGACGTCGTAGCCAACCTTCTCGATGGCGTTGACGAGACTTCGCACGTTCCCCGCGACGTAGTCTAGCAGGTGAACCGTAGGCATATTTGCAATTGCAATTGTGTGATCACAAATGCCTCATGTGAGAAGGAGTGTGTCCGAAGGTGACTAGAAGACCACCGGGCAAAGCGAGTGTGACTCAACCTCACAAGACTCATCCCATTTTCGTGGTGGAATTTCTGAGCCGTTATCGTCACTTGGAGGGGCCATCTACATACAGTGCTGCAGGGGCCGAGGGGCCGATTGCCACAGGGGTCTCTAGGGGGCCCTTGCCCCGCGGTCATGGGCGTTCTGCCGCCTACCACCGCCAAAACTCGGGCAGCTTGGAGGGACGCCGAGCTCCAAGCTCCGTGACAACTCCGCAACTGCGCAAGCACGCCGAGGCTGGGTCAAAACGCTTCCACCACGAACACGCTCCACGACCCCAATGCGCCCACCGGCGTCGCAACACATTGCTTGACTTTTGAATGAGTCTCACGATAAAGAATGGTTCGGGTAGTCAATGAGCCGGCTGCTAAGCAGCCGGTCGACTGGCCGGGCACATACCCCGAGAGCTCTGCCTCTTTTCCTCTGGCCAAGTCGTCCAGGCCAGTGGACGATGAGGACGAGTGGGAATTCGAGTACTCCACCACCGAGGTAGAGGTAGATATTGTCTTTTATCTCTGAGCACAACACCCAATAGCTGACGCCCAGGACAGACATACTATGTAACCATGGACCTGTCGCATCCGGGCATGTTCGAGAAGGTCAAGGACACATTTCATTCGCAGAACCGAGGCGGCTACAGGCAATGGTTCAACCCTGTCTACGCAGACCCCAACAAGAATACACGACTTCGTCCTACTAAGACCAACGCAATCTTGCTTGCGGACGAGGAGGACAAGGATGACGAGGATCTCGTGCCAAGAGAAGACGAGGACGCAGAGATCGAGACCCACGACGATAAAGGGAATCGACAAGAAAACGATATCATGGAAGCGAACGGGAACGAAACGGTCGACGAAAATGCCGGAGACATGATCGATCCTCGACTAAGAGGGGCGATGCAACCCCCTGCGCGGGTATCTCCAAAACCAGTAGAAATGCCTGACGAGATCACACAGGCCCTGCCAAGCAAGAAGCTGAAGAGTGTCGGGGAGATCCAAGTGCTTGATCTGCACTCTGACAGCCCGATCATATCCTACAAGGGAAGGATCTTCTCGGGCAGCTGGGCCAGCAACATTGGTACCGAGCTCATCTTCGGCGCGCACGAAGAGGTCGCGGATCGTGGCTTGCCGTACCTGCGCAGCCTCCCCGGCGATGTCGACCTCATGGCCGCCTCCTCGGCTCGCATTCTCACCACACCTGCGGACCTCAAACCCAAGAATCCCACTGCCGTGGCGCAGCCAACGCGCCGGCAGGTCCCCGACCGGTACAGAAAGCTGCGCAAGGAGTCAGGCGTCATAATTCCGGTCGCTTTCGACAAGCACGGGTTCAGAAAGCCACAGGCCAGGTTCCTGGAGAACATAATGGCCATCAAGCGGAAGAGGGGCGAGAAGGACGAGGTGACGACTATGACGAGGGATACTACGAGGTACTTTGTGGATGCGGAGGACGACCCGGAGGAGGCCTCGCTGCAAAAGAAGAGACTGAGGGACAGGAGGAGACAGCTGAGGCTGATGGAGGAGAGAGCCGCCGTGCCAAAGGAGAAGAGGAAGCCGCGTGGGAACCGTTGGACAAATAGGGACCAGCCGACGGTCAGGTTTGGGGAGAAGGATGTGATTCAGGACGACGACGATTTCAGAGAGCTTTCCACCAAAACGCCAGGTGTTTGGGACGATTTGGAGGGCGACGGCGGAGATGATGGAGATGAGCCTGAGGACTCGGCCATGGAAGAAGACCGAGGCTGAAACAGTCTCGGGCGGCCACACAATTAACCAATAGTTACCAAATGATACCCATTTTTCTTGTTCAACTATATGTTGCCATTTGCCAAGCCTGTTTTTGCGAGGACTAAATTCATACAACCCATAATTTGGCTGTCTCTAATAAGCATTCGGGCCCAACCATGCCGTTCGGGTCTGATCATCAGCGCGTGGAGCCCGCCACGCCATTGCCGACAACGCTCGAACTAATTTGACTTTCGGGATGTCCCCCAGGGACTGTATCGAGACCGTGCTGGTGTGTACGCTGGGGGTGGCTCTGGTCGTGGGGTGACGAGGGCTCAGTCAGCGGGGATGGCAGCCAAGATTGTGTATCCTGGCCTGTACTGCCTGTATGGCCGTCCACTGCTGGTGGCTGAGTGGGACGCACTGGAGAGCTATCAACATCTAGACCCGTGACAGTGTTGAAAGTCAGGGTCTTTTGGCGGCTGTAGGTACTGAGCGTCAGGTCGGAGTCCTTAGGAACCAGCGTCCCATTAGGAGACACAAAGTGATGCAGGGCGCTCAAGCCTAAGGAATCCTTGTCTTCTGTGCTCTGCTCAAGTCTGGGGTGATCCAAGTCACTAATATCCAGGCTCGACAGAGAAATGCCGGGCTTGGTGGTGGGGACCCAGTTCGTACAGCGCGACCATTCTCCGCTTGTTCCGTTCGCCTGTTCATGGGCAAGTCGTTGCAGTTGAAGGGTGTCATTCGTGGTCCATTCCAGATAGGCATATTGCTTGTACTTCCGGTGACGGTGTAGACAAGCCAGAATCGGCTCAAGTGAATAAGAGGCAGCAAGCACGAGAACCCCGAGTATGTATGTGAACATGATGCCAAAGAAGCTGAAAGAGGAATAACGCGTCGTGCGTATTTTCTGATGAGTGAAAGTCAGCGGTTTCCTACCTAGGTATAGAATACTTATGGTAAAGGGGTGGAGTACGTGCCTGATTCACACACATTCTCCGAGCAGCATCCGTGTCGGGCTCGTCACTACCGATTCCTGTATCTGCAACCATCAACCCGGACACGGTCTCCAGAATATTCGACTGCATCATGTTGAGATATACGGCGAACCAGTTGCCGACATCAAGTTGCCACTCATTGTCAGGGAGTCGACCCTGGTATCCAACGATCAGACTCAACTTGGACAGCAACGCATTGCCTTGCAATTGTTGCAGCAGAGCAGCTTCTCCGGCGCCGTCAATGTACAAAGACCAGGTGAGCCACTGTAGGCGATCCGCCGCCTCGGTATCCGACGCGATAGCCTGTAGAGCCCCATATTTGGCATCGTAATAGCTTGCCAGCGGGCCACAGTTTGATGTGTTGCCATGACAGAACTGCCATTGAGTAGCACAACCGAGGGGAGAAGCAGACTCAGCTGGGCGATACATAGAAGAATTTTGCGCACCAAAGCCGAGTGTGCCAAAAGGCTCTGTGGCCCTGTACCATTCATCATAGAAAGGTTCCGTAAAGAAGACGCCGTGCCCGGACAGGAACACCACGAAAATGTCGGCATCTGTGCGGGCGAGCTCATTGTTGGGCAGGAAGCTACTGGCCGGGTCGGTGCTGAGGGTGGCATTTTGAGTTCCAGCAAAGAATGATCTGCATCAATCAGTATTAGACATTCGAGGACAAGTAGATGCTCTATAACTACAGAGACAATTGGCTGTGTCAAAATGTTACCAACGCTTGGCGACTGAGCATGGATGAACGCACGCTGGGTTGATTCGCGGATGCGTTCAGGGTCAAGAACGAAAATAGAAGAGAGGAAGCTCACCGTATGTTGTATTGTTGTTCGAGCATTTGCCTGTCACTGGACCTTTCATACTGCTTTTCGATATTCTCGACCTCGTATGTGTAGTTCCAATCCGGTTTAACCATCCCAGACTGGCCGCTGCCAACCAATTGATAGCCATAGTTATACCGAGTAAAGTTTCCATTCGGGGAATTGTAGCCCTCCGTCACAAGCGGCGCGCATTGTAACTTTCTCCTGAAGAATATCCTCTCGTCGGGTGGTGCATTGATTCCGAGGTGAGTGTGACTGTCAATGAAACCAGTGTCTAATTCGATATTGGATGAATCTTTACGGCATATCGTGTTGTTGAATGGACACGGTGCTGCTGTGTTGATATAGCCCGGAAGTCTCTGTGTGACGAAATAGTTGCAATCTGTAAGCCCCGTGCTATTCTGAGAATAGCATTGTTGAACATAGTTGCTCGCAGTATAGAAGAACTTGGCCACTGTCTTTTGCCATGCGACTTGTTCCTGCAGACTCGTGACATCAGGCAGCACGGCGCATTTGTCACCTTTGAGGAGCACAGAACCACCGTGACTATCACTGCCGAGCTGGATCTGAGACGAAAAACCTCCGGCTAGTGTGAATGCAACTGTGCAGAAGATAGCCAGCAACAACCCCAGAGCTGTTCGCCTCATCGCCTTTACACTCGAGGTACGCCACGCACTCAGCAGTGCGAGGAACGCCAGCTGTGAATCAGAGGTCAGCACCACATTTCAGTGACATACAAATAAGGAAGTTTTGGCTCACGATCCCAGAATCGGACGACCCAGAATTCCGCAGCACAGCTTGGCGTTGGTGGTGCAATGCATCACGCGGTTGTGCGGAGGAGTATAACTGGTGAAGGACGAGACAAGCGATACGCCAGAACCGGGAGCCAACGAAGACCACAAAAGAAGCAGTAAAGGCGATCAACAAATTTGCCTGCGTGCGGGTGAGAGTCAAGGTTGAACCAAGGACGCGGCCTCGAGACCAATCGGTCCAGACACCCAGGTGAACCTTGAATTGCAAAGTGAGGTCATGACTCCCGTCTGCCCAAGCCAGCGCTGGTGGATGGTCCATATCCTTGGTGAAAGTTTGTGGTTTGAACAAGATTGGCTTTGGGACGATAGAATAGGCCCACCTGTCTGCTACGGCTCTAGATAGACCGGCCAGCAGGCATGTCAGGCATCGCATCTAATATATAAGGCCGTCTTAAGCATACTTAGATAATTATACTGCAATAGACACAATCGACACCATACTCATACAAAGGTACCACCCCCAATCTTTTCGAGGCTACCCACAGAAGCTCCAAGTCCAGCTCGAGTTCAGCTCCTGCGCTCCTCCGCAGATCACAGAGGAAGGATATGCTTATGTGTGCCTGCATAAGTTACACGCTAAGGTGTCGATTGGCCCCAAACACGCTCGCTAGGTATGCGGTCAGCACCTTAGCAGGCTCCTTTTATGCTTCGATCCACATATTCATCCATCCATGACGGTGTATGGACCTACAGATGCCCGCAAGATACCGCCATCTGGTTGAATGCCGACATCGACGACCTCAGCTCGTCTTGGCCGCTGGCCCGGGTGAAGGAGACAACAGCATTGGTGCGAATAGCTTCAGCTCTTGGCCTCTTCCGTAGAGAATGGGATGTGCCAGCACGGCACAAACTTGAGTGCCTAGCTACTGCTGTAGCTCGAGCGTGGCGACCAAAAGACCAAAATATCTAACCCAGCCGGATTGGTTGCGAGTAGAGGTATGTAAGCGCCATACTAGTAACGTCACAAACGCGTGCTCTTGGCCATAGACTGCACCAGCTTCTGCGGAGGGCAAAGAAACCCGAGCATATGCAAGCATATAAATGATCTCTGACCTTCCTATCTCATCCAAGGTGCTGACTGTGGGTGGGACTGAGAGTAGCAAGCCCAAAATCCATTAGACCAAGACAGTCCCCGGTATTGGTGGAACGGTGTTTGGTTCGCCACTCTGTTATTTATATCCTTTTTTTTTCTTTTCAAATTGATACGGAACTATGAGTCTTAAAATGTATCGTTTCAAATCTGAGAAGCTGTTGAGAGTTGAGAGTGTATGCGTTTTTTGTCTTTTGTTTTTTTTGCCAAGATTCTTAACCGTCCTTTTCAGGACGAATTGTCAAATTTCTAATGATTGACGGAGCAACTGATCATGGAGTGGTGTCGAATAATTCTCTTAAGTGGCTTCGATGCCTGGATGGTGACCACACTGATTCTAGTCTGCGATCTTGGTAATCAACTAGGTATCTGAGTATGCACTGCCAAGCATTTAGCAATGTGAGGATGGACCTAAAAAGCCCACTGTTCCGATCCAGCTCTATTCAGTCGCTGTATTGTTTTGAGTGTAGCTGCAGCTTGGTCAATAAAGATGGTCAACTCAAACTCGCTACCAGGAGGGTGATTTGGTCTTTTGGCAAGTCAGAGAAACACGGCACGGTTGCCGCGATGGGAAAGGGGGTGATCGAGACCACCTAAGCACCTGTGGACCTCTGACAACATAGCCCGAGAAGATGGAAGAGGGCTGAGCTGGCATTCGAAGGCCAGTGAGCGCACAATAGATGTCACCACATGCTCAATATTTATTGTCTCGAACGTGATGAAAAAAGCCGGCGACTCTTGGTGGTGAAAAAAGCCGGCGACTCTTGGTGGTGGCACTGCTGTGCCGGCAGCTACTTTAGTACGAGTACGCAGTAGCTACCTAGGTACGTAGGGGCCTAGATATGTGCGGGTACCGTGCAAGTCTGCTGACGGCTTTGGTCAGGGGAGCCCCGCCGCCCGCCCCGTCGGTTTCCACGGCTATGATGTCTCTTGTACCCGCCCGCCCCGCACCCGCCACATGGGAGAGTCAGTAACCCGTACTTTCCCATGCTGACAGGCTGAGTGATCATGCAGCAATGCGCACGCCCCGTTCCGATCCAGAGCCCGTGCTGGTGGTGCCCAGACAGCCCACCCGCCCCTCCCTCCAACCTTGGAAGCCGAGCGATCAAGCGTCAGGGTCCAATGCCCACTTGCACTTGCACTCGTGCCAACTTGATTCGAGAACAGAGAACACCAACCCGCGCACTCTCTGCCCCCTCACAGTCACATCTTAACACGTTTCGCTCGTGATGGGCACAATGTGCTAGCTTCCCTTCCACTATCTTTTACCCCATTTTATTCTTCATCAGACAGGTTCCTCTATTCTCTACTCCAGGCGCGCGTCCCAGACTGTGCCATGGTACTCCTCCACACCGACCGCCCCTCGAATCACTGCTAGAACGACACAGCCCTCAAAAGGGACCGACTCCCTTGGCACCATACGGTGGTGTACTCAAACTTCCACTCCTCCTGTCCAGGCATCGCTCCTGGACCTGGACCACTGCGATGTATCACCTCCGCCGCGCCGTCATCGTGGTCGTCTTCCTCGCTTCTCTCGCATTCCTCACCTGGTTCCTACCCAGGGCCCTTAACCCGACCCCGCCCAGCCCCGAGGACCAGAAGCGAGACAAAGCATGGGTGTCTTCCTCCCCGTACTGGATAGACCGCCAGGCTTGCAGGTGGTTCAGCATCTGTGGTCTGCACCACCTGCGCTGGGACGACCCCGTCAGACCACGGGATCCGCGGATCGACTACCAGACCGAGCTAGAGTTGAAAAGGAGGGCCCTACATGAAGGTGCGCCGCCTACTTCATGGGAAGACATGGCCAAGACAGAGAGCGAAAAGCATGGGTCGCGCACAACGGCCAAGACTCTGGAAGATGTGCCCGAGTTCGTCCTCAAGCATGCCCCGCTGGTCCACCTGTACTCCAAGGAACATTTTTGGCCGTCGGATATTGCTGAGCATGTCCGTCACATGGCACCTTTTGTCGGAGACGATCCTGTCAATATGACGGAGCCTGTCTCATTGGCAAACATGTACGACTTAAACGATGTCCCAGGATTTGTGTTCCTCACAAGCATAGATGACGTCGAACGGCGACCAGAATGGCTGTCCAACGACGTGGGTCAGCCGACACCATACCCGGAAGACGACGACCGCGGAGTCAAGGTCGGCCCTGCAGATGGCCGCATCAGCGATGAGGAAAGCGAGTCCTCCAGGTACGAGGATACAACCTGGTGGGATGTCAGCCAGCACTACCCCCTGCGCCGCATATCTGCTCCTCAAGACCACGAGAGGAGAGATATGCTCTCCAAACTCCGCCGTCGCTTTTCCCTTTCTGGCGGCAGCCCGCAAAAGCCATTTCCTCCGCCTCCGGACACGCCCGGTCATAAGCCCGATGCCAGTGGGTACTCGGCAGCCCCGGCTGTGTTGGTCGTAGTGGATAAGGGCTCGGGTATCACCGATGCATTCTGGTTCTTCTTCTACAGCTATAATTTGGGCCAGACCGTCCTGGACATGCGCTTTGGCAACCATGTTGGCGATTGGGAGCACTGCATGGTGCGCTTTGAGAATGGCGTGCCCCGCGCCATGTTCCTGAGCGAGCACGCAGGCGGCCAGGCGTACGCCTGGTCTGCGCTGGAGAAGAAGAGATTAAATACTACTACAAACGGGATCAGCGAGATCACGGAGAGGCCAGTGATCTACTCAGCTGTGGGCAGCCACGCCATGTATGCGTTCCCCGGAGACCACGCCTACGTTCTGCCCTTCAATATGCTCAAGGACCAGACGGACCGCGGACCGCTCTGGGATCCGTCGCTAAACAACTATGCCTACTTCTACAACCACACTGTGGATCCACCGCCTCCAGAGGAGGACGAGGGCGCAGAGGCGAGAGAGATTGGCTTTGACGAGTGGACCCCATATCCTATCGACCCAGCCGTCATGAAAGCCCACGCCAACACAACCCTTCGGAGACGCGATGGCGAAGCCGCCGTCGCACCCGCATCGCTGACCCCAGCGGCATCAAATCCCGACGCGCCGACCTCGTGGTTCCACTTCAACGGGCCCTGGGGTGACGAGCTGTACAGTCTGGGCGATGACAGGCAGTGGCGGCTGTTCGGGCAGTATCACTACGTGACAGGGCCCATGGGCCCCAAGTTCAAGAACTTGGGGCGCGAGAAGGTATGCCAGAAGTACAAATGCCGTATTCTCTACAGCATAGAAGAGGGCCGGAAGAGCAGCTGGCATGATTAGAGACGCTATACAGAAACGATAGACAGACAGATCCTGGCGCCGGCAGGCGCGTCGTGATACCCGTACTAGCAGTAAACAGATTTTCTTGAATAGATTTCATGGCCGTTCAAGTCGCACTCTCCTGTTCCTACCCTTGCGTGAGTGCTGAGCCGCTAGTAGCCGCTGTTTTGCCCTCAAACCTCGAAACGGAAAGTACCGCGAGAGTGCTTGCGACCGCTTACAATGTGAACGAGCCACCGCGTAGTTGGCCAGCCATGTTATCAAGCCAGGCCTTGTAGCCTGCGAACATGCCGACCTGCCTCCACTTGTCGCAGAATCGAGCCAGGGCTTGGTAGTTTCCGATCACGTACCCTATTTCTTCGAAGCTATCAGACGACGACGACGACGACGACGACGTGGTCGCCTCCCTCGCGGCGTTCGTGAGCTTCTTGAGGCACACCGGGCATAGGTAGGGCGGCTGGCGGCAGTCCTCGGCCATCCCTGCGGTGCCCTGCATCACGCATGCGTAGTAGACGCAGTGGCCAATGCCCAGGCAGTGTCCTAGCTCGTGGGAGGCCGTGCGTGCGAGAAGGCAGAGCCACAGACCGCCGAGCGAGGAGCTGGTGTTGAGGCCTTCCGCGGCGGCGTCGCCACTGCTGCATCTGCTCGCGTGGAGGGCGTAGTGGAGTGGTGAGGCTGCGGGCTTGGCTTCCTGCTCGTCCCGGCGGCGCTTCTTGCCTCGCGGGGCAGTGGCCGAGCCGCAAAGCCGTGCGACGTAGGACATGCAGTGTGATGCTGGCCATGTATGGTCCAGATCGATGCCGTCGGCACCACTGGAAAGTAGCAGTGCCGGGTTGTATCGTGCCGATGAAACAACCGCGACACGACTGCCACCGTACGCGCGGCCGCAGCCGAAGTCGTCGTCGTCATCCTCGTAGAGGTCGTGGCCTACAAGGAAGAGTATGGCGTAGGCATCTTCAGGCAGGGCTGTGATGGCGGCGTCTAGAATGTCATCCAGGTTGAGCTGCTTCGCGTATGTGCCGTCCGGACAAGGCCGTGCCCTGATGCGTGTGCAGGAAGAACCACAGCGGAGGCCGATAAAGGACGACGCGGTGTCCTTTTTGGCTCGGTTCTTTTGCCCTGACTCCCATGTCGTGAACTCGAGTGTCTCGTTGAACATCTTCACAGGTATCCCATGGTAAAACGCCTCCAGGTACTCCCTTATATCATCCGGGTTGGGTGGCGCCAGGTGGTCCGGAGCGCTCGCCCTCGCCTTGTTCGCCCCTTTTACGCCTTCCAATTTAGGTCTCGTCCAATCCTCCATCATGGCAGCATCTTGAGAAAAGGTCGGTACGCTGGCTACGTACAGCGTCTTCCGAGCAGGTGTGAACTTGTTGCGATGCTTGCCCCTCAGCCAAGATGCCAGACTCTGGGGCGGGCAAGTCGGGTCTAGAGCCAGATCATCACCAGGGAGGACGAGCGGCGCAGGGAACAACGAATCAAGGCTGCTGTCATCCTGGCCCTGGGGAGGGCTACTGTCACTTGGCTCAGAAGTTCCTCTGTTCTTGGGCGGAGCGCGGCCAGAAGGAACTGTTGCAGCGTGTCGCCGCCTCCAGTCCTCTCGCTGGAAACCAGCCTCGTCGGCATGTGAGGACACTTGGAACGTGAGGTCGCTATGGGGACACTTCTTTCTGGGGGCCATGACGAGTGCGTATGAGAGCCAAGAAGAGGATGGGGCAGTACGAGAGAGAGCACATCAACCTGGGCGTGAATGTCCACTGCTCTCCCTCGGTGCTGTTATATATACACTTGTATGTACATGTTGCAGGAATTGTGTTAAAAAAAACAAGAAAAAGAAAACAGGATCTTTACCATCTCCAGGCAGCAGTGCTACAAGTGCCGTCAGCGAGTGCATATCCGTATGTGGATAGCCATAATGGCCATGAAAACGGTAGATTACGTTGGGCGTTGAAGTTGACGGGCCTTGGCCGTTCGTTCTTTCGTATCAGGCAGGTGCCAGGAACCGCTCTACCCCCACCCCTGTCATGCCACTTAGCCGGCACCAAGGTCACCCCTCATCAGCAAGCAGCAAGCAGTTACGCCGCTTGTATCCTCCTTTTGTGAGCTTCTTATTTCCAATGCCCCGCACATCTCTCCTCCCTCGCCCGTGTTGCTCACCACGAGTACTCCCTCAGCTGTCGTCTGCCTTGACAAGACGAACACCAACCCCTGGCCCAACCTTTGAAGCTTGCTCTCGTCCTCCACGACCCCGCCTCCTCCCCCAGCAGCAGTCCCGAAGCTACCTGACCGAAGCTATCCGCGCACACCAAGCTCGCAAGATGGCTGGCGCTCCTCAACTCGACGGCTTTTTCAGCCAGGTCGACGCCCTGACCCCCAAGTTCATCGACCGTCTCGCCGCTGCCGTTGCCATCCCTTCCATCTCTGCCGAAGATGCTCGCCGGCCCGATGTCATTCGCATGGCCCATTTCCTCGAGAAAGAGCTGAAGGATCTCGGCGCCGAGGTCGAGCTGCGTCCCCTCGGCAAGCAGCACGGCAAGGACAACCTCGATCTGCCCCCGGTGGTCGTCGCTCGCTACGGTAACGACAAGAACAAGCGTACCATCCTCGTGTACGGACACTACGATGTTCAGCCTGCCGAGAAGTCTGACGGCTGGGCCACCGAGCCCTTCGAGCTGAAGGTCGCTGAGGACGGGAAGATGCTCGGGCGTGGGTCCACGGATGACAAGGGCCCTGTGTTGGGCTGGCTGAACGCCATCGAGGCGCACCAGAAAGCCGGCGTCGAGTTCCCCGTCAACCTGCTCATGTGCTTCGAGGGTATGGAGGAATACGGCTCCGACGGCCTGGACGACTTCATCATGGCCGAGAAGGACAAGTTCTTCAAGGACGCCGACGCTGTCTGCATCAGCGACAACTACTGGCTCGGCACTGAGAAGCCCTGCCTGACCTACGGCCTCCGTGGCTGCAACTACTACAACATCGAGGTATCGGGGCCTGGCGCGGACCTGCACTCCGGCGTCTTTGGCGGCACAGCGCAGGAGCCAATGACCGACCTGACACGCATCATGGCATCCCTGGTCGACACCGACGGCAAGATCCAGATCCCCGGCATCATGGAGCAAGTAGCCCCGGTCACGGCCGAGGAGGAGACGCTCTACGACAACATCAGCTTCACCATGGAGACGTTGCACGACTCCCTGGGCAGCAAGACCACCATCTTCGAGGACAAGAAGAGCACTCTGATGGCGCGGTGGCGCTACCCCTCCCTGTCTCTGCACGGTATCGAGGGCGCCTTCTTCTCGCCCGGCGCGAAGACCGTCATCCCTGCCAAGGTCATCGGCAAGTTCAGCATCCGCACTGTGCCGGACATGGATGTTGACAGGACCAACGCGTGTGTCGAGAAGTACGTACAGGAGCAGTTCGCTAAGCTGAAGTCCAAGAACACCCTGAAGGTCTACCCCCAGCACACCGGCAAGTGGTGGGTTGCGAGCCCCAAGCACTGGAACTTTGGCGCCGCGGCAAAGGCCGTCGAGAGGGTGTGGGGGGTTGAGCCTGACTACACCCGCGAGGGTGGCAGTATCCCGGTCACTTTGACATTCGAGCAAGCCACAGGGAAGAACGTCCTGCTTCTGCCCATGGGGAGCTCCAACGACGGCGCTCACTCGATTAACGAGAAGTTGGACAAGAGGAACTATGTGGAGGGCATCAAGTTGTTGGGCGCTTACCTGCACTACGCGGCCATCGAGCCTATGCAATAGAGCAGTAAACTTGCATTGGAAACGAGCATTGACAATTCTGAGAACAACGAGCAGAATGAAATGATAGTTGCTCATATGTAATCAGCGCCTGGCTCAGGAAATCGATCACTTTGCATAACAGTGGCCCAACTCGTCTCCTAGGGTTTATTCACAGTCTAACCGTGATACTAATAGCATGCAGATGCCCCTATTCTCCTGGAATAGTTTGCATTTCCAGCGCACGCGACCATTGTCGTGCGGCCTCCCTAAAAGAGCAAGTCTTTGGAATTTGAAAGCCCGGACTGTCCCGAGTTCATCCAATCCAAGTTGACACAGCGGCACCACCGAAGTGAATCGATCCGGCCGATGGGCCGGTCATTAGAGCCTTCCTCGTCTCACGTCTGGTAGCTAGTTTCGAGCCGGGCTAGCATCATACCATGATTGGGAGTCTGGTCACCCAACTTCCTGCGAGTAAGATGCCGTCTCATCTATACTACCTTGGCGGCTTCCCCTGACAGCCTTAGAAAAGACTGAGATCCGAAGCTTGCGATATATGCTGGATTTGGCACATGATGCCGTCGCTGACAGTAGACTATCGCCTGGTATTTACATTGATGCAAGCCAAGTGATGGTGTGTGGTCGCGAGGCACACCGACCGTTCGCTGTACGCCTCGACTCGTCGAGCGTTTCAACCCCAAGCGACAAGCATCCCGGCAACGCCTCTTGCGACCCAAGGCCACCCTCAAGGCAGAATCACATGCACCCTCAGAACTTCTCCTGCGCCGGCCTGAGGTCGAGCTCGTGCACCCACAGCGCGGGCTCCTGGCCGCTCAGCCACAGGTACGTCCTGCCGACGGCCTGGGCGCTCATCTTCTTGCCTGTCCTGGTGTCGTCGTTGTCCTCGTCCACGATCCCTCCATTCGCGATGGCGTGCACGCACTGCACGCCGAACTTGGAGTGCTCCTTCGCCACGGCCTGCGCGACCATCCTGGCGCCGGCGCGCCCGGCCCCGTAGGCGGCGTAGCCCTCGTTGGTCCTCATGGCCCCCAGAGTCCCCGTCAGGATGATGGTGCCCTTCTTGGCACCGCCCGTGTCGGCAAGGAGGGTCTGCCCGCCCTGCTGCTCATATATCATCTTTAGGGCCTCCTGTGCAAACACGAAGGCGCCCGTGGTGTAGGTCTGCAGGCTGGCGCCGAAGTCCTCGGCCGTGCCCTCGAGGAAAGGACCTTTGCTGCTGTGCTTGACGTGGTAGATTGCCAGCTTGAGTTTTAGGCCCGAGAAGTCCGAATGCGACGCTATGTCCTTGAAGGCCTGGCGCAGGTTGTCCGGCTGGGTGTCTGTAGGGAACGACTGCAGGACGCCGCCGTTGGAGGACTTGCGCACCGAGTCGCGGAGCTTGGCGAGGTTGTCCGCGTTCCGGGCCAGGAGGGCCACGGCGAGATTTCCCTGGGCCGGGTCGGCGAGCACCCGGGCTATACCGGCCCCTGAGGTCGGACCGGCGCCGATTATTATTGCCAGGCCTGAAGGTGCCATAGCGAATCTCAAGTGTAAATAATTGAGACAGACGTGACTAATTGCAGCTATTCCCCATCCACAATGAGTGGCAGGATTTCAGAATGCGGACAGAAGTCTGCAGACGGCTGGGCAGTTCATGGCATGATGCGAGATGCGATGATGGCTGTTGCCAACGTCATCGACCCGGGACTAGTATACTTGAGAGCCTCGGGATGTACCACCGCTTTACATGGATCGATCTGCACACGAACCAGGCTCGGGCCATGCATGATCTGCCAAAGATCTTTCTTGGCGGTCAGACATGTACGGGGAGTGGTGCTTCCCGAACCGTGTTAACGGTCGGGGCCAGTGCTTGGTCTTCGCCTGGCTCGCAATAGAGTCGACAACCTCATGTCGTGCGCCCAAACACTGCCACGGAATGCGCGGATGGGCGAGGCAGACCATCCTGGCATAAGCTTCTCAATAAGCGCTTCTTTCAACTGAAAGAGCTCGAGTACCGTCACAGTTCAGTCATGAAATCAAGGTAGCAGGCAAAAACTGGTTCCATTGTCACAGTTCAAGTTGTATTCAAGCGGCTGACCATCAAAAGTAAACCTTCAATGTTGGACATACCACTCATCACCCCAACATCGCTTTTCTCTTCTCCCCCGTTACATGCCAGGCCACGAGATCGTACGTGCGAAGAGCTGAGCTGTCAACTCTGCCTGCCTGAACCTTGGAACCTTGGAACCTTGGAAGTCTGCTCGTCGAGCCCCTTTTCCCATCTCACCTGCCTGCCCATTCAGGCATTCCATGGCCGTCATCTGGCTACTTCACACAGCCACTGTGTTTTATCGGCCCTGTCTGTAGAACATCAGTCGAATCCGCCAGCGGCTGTGGCGACGGCTGTGCCGGCCAATTCTGGTGGTGGAGTGGCAGTCGTCCGAAGTCTGGTCATGTTGAAACACCTAGCGAATTAAGCGCCTGCGAGAGCTTGATCAGACGGGGTTTGGGGATCTTGAGGCCATACCAGGGAGCACGGAAACATTGCACCCTTTTGCTCCTCGCCAAGACCACGGCCCCCCGAAACTTGTGTCAGATCCAAACCGTAGCAGCGATTTCTCCTCTGATTTCCTGTTTGGGCAAATCCCAGCAGACGTCCCGCGCCCTGCATGCATGCCGGTTTGTCTGGATGTTTGGCCATAGCACTTATATGCCTCGACGCCCAACCTTCTTCCACGGGTATAATCTTTTCTTGTTTCCCATGTTGATCATCATCACAAGTATACGCACCCACTTGCATTCCTTCAATCCGTCGAGCTGCGCTCACGTTTCCGGTATATTCTACAACTTCGACCCCTTGATTCCTCACGACAACCTGCAACAATGAAGGCTACCGGAACATTCACCACCCTCGCCCTCGCGGCATCAGTTCTCGCAGACGACTGGACGCTGCCAAAGCGAGACGTCGCAACCATCCAGACCGTCATCACAAACGCCCAAACTGCCCTGACACAACTCGACGACACCGTCAAGGCCTTCAACGGACAAGACTTCCAGAAGCTTGCCACAGACGCCGCGAACCTCAAGAACGTCCTGACGCAAGGCTCACAACAAATCTCAGCGACGACGCCAATCTCGGCCAACGATGCCGTCAGCCTGCAGAGCTCGCTGGGCCCCGTGCAGACCGCCGCCCAGACCCTGAGCACCGACCTTGCGGCCAAGAAGACCCAGGTCGAGCAGGCCAGCCTGTGTGACGTTGTCTTCTCGCAGACAAAGGACATTGGCACGGCGGCGAAGAGCCTCATCGACGCCACCGTCCAGAAGACCCCGCCAGAGATCCAGCAGATCGCCGGCCAGCTCACCGCCCAGTTTACCCAGCAGCTGGACGACGTCTCCAACAACTTCGCCACGGGCAACTGCACAAACGCCTCCGGCGGCTCGGCCGCCAACGCTGGCATCACCATGGGCAACGGCACGTCGACGACCAACTCGGGCTCCTCCAGCGGCAGCACCATCGGCAAGTCGGCCGCCTCCGTCAATACTGCTGGTGCTTTCGGCTTTGGAGTAGTCGCGGCTGTGGCCGGGCTCTTGATGCTGTAAGAAGGATCAGCTATAGAATGATGGAAGGCATGTGGTGAATGAAGTATGATAATGAGTGTGGGAACCAATGCGTCTAGCACGCTCACCGGTGTGAGTGTTCAGGTTATTTCAGAGTGGGTTTCAGGTTTGCCACTTCAGATTAGATATATCAGCATGAGGCTTCGTTCGCAGCCCGGAACAAATACAGCGATTTGGTCACACGCGACGTGCTATTGCTACTGTATGTGGTTTCGCTTCTATTCCGTATACGTCCGAGGACATGCATGTCGCCTTCATACGGTGGTAAGCGCTCAAGACCCAGCGCTTGAAAGGACACGATGTCGATAACAATAGTTATGATATGATAGGTGCTTGTGGCCTTATTAGCCTTACGACGCACAGATAAGGCTAAGGGCACCGTTTTATTTCTAATCCCTATATATATAAAATATATATAGCGCCTTTATATAATAATAAATACTTAAAATTTAATATTTAAAAGATATAGTATTATTAATAATAAAAAGAAAATATAATATATTTATAAATATATAATTAAACTTTATATTATATAAATAAAATTAAAATAATATTTTAAAATAATATTTATAAAAAAGAATTTTATAATATAAAATTTAATAAATTAATTTCTTTATTAATATAATTTTATTTTTATTTTATAAGAAAAGTAAAATTTAAAAGTTTTAAAGTTAAATTTATTTTAAAATAATATTAATATATTATTAAAAATTTATTTATTTTTAAATAATATATAAAATATATAATAAAAAGAGTTTTATAAAGAAAGTTAATAACTTTACTTTATATAAATAAATTTAAAAGTATTATAAAAGAGATATAAAAAGATAAAGTTTTAAAATTTTTAAAAATTACAGAATTTTAAATAATATTTTATTTATTTATAAAAAAGAAAGAGAGGAGAGAAACCTTTAAAAGTTTTAATATTAAAAGAGTTTAAAGCTTTAAAAGTTATAAGTAATTTATATATTTAATTAATTATTTTAACTTTTAGTTAAAGTTATAATAAATAAAATATAATTTAAAATATAACTTTTAATAACTTATAACTTTATATATATTATTATTAATAATAATATTATAATATAAGCTTTAAATAAAATTAAATTTAATATTTAAATATATTTTATTTTAAAATTAAAAGTAAGGTAAGAAAGTAAATATAAAAGTATAAAATTTAACTTTTATAAAATTAAAAACATAAAAAGTCTTTACTTTTAATCTTTTATAAATAAAATTATATAATATTTTAACTTTAAAAGTTTTATTTAATAGTATTATTTTAATAAATTATATAAATATTTTAATATAATAATTTTATTTAAAAATATTTTATATATTTTAAAATTATATTTTATTATTATAATTTTACTTTTAACTTAATATAATTATAATAAAAATATATATTTAATAACTATTAATATTGTATTTAAAATATAAATTAATAATTAATATAAAAGTTTAAAAAAGAATTAAATAAAAAATATAATATAATTAAAACTATATATAAAATATTTATAATACTTTTATATAATAATAAATATTTAAAACTTAATATTTAAAAATATAATACTAATAAAAGTATAGAGAGAGTATAATAGTCCTAGGTGTATATATATAATCCTTTCCTTATAACCGTTCTATTGAAATAATACTAGTGAGATATTTCATTTTAAATTCCTGTTATGGTGTAAAAAGTTATGTCTCCACACTTAGACTGTCAACAACTATCAGGCTAGGTGAGCCATTCCATGATTTGAGGCCAAGTGTATATGGTAGTCAATTAGTATTAAGACGAACAGATGCCTTGTGACCCATCGTAGGATGCTATGGCCAGGTGGCTTCCGTACAATCATCATTGAGAAACCAACAGCCTCTTTGTGGAGACACTCAATATATTTATTGGATCAATGAAGCTAGAAACATGTAGACCTATACTCACTGCCAAGACTGTATTGCCATCCGTTCGTGACATCTACTCCTGGCTGCGTTCCGGCAACCTTGGAAGGCATCAGCATGACCATGCATGATTGTCTTCACTTCAGCGCTGGATCCGCATCATTTGAAGCATGGCTTTCAAAGTAATTATTGCTCATTTGTGAAAACCTTTTGCTGAAGTGTAGTCACCTGTGCTTGTTTCATCCCTCTTTGCTGGCAACCAAATCACCGAGTCACATCCCAATTTGCTCGCAGCTCGCCGGTACTGGCCAAGGCATCCACCCACAATTGTCTATCTCCGGCGAATTGAGGCAGACCATTGGCCTTGAACTTTTCTGACCTCCATTCCTGTGGCTATTCCATTCACAACAACAGCACCAAGGTTGTCTTTTGGCCACACACACACACACACACACACACACACACACACACAGATCCGAACCTGCACAGATCCGAACCTGCCAGACCCATCCCACAAAGACAACATCAAAGGCAGCATGGCTGATCAAGGACAATTGAAACTCATTGGTGTGCCGAAGTTCTCCACAGACTTCGAGGTTGTGGGCATTTCTGATGAGATAGAGGGAGAAATGCTTGCCATCAACTCCATCTACGGTGACGGAACGTGGGAGATTGAAACGACATATATCGACAACGGCAGCCCCAAGATCCGAACAAGGCTGAAAGTCCCGTCGCAAGACCTCTCGAGCGTTGAGGAGTGCGTTTCTCTGAACATCGTATTGCCTTCAACGTATCCTCACCAAAGGCCAGAGTTCAAGGGAGTCAACAAGTGGGCCAAACTGTCCCGACGCAACCGAAACATTTGCACTCTGGTCTTTGTGGCTATCCACCAAAATTTTAGTACGGGGAATGTCTGCATCCACGATGCTCTGTTATATGTAGCAGAACGGAGCAGTCTTTTGAATGAGAGCGGCATGCTGGATGCAAACAAGACAGGTGACGTTGAGCCTGGTCTGGTCGACGAGCTCCAGTGGACTCTTTGGGATGACTTGAACATCAGCAACATCTCTGCTGAGACGTCCTGCACCGTCTGCATGGACGAGGGCCTCGCCTTTCAAATGGCCCCACTGCCCTGCGGTTGTCATTACTGCATGACCTGTTTCACCGGTAAGCTCGCACCAGCTGGCAGAGTCCCCCCCTCCCCCTTCTTAGCGTTTTCAGGACTGATGAATGCATGCAACACAGCCGGCTGGGGTGTTGCGTTTGGCGCGCTGGAGCCCTACACCTGCTGCCTCCAACGCGTCCCCGTGAGCCTGATCGAATCCCGCGTCAAACCCGGACAAAACGACATAAAGCGCTACACCCAGATGCTCCTCGCGCGCGACACAGCCCACCCATTCTTCTGCGCCTACTTCAAGAAGTGCGGCAAGCTGGTAGGCGGTTTCGACGAGAAGGCCCTTCGCTTCGCAGCATCGAAGCGAGGCGGCGGCGGCATCCTCTGCCGGTCATGCAGGCTCTGGACCTGTGCAAAGTGTCGGACGCCGAAACACACCGGCGAATGTGTGACTGACCCAGACATGGCCAAGCTGTTCGAGACGGCTGATATCCGGCGGTGTCCAAAGTGCAGCGAGGCGATCGAGAAGGACGGCGGCTGCCCCCACATGATCTGCCGGTCCTGCGGCAGCGACTGGTGGTGGAAGAGGAGCGGCGCGCTTGAGCCGTTCCTGGGCTACGGCCGGCACGACGACGACGACTGGCTTGACCAGGAGGACTAACGTCAGCCGGCCCGACACGGACGACAACTTTCACAATGGAATTCTAAGTGCACGCGCTCGTACACCCCGATAACCTCTATACTAAGTGCCGGATTGCCGTTGCAGCTATGGGAACTTGACAGAAAGGAACATGGAAGGGTAGGCTGGTCACATGCACTAATTACGAGGCATCAACTTCCGAGGTCCCTGGATCTTTGCCTCAAAAACACACGAGACCTAACCCCTGAGCATTAAGTTGTATGAGATTGTCTCAACAGAGGTCCAAGAATTCTGAATTATAAGACTCAAGTGCTGTATATAACCATTTCACACAATGATTTACAGTCTTCCCGTTAGTATTCCAACTCTCACAATCACATCAGGTACCCAAAAACCAAGAAGACCTGCCTGCGTTGCCGACGGGGTTTCTCCTGTCTAGATGTCGCCAATTATTGCTTATGGAGCTCTTCTTCTGGGACCGTACGCATCTTTCGCGCCGCAGTCGATCGCCCGTGATTCAGCTTTACGTAGTAGAGTGAGAGGCGGCATACTAACCCACGCCCTTTACCGAGTTTGTCTTCAGCCGTCTTTAGAGCCACGCTGGTTTCACGAGGCTACCAAGTTCCGTAAAGATAATTGGCGCTTGCTAGATTCATGACCCCTTCTGGAGCGGGATAGTCTCAGGTCAATGCGGGCATTCGATCCAAGATTTGCCCGCCGGCAGCTAGGTGCGCCAGAACCTGTAGGACTGCGATCTAAGACTTCAATTGCCGGGGAAACACATCAGACCATCTGGTAATGAGAACATCCTGTTCCACTTGTATGTGCAAGTTCCCCCGGGCCCATAGCCATGTAAAGTGTCCAACGAGTGTTTTCGACGTAGATACCTAGATAAAGAGATACCATGAGTAGAGGAGAAGTACATCAATCCTTTTTCACTACTGCCCAGGCGAAAACCAGTTTTGCTGGAAGTATATTGGAACAGCCGCCAAGTTTGCGAGTGTCTGGACACCACGCTAGAAACGCCCGGCCACGGTTGGCTTCGCGAACGATCCTGATGTCTGATATCTGCACGGACGAGACACCGTCACGCGCTTCTCCCGGGAGAGGCTCTGACCGTCGCCCACTCCGGAGGCTTTCGGGCGAGTATGAGTACTCATCAAACGCCATTTCTGTTCCCACCCTCGCGCCTTCCAAAGTTTCTTTACACAAGTTCCCGCACTTTGTTTATTGAAACCCCGAACAAGGGATCAAGACAAGAGCCGTGTTCAAGTTCCACAGAATGAGGCTTCTCATTTTACTGGGCTCTGCGCTGGCTACTTTCAAGGCTGCGCAAGCCCTGGATAGGCCCCTGCCCGACGCTTTGAAGCTGGTTTATGGTCTACCCGAATGCTCGGTCAGTTTGTTTCTCTGAGCTCAAGGCTGCACCTTGAAAAGACCCGCACGTGATTGACAACTTCTAGTTGGGCTGTGTGATACAAAGTGCTCCGGCTGGGCCATGTCCACTCACAGATATCGACTGCCAATGCCGAAGTGAAGCTGTCACGAAAGCAGGGGCAGTTTGTGTCTTAGCAAACTGTACCATGGCGGACTCCGTTAGTATGTGGCCACTGCTCCCAAGCGCAATCACTTCCTCCAGGAGTCAACCGTTAGTGCTGATACCTGAGCAATTCTATAGCTCTGGCTCAACTCCAAGCGGAACTATGTGAACTTCCTCACGATTCCGTCAACCCTACCATCTGGGGAGTTTCAATTATGGCTGGGACTGTTTGTTTTGCCATGCTGGCTCTGAGGCTCGTCGCCCGCCGCTATTCTGGCAACAAACTGTGGCTCGACGACCTGTTCCAGATACTGGGAGCCGTAGGCTGACCCCTGATCAAGCACCATCCCTCGGCTCCTCACATTAACATTCCGTCTCGATAGATTGTGATGATACCTCTTCTCGCGCTCGCCATCATGGGTAAGAAAATCACTCCATGTTTCGTATGTAGGTACGCGACGACTGTTGTACTAAATTTACTCAAGTCAGCATTCATGGGCTAGGGAAGCATGTTTACGACATCGAATTCAAGAATTCATATACAGACGTCTTCAAATACTGTGAGTCAGCCACAGAATATAAGATGCCAACTTTCCGACTCACACTGCCGTGAACAGATTATCTCACGGAAGTCATGTACCACGTCCACAGCACCCTCATCAAGCTTTGCATGCTGTTCCTCTACCTCCGCATTTTCCCTGATAGACTCACAAAAGGCCTGGTCTATGGCGGTATCTCTTTCCTGGTGGTGTCACAGGTCATCGTGACCTTCTTCACGATCTTCCAATGCAAACCAATACAAGCGGTCTACGACTTCGACATCAAGCAGAAGCAGTGCCTTAGCATCACCGACATCGCTGCCTCGGGGACGGCCTTCAACATCGCGGCCGAGCTGGTGATCTTCTTCATCCCGATCCCCGTCGTCAGCTCCCTACAGATGAGCAAGGCCAAGAAGATCGGGATCCTCTTCTTGTTCAGCGTCGGACTTGTGTAAGTCATCCCTCATCGACCCAGGAGCATCCTTTGCCGGGACTTTAGAAAGAACTGACTGGAGGACCCCCTTCTACCAGCACAATCGGCGTTGCCTGCGTCCGCGCCCCGACGCTCACCGCGCTCAGCGACCAGCGCGACATCACCCGGAGCCTCGCGCCCACCTTCGTCTGGTCGTGCGCCGAGCTGACGGCCAGCAACGTCGTCGTGACGCTGCCAGCCGTGAGCCAGTTCCTGCACGCAGGCCTCAGCAGGGTCACGAGCAGCGTGCAGTCCTGGGTCAGGAAGACGGAGAAGACGGCGGTTGGCACACGCATCTTCGGGCCCATGACCCGCAGGCTCAAGGGCAGGGGCAAGACACTGCCGCATCGCCTCGACACCATGGCCAGCTTCGACTCGCTGGGACCTATCACGCTGACAACGGTTGTCAATCCTACTGGTGGGGGTGATGAGAAGTGGAGGTAAGGAAACCATGACAGCTGATTGCCAGCCCTGGAGACTTCAAATGTTACTTGGTACACCTGTGCAAGCGGAAACTGACCAGCATTCTTTGGCAGGAACGCGCCGAGCACCAGCCATACTGTTGACTCGACTACTACGCATACTGATGGCTCCAACACCCTTCAGGGCAGTCGAACCTCGTGCGACAAGAAGGTCTGATGCACACCAGGCGAATGTGATGTTGGTGCAGAATGGTCAAGATGTATAAATAGAACATGGAAGCATGTATAATATAGCTCGTCATATTGTGTGTCATGAACTAGCAGAGCAGCACTGGCAACAGATTGGACGTCCATGAATAGTACGCAGCCTGGCGGTGAAGCTCGAATAATTACCATGCGGGCTAGCAACCGGCCATTTCCATCCTTCACCCCCAAATCCTCACGAACACCTGCTTCTAGACCAGTATATTCTCAGCACGGGATCTCAGACGGGATTCCTTCGCTCGGATTGTAATGAGACCGGCCCAACAGGTGCTTGATGCGGCGTGGTGTCGCATCGCACTACCTATATAGAGCTACCTAGGTATATAGCAGACCGCGCGTTCTCCAGTGCCAACGTGCATAAACCTTTGCGCGAAGGATCAGGCCGGAACCCGCGCCATTTCACTTTGGCTCGACTCTGCATGGTCACCTGGGCACATGAAGTTCTGTTGGGCCTGGGATCACCATCCCGGGGCTTTTGTGAATATTCCGATGGAGGCTTGCCAACACGCGCATGCAAAGTCCGCTGCCGCGTTTGACGCCACAAGCGACGTGTTTGTGCTGGTGCAGAATACTGCTAAGCGCGGCCTATATCGTGTCTGAGCCGTTGACAACGCACAGCAGGAGCTGGTCGACGCGTTATCGGGCTGCGGGATGTGCCACTTGTCGGTGTGCGGTGTGCGGTTATCTAACACACAGGAGGGTTGCCCGCGGCGAGGTCTCGTTGCCGGTCCCCCATCTCGACGCGGCGATCCTGTGTTGGTGTTCCGCAATGGCGCCAAAGGATCCATGCATGGATTTGAAAGATTCAGTTTCCAAAAATTGCAAGGTGTGTTTCCGGCAGAGAAAGTCTAGCCAAGAACATTGAGACGGTCACGACTCTCAGGGGCCACCACCACCTTGGGCACCCCGGGTAAAGTGATTGAGGCTGGCGATGGTCGTTTGTCAACAACATGTCCCCGAAGGTCGATCAGGAACGGGGTCAAGCCAAGGGCACACAATCCTCCTTCATGAAACACCGTACCTGAGCCGTGGTGATCAACATGGTGTCTTCTGACGGGCCGCGAACGGGCGGTGGCGACAGGGGGTTCAACCGACGACTCGGTCCCCACATCCTGGATTTCGCAAGGACCTGGAGTGGATATGAGGGCTTTCGACAGGCTACCAGCGTCACTGGTGCAGGTTTTGGTGGTGTTATTGCCTGGTGCTTACTAGGGCAGTTATTACACTATTACACAGTAGTTGCTCTTGGGACCGAGAGGGGGCTTGGGCGCCCGTGCGCCACCGGTGTTTTGGATCGTCACCTCTGCACAGACTTGAAACGAAACACACCGAGGGGGAGGAGCCAGGCTGGATTGGCGCATTGAGATCAAATGATCAATACGAGAAGATGCAGGATGGATTGATCGATGGTTCCAGGACGGTGGTAGACGATGCTGTCGGCAGCCCCTCTGCCCCTTGACTCAGGACAGGCGTGCATGGCCTGAATCAGTCTGCGTCGAGCCAGGTAGGCAGGAGGGAGGCACAGCATTGCAACCACACTGCAGAAGTCTGCCCCGAGTTTCCACAGCGTTGGAGATTCTGCTTCTGGCAGACTAGTCCCAGAAGGGGCCATGAGCTACCACATAGTATGTGGTGGGCGGAGCCTCACGCCTCGAGATCTTGGTTCAACCACTGCAGGCTGGACAGATATTCGAATCAGGGGCGCTGGGTGTGGGTACGGAGTACGGTGCTGACAGCGACCTGCTTCAAGATCTGCATGCGACCCTTCCATCACGCAACGACAACACGAGAGGGAGCTGTCGAGACTGACAGCCCAAGAATGTGACGACGGACTGGTGAACCCCGAATCAAGCTTGAAGATTGAAGATTGACAGGCGAACAGTGAACAGTGAACAGTCAACAGTCAACACATGCTGTCCGAGGCGCCGTGGCCCGGCCAAGCCTGGCTTGATTGGCCGAGTGTCCTCGGGAAGATGCCGTGCTCGAGCATGAACAGCATGTAGGTAATCAATATATCGAGTGGGACGGGGATGCACGCAGGCACGCAGGCACGCAAGCACGGAGGTAGGTGCCCAGCAGCCCAAGGTGCCCCGGCCGAGTAGGTGTGGGGCCCGTTTCTCCGGTGTGGGCCTGGTGTTTTCTGCTAGTCTACAGTGGGGAGCCCTGATGCTGACGGTCATGGACCATGGACGATAGCACCGACAGATGCGAGCGTGGGATGATGTGCCAGCGTGCCTGCATAACCTAGCAACCTAGGTACTGAGATTCAAGGCTCCCGGGCGGGCACGTTTCTGATCTTGATCTCAAACAGGGGAGCAGAGCAGAAAGGCAGAAAGGGTGGGCAGGCCGGTGTTGAAGCTTAACTCTGATCTGAGGCGATGCCCGATAATGCTGCTGGATGTAACCCTGGGGGGGCTATCTGCCAGTTGCTCTGTGGCCCGTGGCCCGTGGCCCCCGCGCGCGCGGGACGCCGGGACCCCTGAGGCAGCACGTCAAGCTGTAATCTGTACAGATTACTATGTTGTATGTCAAGCTATGCGGGCAGGGCTGCAAGCATTCTTCCCCAAAGGAGAATGCGAAACACGCGGGCACGAGTTCAGACGAAGTCAGTGCTGAAGGGGCACGGCGAGGAGGTCAGGCATTCCTTGGCGTGTACTCTGTAGACAGACAGACAGGCAGTCAGGCAGTCAGGCAGTGAGATCCGGGACGACAACTCGGAGCAAGACAGGCAAGGTGGGTACGGTATAGAGTACTCCGTATAGGGTATAGGGTTTAGGGTATAACACGCAAATAATAAGCATACCGTGTGCCTTAGACGGTGGGCCGCCCAAAAGACCAGAGACCAAACCAGCTCTGCCAGCCACATTTCGGCAAAGTGCATTCTGCTGTGCTCCCATTCTAAAATTGTCCCCAGCCAGAGACAGGCAAGACAGGCACGGCGTGGCAGTCGGCGGTGGGCTAGCAGACCAGGGTCCAGCACCTGTCGACTTTCCCCATCCGGCAGGACCCAGCCCACCCGACCCGTGCGACCCACTTGTTCAGCCGCCCCAGCAAATAGAGAAGGGCGGATTAGCCGCGCAGTTGCTTCTTTCCCAGGTGCCTTCCAAGAATCCAAGATTCGGGGTGCGACCTCCAATGCGCCTTGCCTGCTTGCCTGCTCGCCCGCGCTTTTTGCATGCACCTTGCCGTCGGCCGGCTTTGCAGAGAAGGTGCGGTGCATTGGTACATGATGCATTGGAACAAGGTGCATTCCTCCATCTGATCTGCCCCCCCCGTCTGCCCATCTTTCCAATATCGAATCGCGCGTCTGCATCGGCACCGTGATCTGCCGGCTGCAAGTCAGCGATAGCCGACCACTTGTCCTGCTGTTTTCCCACTGGCTGTGGCCAGTCCTCCCCCCTCTGGCATACGGTACGGAGTACGCATGCCATGAGCCGTGTCTTTGTCAGAAATCACTTGTCGGCCCCCCAGGTTGTACATGAAACTGCGGCGCTGAGTCGAGCCCAACCATCTTACGGCAGGTAAATGGCGTGCACTGCCGGCCATCTACAGTACCTAGCTTTAAGTACTAAGTACCCAGCTAAGGTTTTTCGGTTGTTTCTGGAGACTCCAGGCCGGCCAGGGTCAGGGTCCTCCCGTGCTCGCTCGGCTAGCGTCGCCTACCCCCCATCCCACATCCCCCATCCCCCATCCCACATTCCACATTCCACCAGCGGCTCCGACAACCCCTCAACACACCTCAACGGCCGTCCAACGGGGCGGCGCAGCAACTGGGACTTCTTTTCTGTTGGCGCAGAGGTCTAAAATTGACATGGCCCGGTCTGAGTGAGCACTTCCTCTCGGCAGTCCAGCGTTCCGAAGGCAAGGTGACGCTGCCTACTGCGCCGTCTGCTTAAGTACCGTCTATTCTAAACTTGGCACCGGCTGCGGGAACATACCACGAGGCGCGCCGCACACCCGCGCACAGCAGGCCCTCTAGCGGCCCTGGCCAGGTGGCCTTCCAATATTGCGACTGTCGGGCGGAGGCATCGCCTACTACAGCGAATGGGCGGCCACCTGACCCCCCTCCCCGACCCGCGCAGAATAGCCGACGCAGCAGGTGTCATCCTTGACCCACACCCCTGCCTCGCGCTGGCCAACCCTGCCAACCTGCCAACCAGCCCAGCTTGGCTCACGAAATCCGGCACAGCCTTCCAGCTTCTTGTCGTCGTCAAAGGGCCGAGCGTCCGTGCAGCCGTGCCAGTGGCTGGCCCTCTTGGGCCTGTTGGCCTGCCGTCTGACAACCGCCGCGGGTTGGTGCACGGCGCGGTTGTTGCGCTACTGTGGTGCTCTTGTCAACGTCCAACAGCATTGAACCAAAGGCCGAGGCTGGCTGGTTGCTGGTTGGGACAATTGTCTGCGTACCCGTCCTTATGCCCGCTAGAAATCCCTTTTAAAATTGACTCGGGCCTCCGAGCGGCGACCATCCATACCGAAGTACTCGGTACCCCTGTTCCACATCTGCACAACGACTCCCTCTGCGCGTTGGATGTAACCTTGTTGCATACCCAAGGGTATCATCAACCTTGCTGCCCTTGCTGCCCATGCAGCCATGTTCATCTCGAGCCCCGAGGCCAGGGGGTCGTTTCTTCTTCTCGCATGCAGCACGCTACGCTACTCCGTACCTACTGTACAGTTGCCTCCCCCGTCGACATGGGTCTAGTGACTGTGTTCCTTTTCTTTTTCCCTGCCTGCGCCACTGGCCACTTTTGGCTTGATGTCTGGGTGCCGGATCCCGATCCTTGTGTGCCATGGCACATCTGCTAGAGAAGTCTTCTGGCCTCGTTGCCCACCTGGTCCCCCCCCCCCGAGACTACAAAATGCATACGGAGCCCTGGCTCCTGTGTCAGAGTGCAACCTTGCATTGTCACAACGGTCGTATCTCCTAGATCAGGGTCCGTGAGCATATTCCTTTCTATCTTGCTACCTCATCTTGCTCTACCGAGCACATCACATCGCCTGCCTTTTGAGTTGCGCCATCACTTCCTACACCGGCGGCGCAGCCTGTTGATATAAACCTCGACTCATTCCCCGTCCCTTCTTGTTCGAGAATCGCATACCAACCATCCCACTGTGCATACTCAAACTCTGCAGTCCGAGACTCCGTCCCATCTCTCAGTAACACTATATTTACTCAGCCTTTGTCCCTGCACCGTATCATTTCTCCAAGCGCTCAGGAAGTTGCCCAGCCTCGTACCTCCCGCCTTTAAGCGCCGTCCTCTGATATATAAGCCGGACCCACTCCCCAACCTTCTCACCCCCATCCCCACCACCCTTTCGAAACCCACTCAGTCAAGATGCTCTTCCCCCAAAGCTTCATTGTCGCTGCCTCGCTTGCGACAGCAGCTGTTGCTGCTCCATACGAGAAGCGGTGCAAGCGGGACCCAGCTGTCGCCATCACCCTGCCAAGCACAGGCTGTAAGTGTCCGACGAACCCCTGATCCAGTAATATTCTAGCACTAACACAATAATATAGCAACTGACCTGCCTGCCCCCGATGCAAACCTCACACTGAGATATGTCGCCGTCGGCCACGGTATTCAAAACTACACATGTGCAACGGCAAACGCATCAGCCGTGGCTACCGGAGCTTTGGCCGTCCTATACGATATAACGCCGCTGTATCCTGGCACGCCCAACACCGGCCTGACTGCCGATGTGTTCAACAAGATCTCCTCCACCGTGCTCTGGGAGCAGGCCATCCCCCTCAACCTCATCAACCCGGCCGCCGGCATCCCCACGGACAGCGCCAGCACCACAAACCCCTTGGCCGAGACAGCCTACCAGGCTGACGCCAGCAACCCATTCCCCAACCCCATCCCTGACCTCGCCCTCGATGGCCAGGGCATCAACGCCAAGTACCTTGGGGTCCACTACTTTGACGCCAAGTCAAGCCCTACCTTTGACCTCGCCGGTGGTGCGGACCCGGCCGGTCTGTTCTTCAGCGGTGCCAAGACCGGAGGTGTCAAGGCCCCGACCGACGCGGACAAGGGTGTGCTCAACACCGGTGCCGTCGACTGGCTTCAGCTCGGCGACAACGGGCGCGGTCTGAGCAAGAACGTGGCCGATGTATACCGTGTGGTCACGGCAGGTGGCGTCGCCGAGGCATGCTCGGCGAGCGGGGCGAGCAACGCGGGTGAGGCATTCAGCGTACCGTACACCGCTCAGTACTGGTTCTATGGTGCCTGAATTAGAGGTCCTTGACGGCTGATTTGAAAGGGGCGTTGGCTGGGTCTGGCTGTTGTCTATTTCCGTATATATTTTGCATTTCTGCTCATCGCATATACCCCCTCCGCGTCGGTAGATTATGGATCGACGACCAAAGGTATTATTGGAAAAAAGCCCATGGGGGCAGTGGCAGCGGGGGAGGCCACTTGGCTCAGCCGGAGCCGCAAGGTGGTCCTCCGTGATGCTAGAGCGCGAGCTGTTAGAAGTGTTCCTATGCTGCTAGCCACTATTTAATCTATACTCAAAGTGTAATGAGACGTGCTTATGATGAACAAGCAATAAAAGCTCAAATGGTATCTTCATTACTCGCCGCTGTGTATAAGTGTGTTCCTAAAACGGAAGTGCTCGGGAAGAAAACGACAGATCGTTTCACGATCATCGGTGCCGCGTTCCTGGGCAGGCGGGCGGGCAGGCGGGTCCGTTTCGACGATCACACGTGATAATGGCAGGGAAAAAGGTCCTAATTGCAATGGACCTGGCCGCCCCCCTCTCCCCTCGCTCTCAAACCATTTTACCGCGAGGCCTTTTGAGACAAAATCCTCGAGGGTCTTCCCTTGGTATTACTTGCATCACGTTTGAGCACACGCTGGGGCTCCCGCTGCCGAGTCATGACAGCCACCGCCAAAGACGTAAAACGTATTCAAAAGATGGTTCCGATGATACTATGCTATGGGAAAAATTGTTATCCAGGAGAGATATGGAGAGACGTCGTCGACCTGCCCGCCTCCGCGCTCGCCGTGCTCACTTGGCAGGTCACACAATACCTACCTATCCACTGTGGCCCTCTCTCCCTACCGTACTCTATATATATCCCCCTTGCACTTCCCGTGGAAGCATCTGTCGCCTCCTCCCCGCCTGGTACCTGAGACAGAGACAACGGAATCCGGCGATCTGGCGCCACCCTGACTCTCAAGCACCCGCCTGACCGTCTCCAGCCTCTTCTGCACCCGCAGCCAGTACACATCCTGCTGCGCCGGGCTGAGGTCCTCGACCACGCAGTCCATCTCATCGCTGGGCTCTCTTCTGCCAGGACCCTCACCACCTCCGTCGCCGTCCGACAACAACAGGTACCGGCATGACCTGGTCCACAAGTCGGCTTGTTCCGAGTCCATAGAGCAGAGGCTCTACCTCCTGCCATCGGCACCCATCGCAAGGTCAGCCTCGAGGCCGCCAGGGTGCTGTCCCATGTACTCCTCGGGCCGCGGGTCCTCCGTCCTCCACTGGCCCGTGGCACCGCCGCTCGGCATCGGGACCTGGCTCGCGCCGGCCTGCTGCCCGGCGTGCTGGCCTGCGCCGGAACCTGGGACCGTCCGAACGACCTGCCTGAAGCGGTAGACCTCCTCGAGGATCATCTTGCGCATCTCGCCCACGTCCTCGACCACCTCGAAGTCGAAGTCGAAGGTGGTAGGGCAGTCCGGCTCGTCGGAAGCGTCGTGCCAGATCTGCAGGTACGGGTGCTCGAGTGCCTGCTCGACGCTGATACGCGAGGACGGGTCGAAAGCCAACATACGGTCCAGCAGGTCGAGAGCATCCGGGTTGGCGTTGGGGAACAGCGAGGCGAAGGGCTTCTTGGGCATGAAAGGCAAGTTTCGGACATACTCCTGAGCGCGGGGCGAGCCGATGCGGGACAGGGTCTCCTCGTTGGGCGTCCCGAGGATGTGGAGGATCTGGTTGAGCTGGTCGACGTAGTCCCTGCCCTTGAAGAATGGTCGGCCGCCGAGAAGCTCGGCCAGGATGCAGCCCACGGACCAGACATCAACTAAAGCGCGGAAGCAGTCAGCAACACGGTTCCGGGCCATCGAGAAAAAGCTGCGACCTACTGGCTTTGGTGTAGCTCTGGAAGCTCAACATGATCTCAGGGGCACGGTACCATCTCGTAGCGACGTATTCTGTCATGTAGCCGGCGTTCTCCTCGGGGTCGACTGAGAAACCACGCGCCAGCCCAAAGTCGCAGATCTTCAGCTCGCAGTCAGCGTTGACCAAGAGGTTTCCGGGCTTCAGATCACGGTGAAGGACGTTTGCCGAGTGAATATATTTCAGGCCGCATAGAATCTGGTAGATGAAGGACTGGAAGTGAGCGTCGGTGAGGGGCTGGCCTGAACGGATGATTGCAGCGAGGTCACACTCCATCAACTCTGCGCAGGTGGAACCGCCATTGTCAGCATTCTGTCGCCAAAGTTGCGAGCAAAGAGATGCACTTCATTGACGACGTACCTTCGTACAGATAAGTCTCGTTGAAGTTGTCTGGTCGAGGAATATCCATGTCATACAGACAGGTGATCTACTCAATTTGGGCCATCAGCCGAAGTGCTCATGGGCTACGCAATGCGGCGGCGAAAGACGGCAGCTTACATTGCGATGGCCTCGGAAGTGTTGGAGGAGCTTGATCTCACGCAGGGCGCGCTTGGCCAGGATCTTCTTGCTGAAGACATTGGTGACCTTCTTGATGGCGACACCCTCGTTGCTCTGGTTGTTGACGGCGGCGCTGTAGGGACACGAGGGCAGTTGTTAGTCGATGTTTCCAGCCAATTCGCAAGCCAGAAGCAGCATTGCGGCACACCGGCCACTCACCACACGATACCGTAGGCGCCCTGGCCCAGCTCCTTGGTGACGGTGTAGCGCTCGTCCACGATGAAGTCCTGGTTGAAGACCTTGAAGACCTTCCGACCTTGTAGATCCGCCATCTTGACGATTGTTTGACGATTGTTTGGGGCTTATTATCCTGGTGGGTGTGGTCTCTCAGAGGTGAGGTCAGTCTCTGGTCGTCAGATGCGCCCGAGACAAGGTCCGAATGTGGTGAAAGGAAGATGTATCTGGGCAGACAAAGGGCGCCGGCTGGAGATAGCTGCTGTCGGGTCGGGGGACGGCCAAGGCTGCGTGCGTATGGGGATATCTATGAACGGAGAGCCCTGTCAGAAAAGCTGTCCATGTGCGCTGGAGAAGCTGAGACGCCGCCGCCCAAGGGTATCGAGTCGGTGGTGGCACAGCCGATGGGGAGGAGGGGGGGGGAGCTTACATCGGGGCAGCTTGGGTGGTCAGAGGAAGGGATGGGAGACGGCAGCTTCCAACACTCAGGTCGAGAGGGTCGGTGGAGCGGCTGAGAGAAGGCCCCCTTGTAATATAACTTGAAGGTACTGTAGAAGTGCCTGTTCCTGGGTTGTACGGTGCAGTGCAATGCGGGAGAGGACGCATTTGCGGTGCCCAGTCCACAATTGTTGCGGTGCGGGACTTGCGACGAAGGAGGGGAACCAAGCCTAAGCACCTGCCAGGACCAGCAGAGACCCCCGCCCGTTGGCTGAGCCCGCACAACAGGCACTAACCACACACACACACACACTCACACCCGCTCTCCTCCACTGTAAGCCGGGCCCCACCCTTGCCGTTGACCTTGGAACTCTGGTCCTTGCCAGCCTGCCATGACCAGCAGAGGGCCAGAGGCACAGCACTACTGTGTACGGAGTAGGCTTGCCAGGACCGGTCTAGGCTGGACCCAAGTCTCTGGCCAGCCTCGACGTGATTTGCGGATTCCCTCCAACTGCTGCGCCGTGTAACCGCGCGACAACCCACATCACACTCTCCCGGTCCTGGTCGTGGGCAAACCCAGCCTGCCAGCCTTGTCCTGCACCCAAGTCCTACCATCTTCATCTTCAACTACATACGGTAGGCAAGCACTTGGAGGTCCAATGCACACACACACACATCGAAACCTGAGCCTCGGCCAAGAAGCCCACGATTCTCACCGCAGCAGCTAACCGGCGACCATGGTAACAACGTCCGCTCCATGAATGCACGAATTGCCAAAATGGCATCACCTGGGTATGGGAAATCCTCAACACACCACACAGCCTCATTCTCACCGAATCCTACTCAGGGGGGAAATGGGGCTCAGCAGAAGCCGGCAGGAACGGGGCAGGGAGAATTTCTTGTTAAGGCTTACGCCGCAGGCAGACGATGCAAGAATAATAATAATATCTGGACGCTAGATCCGACCAAGCACAAATGCCACTAGCGCCCTGGTGAGCCATCAGGCAGGGCTCTTCGTCTGATCTTTGGCGCCCTGCAGGTGGCTTCCTTTGCCGGGCATGACCGCCCTGCCGCCTTGGCCCCCCCGAATACACGGATACCTGCCTGTCTCTCCAAACCGACATGACGCCAATTGGGGGCTGTACGCAAGTTACTCCAAGGGCGCGCGCGATAGGGCTGATGTGGTGGACGGAATACCCCATCCCGCACCGCCTGATTGGCGAGAACCCGCATCGTGCTCAGCAAGTCGGTCTGGTGACGATGGTTCACCTGCGCGGCGCGTCTCTTCCGTGGTATCAAACATGGGATGGTCTACTATCGCGATACACCGCAAACAGAAACGCCGTGGCTCCAGATATGCAATGCCAGTAAGTCAGAATAAGTACTCCGTGGGTGTCGGCCGGCCCCTCCGGCCCCTCCGGCTCAACAGCAGCGGCGACTGTCCGTCCGCCCCATCACTCCTCCGGTGGTGTGGCTTCGGGGAACACATCCCTGAGGAAGTTCTTGGTGAACCTCAAGCACTGGTTGTAGGTTGTCTCGAAGCCATCCAGAGGCCCATACCACGGGTCCTGTACAACTTCAGCCTTGCCAGTGCCCGAGTATTCGCCAAACAACATGATCTTGGCCCTGGCCTCTGGCTTGTTCTTATGCATCCGCTGGAGGTCGCTGAGGTTGTTTCGATCCATGGCGAAAACGTAGTCGAAGTTGTCCAAGTCCTTCATGTTGAACTGGTCCGGTTTTAGCCCGTGCAACACATCCAGCCTGCCGCATCCCGAGGCGTCCTCTTCAGGTTCTTACCTTGCGCGCCCTGTGCACATAATCTGTGATGCCGTGCTCTTCCAGGGTGGCCATCGTCCGGTCGTCTGGGCCCTCTCCGACATGATACGCACCAGTTCCGCAGCTGTCGATCTTCTTGACCTTGCCTTGGTATGGGGGCTTGTTTGCAAGGCTCTGGAAGATGCCCTCGGCCATTGTCGACCGACAGATGTTGCCGAGGCAGACGAAGAGGACGGAGATGGGTTGACGTTCGGGCATGGTCGAGGCGTGTTGGACTGAGGTTGAGGTGCTGTGTGATCTAGGACTGCCTGAAGTAAAGGTGGTGTTCGAAGGTGAAGGATCGACGACAGGCTGCGGCGATTTATTGTCGATCGGAAAAAAGAGCGCGGGCGGGTGCTCCGGGGAAAGTCTAGAAATCCAGAGAAAAAGAGGCCGAGCCGTTAAAGCTGTCCGCACGGCAGAGTGCCCCGCGATGACGCTGTCGGAAGCAGCGTCCAACCCTGAAAAGCATTCGTCCACTCAGTGGAGCGGGGCAGGCAATTTGCCCAGCTGCACTGTGTGTGAGCACTGAGCAGGGCCGTCTGTCTATCCACAGTTTGCTTCCAACCAAGCACGTCAGCAACTCCCTCATTCATTGCCTGAGTAGCCATCCGCCACAATGCCACATTGGACCTGGACTTGTCTGCTCCACCACGAGAAGCAAGCGCGAATGGGTGAGGGCAAACTTGTTTTGTCACCGGCAGGAGTGAGTGAAGTCGGTGGTCGACGGCCAGATTTGAGCAGGAACCCACGACTGACCCGTGGAACAGGGACTATCGACTTGGCCCCTTGGGGCCCCTCGGGGCTGGACAAGCTTTATGAGGATGGTCGCAGGATTAGCTAGGGCCGCTATAACCCTGAATCGCTTCTCTGCTGGCGGGCCCGCGCCTGGCCAATCCACCAGCCTGGTTACGGCCCAAGGTTGCAAGATCATCACCAGAGTACTACACAACAGGCCCTTCTGCGCTTCTCACAGACGAGATCTACCGCAGGAAGGCTTTGTTCATATACAGCACCCCCCAAATGAACACGATGCCGCTTTTTTCGTGCATTGGCCCACGTGACACGATGGTCGCTGATCCGTTCTGGTTCCCCATCTCAAATCTCCCAGCATCACAAGACGTCCTACCAGCCCGTTGCTCACATGCCACTCTTTTCGCATGTAGCACTACAACCTGGACCCGACCATCCTTTGTCTCCGCCAAGCATGACTAGAGTCTAGTTGTGTGAGCATCTCTGCTGTCGAATAGCCATCCCACCAAAAGCCACTGTATCGGTAGCTTCAATCAACAGGCCTGCCGAGTGACGACTGGGTTCAATCCAAAGCAGCAGCCTGGAAAGCAGGTTGGCGAGCGGCTTCTTGGTACGGAACCATCCGGCGAGGTTTCAGTGTACCCAGACTTGTCCAAGGCTCAGCCCTGCAAGACACCGCTGTCTCCGAACTGCCGGTCGATGTAAGGTGGGTCGGCGGGACGAACGCGCCATCCCGTCACCTCTTTCCCGGTGACCCCATTCGCTGGGAACCATGGCGATGGGTCACCTTTACCCCTGACCGGAGGTTACACTGGTCGGACGCCATTGGCAGGCCAGCGCGGGATGGCAGATTGGCTGTTTCAACGTTAATTTTCTTCAACAACTTTGTTTTCTGCGCGCCTTCTAGTGAGGTTGCAAGCCTGGGGCGAGACGCAGACCGGTGTCTCGCTGCAACTTTTCTCTCGCGAGCTAGTTCAGCCGAGGAATTCTGGTGGAGAACAAGGCACTTCAAAGTTCCCAGTCAACAGTCAGCCCTTGGAACGGCCCGATGAGAGCATTGTTCGATTATCGGGCGCTATGAGCTTTCCCGGCGAGCTAATCGAGCGGCGCGAACGCCTTTCCGGCTCCCGGGACTGGCAGAGATGGCAGCTAGATGCTAGGGAGTGAAAAACCATCACCTTCGCTGCAACAACCGCTCGATCGCTTTGACGTGAGCTTTTGGTCCAGTCCGTGCTGGCGACCCAGCCAAGGCCGGTGGTCCAATCTTCGCTTCCCGTTGCCACGGACGCTCCCAGCGGACAGGGCAATTCCTGTTTGTGCTCCCGAGGGGGGACATGGGTTTGGATCAGGAGTATCCATTCACATCACCCACTTTATATTAGCTTTTTGACTAGGTAGGCGAGGTCCAGACTCTGATGATAAATACTTGAAGGGTTCCCTCTTACCCAAGCGGGCTTTTTGGTCTATTGCACTATTTCACCGTCATTTATTCACGACACTCGCTCGATATCAAACCCAACATTTCAGATACTACCACCTAGTTATTCTCCGAGCTCTGGAACAAGCTTCAGTCACAAAACAGGCCTGCACCGTTCAACCTATCCCAGCTGTAGCTACCTCTACGACCCACATATTTCAAGATGCAGTTCAAGGCCATCGTCCTCTCCACCGTCTTCGGCCTGGTTGCCGCCCAGTCTTCTGACGTCGCCTCCCTCGTCACCGAGCTGCCGTCCTGCAGTCTGACCTGTCTGCTCGCCGGAGCCAGCGCCGCTGACTGCGAGTCCACGGACTATGCGTGCCAGTGTGGCAATCAGGATATCATTGTCACCAACGCCACCGCTTGCCTGACGAGCTCCTGCAACACCAACGATATTGCCAGTGCGTCCTACTCCAACCAAGTATGATCCCTGGGTACAGCAGCTGACAACACTCTTAGAGACCCAGACTGTCTCGCAGCAGATCTGCGACGCCGTCACTGGTGGAAACAGCAGCACTTCCGCCTCGGCTTCTGGCAGCAGCGCCTCAGCCACTGGTTCGAGCAGCTCTTCGTCTGCCTCTGCCTCTTCTACCGGCACCTCAAGTGCCGGCTCCCACCCTGAGCTTTACGGCCTCGGCATGGCTGCTATTGCCGGTATCGCTGGTCTCATGGTTCTGTAAATGGGCCGCTAGAACAATGCAGTGTCACGTGGCCCGCCTGAAGGATCATATTCTATTCAAAAGCTTAGAAAGACCTCCAGTTGTTTTGGAGGCAGGTAAACCTTTCGGGAAGTCAGGCTATGATCATTGGCACGACCGGTTTGGGAAATTGCACGGACAATATACCAATGGGGCCAGGCCCTACCAGGACAGGGTTCTGGAAGGAAGAGTAGTGCTACTTCTGGCGTTCAGTTTATACGAGGACTCATATTGAACGTCTATACCCATTATTCGCTCTCTTTTTAACAGTAATATGTCTATACGTGATATTTGCTCCCGATTCTCCTGCTAACCATCTATGAGGAAGTCCCAAGATCTAAACCAAAAATGTGCAAGGACACTGGATCTGAAAATTAGCCAGGATGGAACCTCCCCAGGGCGCCATCCTCACCGCCATCAAACAGCGCGTTTGTGCCATCCAGCGCCGCAAACTTCTCAGCATACCTCATACCCTCACGCCGCTGGGCCTCGACCCTCTTCCAATCCCACTGCGCGTCGGCGCTGAGATCAATTTCGCCGACGTCCTGGGTCTCGTCGCCGACACCCTCGGCGCCACTCCGCCAGCCCGCCGGCCTCTGAGGCAGCAGGCCGCTGTGCTCCATCAAGATGCTCGGGTGGACGGTGAAGCGCCCCACCTTGAAGACGTACTTGCTGAGAGCGGTGGCGATGACATACTTTTCAAAGTTCTGCGTCTCGCCCTCGGCGACGGCTGCTTGTCTCTGCCGGAGCGGACCGAACCACGATGTGGTGCCGCTGTCCCACGCCGTCGGCTTTACCTTGCCCTTGACTACAAAGTGCGTCACGAGGTACAGCCACTTGCGGTCCCAGGCCAGGACCCGGGTCCAGGTCTCGTAGCCCTGGAAGGGCGCGATCTCCTTTTTGAATGAGCAGAAGACACCTCCGAGACCAATTGCCATGCCGCCCTTTGCGACGGTGCCGTCCGGGGTGACGACGGCTTTTGTCTTGGCGTTGTGGGAGATGGCCTTGAGGCCATCGTGCAGAAGATGTGTGACGCATTGCGTTCGTGCGATATCGAGATCGGCAAAATAGGTGCTGTTGGACTTGTGCAGGTTGTAGTCGGTCTCGAGGAGGGAGTTGTACGTGCTCGTGATGGAGTAGTGGAAGAGCATCCGCGGCTCCTTGACCCGGCGCTGCAGGTAGGGGACGTAGTTTCTCAGTATGGCTGCCCAGACCCGGTACTGCGCAAGGGGGATTGAGGTGTCAGCGGGCTGTGTCTTCTGCGCGAGAGGGGGTTGGGGAGGAGAAGCAGGCCACCCACGGTCCACGCGAAGGGCATGTTCTTGACGTTCGCAATGACAAACAGTGCCAGGAGGATGCGACTGGTGCGCCCGGGGCCGGTGACGAAGTTGGTCACCAACGTCTTCATGTCGATGTGCAGCAGCGACACGCCAGCCACGCCCGCCGCACCCACGCCGACTGGGATGAGGAAGCCCAGCGCGTTTGCTGAAGCCATGTCGAGTGTCCACGTGTGCTGGTCGGTTATTACTGTTGCTTGTGCTGAGAAGACGGCTTATGCGTGCTGATGAGCCGGCGGGTATGGCTCCGCACGAAACCGAAGAGCAGCACCACGATCACGACGACCCAGAGCGGCACAGAGCGGAGCACGCAGGTGAGGGTGGTGCCGCACTTTGCGATAAGGGAGGAGGAGGAGGGGGAATGGGGGTAGGGCATGAAGGGAATGTCTGACTTCAAAGGAGTGGGAAGTCGTGTTCGTCCCCTGTCCCGTCCGTCGCTGGACGAGCTGTTGTTGAGCTTGATATGTTTGCGATTCGGCCTGGTGAGACTGACTAGCGGATAACCCACCTGTGCAGTTGTGGTGCAGCTTCCCTTGGCCGATTCTGCCCCGTCGCCGAGCCGAGGCTCCGAGCCTTGGGGTTGCCATGCTGAACGCACTCACGTATGACATGCATCCTCATCAAAACTTTGCGCGTGATTCAAGCAGTGGCTTGGGGAAGTCGCCATCTCTTCCGTCTGGTATTTACACGGCCGACCCGTCCATTCTTCGGAGCTTATCACGCTGCTGGACCACCTATAGCACAGTGCAGAGCCAGTTTATAATTGCATATTGAGCTTACTCCAGCTCGACACAACAACTCTACAAGCAGGCATTGTGTCGGTTGTGAAACTGCTTGGAGATCCCATATCTCGAGTACGGCCAGATAGAATATCAGATAAATCCAGGAAAGGGCAACATGTGTCTTAGCTTCAGGCTTGACATTTGGCCCTTGTCTTGCGTACCTAGGTACCTACCCGGTAGGTATTCATACCTGTTGTCAAAGTCGATCCATGGGGGCTAGGTCCCCTCCAACCACCCCCACCCCCCTTAAAAAAAAACCGAACATCACTGGGCCTAGATTGAATGGCAGAAAAGTATCCATCCTTAGTCCTATGGAATTAAGGTTTTGCGTGCCAAATATTTACCTCCCATTTCTCTGGTGTGAACTAGTCTTGGATCATCTCAATTTGTGCGTGGAGCCGTCAAGTCCCTAGGTCTTTGTGGTGAGAAAGTCTCAACTCTTTGTGTTGGCATTGATAATAATGTGCGATACGGTAACTTTTGCAACACAAGACGTGGTTACAATACCACTGTGTCACATAACAAAGCCTCTGTCAATATCAAACTCTTATTGTTAAGACCCCCCGATCTGTTGCACTATATAAACCCTACATTCCACAATTCTACTTGTCTACTTAAGTACACTGCTGCATCAGTCACTCTATCGATTGATACCAGGTACCCTAGGGTAGCTAGAATACCGGAAAACAAAGAAAACCACAAAAGGAAACACGTCGAGATCAGGAGCGGTATTTCATGTTGGCAACCTTTCAAAACGATGTCATCGGAAGAAGACGGCAGAGGTCGTAGAAGCGGAGCTCCACCCCAGAACCTCAGCCACTGCCCCAGCCTGATCAGCCGACTGATGGCCACACCCGGTGGGAAGTAGCTACTCTATAAAAAGTTTTCATGATATTCAATAAAACACGATCCAGCTTGTAGGCATCATGGCCCGCAGGCAGCCCTTCGCCTGAGTGAAGACTCAACCCAGATATGTGTGTGTCCTGAAACGTTGATGACAGCTACTGTGTTGAACATTGCCGAGATCTTGACCGCCCTTGATAAACATTCACGGGGCTGAGCCTGGCAAGGCCTCGACGGCAGCGCGACCCGCCTCTCGTACGAAACGGCGACCGTGGCCGACCCGCAAGTCCAGCCGTCCGAAACAGTAACGCTCAGCGTACAAGAACTATCATCGGAGATCTTTCACACATCAAGTTGGGCATGCTTCAGCCTGGTGGCACAGCGTTATGTGCCGTCTCGAGATCTGCTGTGCCGCCCCCTTGCAGTAGTCTGGAACTGCTGACCACTTCACGACCTGGGTCTCTGGTTTCTAGTAAGGCCGCCACAAGGGTCCGTAAGACGCATATTTTGCAATCCATGTATGAAGCCCCGGGATTTGTGACCCACAGTAGTGGGCCCGGGGCTCCAGGGCCACGGTTCACAGAAACTCTTAGCAACAGGGTCGACGACGGTCCGACCGAGACTTCGGAGCTGAGAGTTGGTGTCGACAGTGAAGGTTTGGGATGCGCATCGTTGCCCGCAGGTGTCGAAGATGACCACCTGGACCTTAAATCTATAGAAGACAGTAGATTATAAGTAAGACCGTTTATGCCTCCCTTTTCTCTGCGTATGAATCCTCATAACTCATCCACTTTTTCAGTTATCTCTTCTTCCCGAGCCGTGCTCTCAATCTTCAAGTAATTACTGCATTCTTAGCTCGTTGATCGAGTAGCTATCACGAACTCCCGAGCTCTCGAGGTGTCACAAAGGCGAAAAATTCCGGAGATTCTTCAAAATGCGCGCATTTGCTGTCGTCATTGCTTGTCTGATTGCTCTTGTTGCGGCGGTGCCCGAGAACATGATGGAGGATCGAATGATGCGTCGAGAATGTGTGCGTATATCAATGTTACAGTTGATTTCAGCCTGCATCAGGGTTATGTGACTCATGTCTGAGGCCGTCTACTAACTGAAGTACTATCTCCAGTTCTGCGACGAGAACCATTGCGACGGTCCAGATTGCTGTGCGAATGGCACTTGCTAAGAAATTTGCGAGGGAGCTAGGTAATGGAGCAGGCATTTACTGGTTACCTAGGCAGGGTAAAATTGAAAATTAATTTGCGGTGAATTAGATTAACTCAGCACCGTGCAATATAGTGACAGCATGCAATATAGTGACAGCGTGCAATATTTTGATTTCAACGTTCTTGGGAACTAGCAGTACTTTTAGCAGCCAGGATGTATGCGGAATAAGAGCGAAACCAGTTAGCAGCCAAGTCTTGAATTGCTTGATTGAGAACTTTGGCGTCAGAGATCTTACCCTAACCCTCAAACATTTAAAACAGGCCCGCACTCCGGGCCCAAGTGCTCCAGTGTGCTCATTTGCGCACATGTGTGCTTGAAATTCTGAATCATCACAATCTTTGAATTCAAACTTCACTACCCACATCTCCTCACCCCTTTCGGCTGCACTTACAAGCCCCTTCACAATCGTTGGGAAATGAACAAAGATGGGGAAGGCACCGATACTCGGGACCTGGCCCTCGACATCATGGCGAGAAGTGATGAGCTGTTGCGGGAGATGGAAAAGCTCCGGCAGAGATATCGATCGATTAAAGGCAACCACCTGAGCATTCCTGGTCTGGCGGTCCTGATGGAAGGAGTAAAACAGGAAGGTAAGGCTGCGCTACCGTTCGTGAACCAGAATGCGAGCGGCTCAGCCACGCCAATCGAGGAGTCGCTAGAAGCCCATCCAGCAGGGTCTCGTCTGCGCTTCTCAAACCTGCCTGCTATCGAGCGCAACTGGGAAATTCTGAAGCACTGCCACAATATTGTCTCCGTTGAGCAGTCAATACCTAAAAATCCCAAGGTGGAAGTCAAGGATGATGGCGAACTCATCGTTCACCGTGTCAAGACCGGTCGCGGTCGCGGCGCAGACAGGGACATGATCTTCGTTCATGCAGTGGTCGATGGAGGAGCCGAATGGATCCGCATCATCGGCAAGGATGAGAAACGAGTACTCGTTGAGCTTGCTGCTGGCGGGTGGGATTGGGATTGGGACCACGAGGAAGGCGACACAGATGATGAAGATGATGCCGAACTCTTCGAAGATGTACCCATTCTTCGTACTGTGAAGGAACTCGCAGATACTGCACGCAAATATTGGCATGATTACCACCGCCCAAGAATACGAATCTTGCTCAGCCGCATACAGGAAGGCCAGAGTAAGGACATGGATAGAGTCCTTCAAAAGATGCGCAGTGTAGGTGGTGGCGACATCAAAGTCACGGTCGAATGCGCGGACTCACCACTGGTATCCAGTCAAACCCCACTGGATCTGGATACGGCGCTATCTAATCTTGTACCTGTTGAGGACATGAGTCGTTTTGGTTCGACCGTCCTTCTAGATACAAGCGTCCTGATTGCTCTGATATCGGACATCTCACACGCTACCGTGGAAGTGCAACCATGGCATAACCAGGACTGCAAAGCTCAAATCCGCGATGAAGCGAACGGTATCAACTTCCTCACGGCACAAGCTTATCCTGTCCTCAGGGGGAAACGACTGGTCTGCACGAAATCAGCCATGGAGCACTTTCATGAGATATCGAATACCATTGCAAGTCCCACCGAGTTGGAAAGAGCGCGTGTCCTCTTCTCAGGCGGACGGGAAGACTTTCATGGGTTCTCCATTCATCCCGTGCCAGAAGACCTCATGCTGCCGGTGCAGGTGCTCCCCGAGCAAGGGAATCTGCATGCCAGGGATCTCGTGCAGGCAGGCAGGCTTCCGGAGGTAGCAATCAACGTCGAAAAACAGCTGTTAGGGGTGCCGGGAAATAGAACTACACATCTATACGGCTGGTCCTCGGGAATGACTGTTGTTACGGCAAATAGGACGCTTGCAAAAAGGTTGGTGCGCAGGATCGAGGGCAGCCTTGAGAAGGACTACGAAGGTGGGCCGAGGATATGTACATTGCCCTTTAATCGAGCTTTGGCGACTAAAGGCCCTAGGCGACTTGATTGAGTTGCCATGTACCTAGCATAGACCACAATAGCAAAATTTTCGACTCTGGCCTTTGCTACCGAAAGACAAAGCTCGCAGTTGCTCTTTCAATCAAGTGGAAAATGTGGAACCAAAGGCATGTTGTAAGGCTGCTTGCAAGTCCATGTCCTTCGATCCGAGGAACAGAATACATCGCGTCGAATTGAGTTCAGCATAGCTACTGTGTCTGATAAAGGCATTGAAGGAGGGGCTACCCAGATGGAGATCCTGCTGTATAACGAATAGATATTGCGGTATTCAGCACTTGAACGCCACATGTTTCGGCAGCAAAGCCTTGGTGATTCCTCACGCAACACCCCAGATCTCTGTGGGCTGCACGGTGAAATTCAGAAGCAGCGATGAATACTCAGAGACGGCGTAGGCTGTGTAGTTCCAGTATGCATTCCTTTTCGATAGTCAGTCTAACACTTCTCCCCGATAACAGATGGGTAGCATTTACTCGGAAGTGGGATCGACAAACTCATAGCTCACGGCCAAGTGAGCTCCTGTGCCGCCGGTGTTGACAGACTCCAGGCGTGCAGCGACCTGGCGAATCGTTTCGTTGTTGTCGAGGAGCTCACACTTATCGTAAGGGGTGCCTTCGCCGAAGCCTGAGCAGTAGGCTTTGAAGGCGGGAACTGAGTTTGAGAAGGCCGGGGCGCTAATGTTGAAGTCTAAAGGAAAGGTCAGCACGTATCCACGGTTCTAAAGGTGAGCGGCCAGTGGCAAGGAGGATCTAGAAACACGCACCATAGTAGCAGCCGGCCCGGGCACAGCCTGCACTCCATCCCGTTACGGACCATGTGTAGCTTGTAGCAACCGCGGCCTTGGTCTTGACATGCTTAACAGAGGGCTTGCTCCACAATTGAGCAGCCTCGGTAGAAGTGAGAAGGGAAAGAGTGGCAGCAAGGGAGAACTGCATCTTAATATAACTTGGATTCGGGAAGACCGTAAGGAGGAAGCTAGTGATCAGTTTTGGAAAATGAGTGACGAGAGTGTGCCCAGATAATATATGTGAATGAAAGAGGATAGGCAGTTGTGACAAGGGACCCTAAGACAAAATGAAGTCATGACCATAAACAAAACATTCGCCTAGGAGGATGATCGCCCTTTTTGTTTTCCGTCTCGATTCAATGTTTCCCCTGGCTTCTACACACTCCGTACTGGCAACCTTGGAAGTCAGCCAGAGCCAGGTCTGCCACAGTACTTCATAATAAGCAGACGGGCGGAATTCCGTCAGGGGTCACGCAGTCAACCTTGGAATCCCGGGTGCGAAGATCGGGCTGCAGTGTCGCCAAGTAGCGCGGCCCAGAGCGGCCTCTACCAACTTTTGCCCAGGGTGGCATCCCAGTATGGCCTTGCAACGGGATCGCCACTCGTCAAAGTGTCGGGTCACTGCCCCTTCAATATGGGGGTGGCATTCCCTTGGGAGGGAGCATTGCCTGGTTGGGGAGGGCGCCAGAGGGACATCGTCCTCCACTCGCAACGCTTGCAGTGAGTGAGGCACCGTCGACGATCAGAATAGGAAAACAAGCCCAGTCCCAATGGTGCAACCAGACCGACCACAGGATTTCAAGAGCCTCGTATGGAGTAGGATTTCAGGGTGCTTCGGTTGGCCGCGCAAGCCCAGGTGCTTACACCACATGCCTCAACGCTGCAGTACAACCGGCTTGCTGCTGGCTCGCGGGGGGTGGGGGTTGATGGGCCACGGCGCGAATATGTACAGGGGGTTGGGAGGACCAGGCCCTGTGAAATACGAGCCTTTTTTTTATTTGGTTCTCATTGTCAAGCGCGCCTAAGGGCTTGTCAGCCGGGAAGCAATCAGAGAAAGAGACGGCCACTTCTCCAGGATTTAGTATTAGGTCCTGTGGTAAATGCAGATCGAGAGCCCCGGAGAGAAAGAAAGTAAGGAAACGCAACCTTGTAACATTGGCCTTATCTTCCCTTCCTTATCTCTGTAGCCTGTGGCTTCAGCATCTCAGAGGTGCCGGTGATGTCACCTCTTGAATGCGCAAGACTAATATTGATAAGCTCTCGGAGAGCATAAGTACTAAAGTATGCTGCCAAGTGGACAGACACGATCCTTGATAAGGGCGTCCTTCTGGCGTGGCAAGTCGTGAGTTTTTCACAGCCCATCAAGTGATCAAGAAAACCCTCGATGAATGCCAGGATGAATGCCAGGATGAATGACCAAAACGCACATGCTCCCACCGAGACTTCAGGATTACTCGGTGACCGTTCGGGACCGCACTCAGACGTTGATGTGGAATCTCAGCTCCCTAGCGCCATCTCCAAGGACGAACAGGCCCTGCACCTTTCTTCCAAGTCCATCGGGGAGCGTCTCCCCTACAATGACTACACCACCATCGACTGGCTTCATGATCTTGTCAAAGACAGCGCCCGGCACCAAGCCCTGCACCGACCAGGCCTCAGGGCGCACAGGCTGGAGCTGTGGTGGGATGCCGCCGAGGGATGGGTTGCCGCGTTCATCATTGGCATCCTGACCGCCGTTGTGGCGTTCCTGGTGGACGTCAGCGTTGCGAGTGTCGCAGACTGGAAGGAAGGGAGGTGTGCCGACACCGACGCCGGTGGCGGCTGGTGGCTGAATGGTGAGAGGTGTGGTGGCAACGCGTGGAGGCCGTGGTCGGCTTCCTGGGGAGGCGCGTACGGGATATATGTCTGCGTTGCTCTTGTGTACGGGCTGATTGCCGGTGGTGTGACCATGCTCACCAAGGCTACGCTGCCAGCCGCAGAGAGCGTAGACGATGAGACTGACGAGACGCCGGGATCACCGTTCCAGAGCAATGTCCACTTTACCGAGACCGCCACTGGCAAGACAATGTTCATGGCTGCGGGAAGCGGGATTCCAGAAATCAAGACTATCCTGTCGGGATTTGTCATCCCTCACTTCCTTGACTTCAAAGTACTGGTTGTCAAGGCTGTGGGTGCCACTTTCGCCGTGGGGACGGGCCTGAACTTGGGAAAGGAAGGGCCCTTTGTCCACATATCCACATGTGTTGGATTCCTGGTCGCCAGATGGTTTCCCAAGTACAATGGCAACGGCAGGAAGATGAGGGAGATGCTCAGTGTTGCCTGTTCTGCCGGTCTGTCTGTGGCGTTCGGTGCACCCATAGGTGGAGTGCTCTTCAGTTACGAGGTAAGTGACAACGACATTCAGGGCCGCAATCAATCGCCATCACGTCTCATCTCAGCTGTGCCAATGGTTATTTACTCTTCTTCTGCAGGAGGTCAGCACATATTTCCCCCGTCCTGTGCTCTGGCAAGCCTTCCTCTGCTCGCTCGTCGCAGCAGTCACCCTGAAGGAGCTCAATCCGACCGGCACAGGCAAACTCGTTCTCTTCGAGACAAACTACGGGGTCAATTATGACGCTGTCCATTACATCGTCTTCGTCCTGCTGGGCATATGTGGCGGCATCTTTGGTGGTATCTTCTGCAAGGCAAACTTTCACTGGTCCAAGTTCTTCCGGAAACATCCGCTCATCAAAAACCACCCAGTGTTTGAGGTCCTTCTCGTCGTACTGTTGACCTCTCTGCTGCAGTTTCCAAATAGACTTATCCGGTCAACTGGGGATGTAGTCATGGCTGAGCTGTTGGTTGACTGCAATGAGCCGGAAGATGTGACGATGTCATATGTTTGCGAAATGGAGGCCCTGGAGGACAAATCTAAGTACTACGTGTGGCTAGGAACGGGTGCATTGGTCAAGCTACTGCTAATGATCATCACCTTCGGCTGCAAAGTTCCTTCGGGGATCATCATCCCTGCACTGGACGCTGGTGCATTGTTCGGACGCATGGTCGGTCAAGCGCCATTTCTTGTTCACTCCATTTCTCCAGGTATTTTTGCAATGATCGGTGCAGCAGCATTTCTCGCCGGTGTATCTCGGATGACAGTGAGTCTTGCGGTCATCATGTTCGAGCTCACAGGCGAGGTGAACTTTATTCCTCCTTTCATGGTTGCCATTCTTACCAGCAAGTGGGTTGCCGATTCAATCAGCAGGGACAGTGTCTATGATTTGAGCCAGCACTTGCTGGGGCACCCATTCTTGGATGTTGAGCATTCTTTGGCGAAAGTGCGGGAGGCAGGACGCGGAACGCTGGAGGATCTGATACCACCAAAGAACACAATGGAAGAGATCACAGTTCACATGGGGCCAGATGGGATCATAAGCAGGCAGCTTCTGCGCAGAAAACTATCGCAGCTGAAGGCAAGGGGCTTGATGGATGCTGGGTTGGTATTGGTCAACGCACAGGGCATATGTCATGGCTATCTACCCGAGGCAGAACTCGAGTACGCCCTGACGCTCAAGGAATACGCGGAAGACGCCAATGAAGACGGCACTGGCCAACAGTACGAGGTTGACTTGGTCAGAGGGCCAATATCGGACTTTGTTAACCGCACACCTTTGACTATCCCCTCAACGGCACCGGTCGAGTATGCCGTTGAGATGTTCGGCAAGCTGGGATTACGATATCTGGTCATTGTCGAAGAGGACAGCGCCAAGGTGCTTGGTCTGGTCATCAAAAAGCGGCTGGTGAAGTATCTGGACGGACTGAAAAGCACATAGCGACGTGGACAGTTCCACAGGCAGCTCCATAGAAGGGATCTGGGCCCCTTTAACGTATGGGATATCTTGAGATCGACAAATGGGTCCAAAGGGACATTTTCGCACCCGAACATTACGGCTCATAGGCTCCCGGAAGTGTCTGGTGTAATCGAGTTGTCTATTGCATCTTCGAGTGTGTTTCTCGGCCTAGAACATGCGCACAGCTCGCCTGTGTCTCGATTCCCTTCTAATTGCTCCTCGCGCCACCCTTGGCCGCTCTGAGCTCGTCCATCTTGGCTACTCGCTTCTTGAACTCGACGTACTGGCATTTCTCGTAGCTGTGTCTCTCTTGCTGTACTTTGCGTCAGCATTTGTCCATCGGTCCCCGGCCTTGGCTCCATAATGCCCAGCTTCGTTGCGATTGTGTTTGTCGAGGCGACTGCCATGACAGTCGGGGTAAGACCTACTTCGCACTTCCAGGGCAGGTAGTAAGTCTCGAACCGGCAGCGATTGAGAGGGATCAGGAGGTTCGCGCAGCTGTCTCGGTATGCCAGCGGGAGCTTCGCATCGCGCATTTCCTCGCGGGTCGCCTCTGGTCGTAGTTGCACGTTAGCGAAGATTCTCTCGGTCGGGCTAGAACGCCGTGTGAAGCCTTACGCCGCGGCATTTCAACTGCTTCGTCGTGTGCCATTTTGGGCGGTGCAATCGTTGGTGAACTCGAGCCTTCAATTGCCCGAACTTGATCTGTTCCCGGAGTCGGTCGGAGGGTCGTGACCTTGATCGAGGTCCCAGATGGCGTCGGTTCCACTGGGTCCGTGCACCATCTGAGCCGCGAGCGACCCCCCTTGATCGAAACACTTTTGTAGGGTCCGGGTTAGAAGTGGCCCATGCTGCAGCGATGCAAGTAAGTCCTCATAAAGTTGCATGTGAGCTCCAAAAAGCAACATCAAACATTGGATGCCACTATCGTGAAATTCCTTGATCATTGCTGACTTGCAATTCTGTTCTGACTTTCTACGCCATGGTATTCCCGTCTCCACACAACCAACCACAGTTGGTATATCTGTCCACCGCGCCTCGGCAAGCTAATTTTGGTACCGGATCCACCTATCTAATGACTTCAAAAATGAAAAATTCTCAACCAAGGACCGTTGGCCCAATGGCAAGGCGTCTGACTACGACTTGTGAGAGCATCACGAGTGATTCGAAATCAGGAGATTGCAGGTTCGATCCCTGCACGGTTCATAGTGTTCTATGACAGCACCTCGGTGCTCGAGAATTCTTTTTCAATTTTGCCCAAAGCGTCTCCCAATCTTGGAAGCCCGATGTGGCTTGTCAACATCAAGATTCCTGGCTTACAAGTAGATTGCGGGCATGTATGTATGGGCTCTCCCCTTTTCTAGAGCTGATTGCTCTGAGATACTTGATAAAACATAACTCACGCTACTATGTAAATACTAGCGGCTGGTAGCCCCTAGTCCTTCCTGTTCGTGCAACAATCCTACCTACCAGTGCCGGTACGACGTAGACTTTATTTGCCAGTGGACATGTCTTAAGATCCAAGATACGCAATCTTCGATATCCTCTGCACGCCCCTGCTCCGGAGTGCATCACGCATGAGGTTATGTCGGAAAGTCCAATTACTCCGTCGATCTTGTGATTTTGAGCTTGTTGCCGCATCCGACTTGATGCCATATCTAATGATTGAACAGTCTGTCGACCAGGGACTTGATTCCAGACGTCCGCCTCATGGAATCTTCATCTAAGGGTTGTCTTGTGATAGACGAGCCGACTTCATCGTATTTACATGAATTACTTGAGGATCCATAGATGACCTCGGGAATTATAGGCTTCAGCTCAAAAGTCATTCTTCTTCTGATCCACAGTCTATACTCAACATTGACCCATGCATAGATTCTCCCTAGGTCTCTTCGGCAAGTCATAGTATATGTAGCACGAAAGCCCAACCCCTTGCTAGTCAGATACATTCAGGCGGCTGACTTGAACCTGATGTGCAATATCACAGAGCTACCTACGCCAACCTTGGAAGCGATCAACAACTGGAAAGCCACCAGCGCGATGTTCAAGTTCACCCATAGTTTAGTTCAGGAAGATGCCAAGTGCCCGAAATATATGCACTTTCACTACGAGAAACTCGTGCGGTCTACCATGCGATTGGTGTGGCCGGAACTGCCCTTGCAACTTTGCAGTTGACGGCCCGGGGGTGGAGAGGAGAGCATGGTGGATTCTGGCCTTCGGCTTGCAGGACCACATCCGACAAGCTCGCTGGGCTTCCGGGTACTCATCCGAATGTCCTCTCAGTGGGTCTACTCGCTACACGACCGCTTTTTGTGGGCTACGCCGGTTTTTGTATTCGCCTCAGCCGGCATTCTAGCAGCCTGTCGATATGAACCGTCTTGTCTCTGTCGTCTTTGGGCACGAGTTTCATTGACGCTGGGCTTCATCACGAATGCGGCAAGTTGAGGGCCCAGAAACCCGGCGTCTCAGCGGGGCGTTCAAGAGCTCCACGGCTGTTGGGCGGGCTGGGCTGGCGGGCTGGCGGGCTGGCGGCTGCTGCTGCAGCGACAGGGCCCCGCCAACTGATCCGGGAAAGAGGACTTAGCCGACGTCAACCCCAGATTTCTACAACAAATAGGAGGTCGCTGATTTGCTAGAGCATATTCCCGCTTGGTCAGGAGTCGTATGTTTGAGAGGGATACCAGGGGCGGAACTTACACCGTAGCCATCGGTCGTACTTATAACATTTGCACTCCCATGAAGTCGTCTGCACTTGAAATCTAGAATATCCTCTCACCTTCATCCCATTCAAACACGCCACGCCCGACTCTTGTCAAGTGGTCAAGGACAGCCCCCACTGATACAAGCTCCCAACCCCAGTCCCTCGCCAAGAGCCCCTTCAAAACATACCGCCAGCATGGCTACCAACGGCAAGCCGCAATATGACCCCAACTTCACGGACAGCGTCATCGCGGCAACCGGCCCCAAGGCCAGCCCGCGTATGAGGCAGGTCATGAGCTCCCTCATCAGGCACGTGCACGACTTTGCCCGTGAGAATGACATTACCGTGTCCGAGTGGATGCAGGGCGTCGAGCTGCTCAACCGGTCCGGACAGATGTCCAACGACCGGCGGAACGAGACACAGCTGCTCTGCGACGTCATTGGCCTGGAGAGTCTGGTGGACGAGATCACCAACAAGCTGCTGGTGGGCGCCGACTACGAGACCACCAAGACCGCCATCCTCGGCCCCTTCTTCAGGAAGGACACGCCGCCCACCGAGAACGACGCCAGCATCATCAAGACCATGCCCTCGGATGGCGAGGTTGTGTACATGCACGGGATTGTCTCGGATGCGGCAACGGGCAAGCCGATCGAGGGTGTCCAGGTGGACATCTGGCAGTGCAGCACCAACGGGCTGTATGAGCAGCAAGACCCAGACCAGGCCGAGTTCAACCTGCGAGGGAAGCTCACTACCGACAAGAACGGATACTACGGGCTCTACTGCATCCGCCCAGTACCGTACCCAGTACCCTACGATGGTGAGTAGACTGAGCGGCTTTGGAGAAAGAGCCTCCCCCTGGGGTACCTCCCTAGGGTGCCTAGGTAGCATGACTGACACTGTGACACATCGCAGGCCCGGCAGGAGAGCTCTTGCAGCTCCTGGACCGCCACCCATACCGCCCAGCGCATATCCACATCATGGTAAGATCCCCTCGTCCTGCATGTGGACAGATGCACATGGCGCGATCATGAGCTAACAGCACACAGGCCGGCAAGGGGGATGAGTACTCACCACTAGTCACACAGATCTTTGACAAGAAGACAAAGTACCTGGACAACGATTCTGTCTTCGCTGTCAAGGACGATCTGGTGGTTGATTTCGCCCCAGTGAAGGATCACCCCAAAGCCTCGCTGGAGCTGGAATACAACATTCGCTTGGCAGGTCAAAAGGCTTGATTTTGCGGTCGACGTCAAATTGAATCGTTCTAGGTGATATTGATATCTAGCTACTCAAGTACCTGTCTGAAAATCAAAATTGTCCGACTGGAGCGTTTCCATCAAAATTCGACACCTTGGACAACTGCCAGCGTCATTCAAATGCAGACTTGTCAACTGGTGCCCAACTTGAGGTGCCCAACTTGAAGTGCCCAGTTCCAAGGTTTCGAAACTTGAGCAACATGCACTCTATCGGAACCAGCCCAGGTGATTGTAGCAAGGCATTTACAACGAATGCACGGCCCTCATGCGCCTGGGCTTTCCCTTTGCTATGCGTATGTTTCCTGCGAGTCCGAGGTATAGCGTTTGGATGCAGCGCCCCTCACTTGCACCGGATGACTTGCCTTAACAAGATTAGGCTAGCAAGGGTGTGCCATAGCCAAATGCACACACGCCCGGGCATATCAATGGGCGATATCATTGATGAGATTGATCTCACGCTCCACCCCGCTTACCTGATACTTTCCTCTCCTACCATAAATATCGCAGCACTCGGTCTGACGAGTAGATAGAACCCCAATAGCAATTATTCCTCTCAAAGTATCAATATTTTAAACGCTTGGACCTTACCAGCAGTCATGCCCTTCAACGACATCACCAAGCCCGCGCCTCCGCTCCCGAGCCCGGTGCTCACGGCAGTTCTGCCTGGCGTGTCACTGCTACGGCCGCTGAGCCGGAGAGGAACCGGCCCAGGCATGATCGTTCTCGCAGAAGATTATGGTGACTCGCTGGCGATTACTGACGGTGTCCCATCCCCGCTCGTAAAGTGGGCAGAAGAAGGTTACGCGGTTGTGGAGATAAGGGCAGAGGCCCTCAAGTCTGGCCACGGCGATCCCATTCGCAGCGCAATCGAGGCATTGTACGAGTGTGAAGTTTGTGAGCCCAAGGACAAGATTGGTCTCACTGGTAAGTGCCGTCTCAAGCCCTAGAGTGCTATCTTCCGGCACCGAGTACTTGAGTAGCCACCCACCTGACACCCTCGACAGCATATGATCCTGAGTTGTGGAATATCGTCGCCCCGAAGTTGTCAAATCATCCCTCCGTTGCCGTGGCTGCTGTGTACGCAGATGCATCGAATGAGTCATCCCCAGACTCGATTGTGGATGTGTCTATACCAGTCTTGCATCACCTTGCAGGAAAGCCAGCCGCAGCTGCTCCCCTCCCAAACAAGTCACAGAATGTGAAGAAGTACTACTACCCGAACGTCACTGCGTCTAAATTCGCGACGCCTTTCCAAGACTCATTTCACTACAACACCGAGGCTATATCGCACACTCGGAACCTCACGCTGTTCAAGAAGGAGATGGACGGCCCGTACTTTGACTTGGAGACGATATGGGAAGAGCATACATACTACGAGTTTGCTGACCGATCGGTCGAGCATACAATGAGCACGATGGTGCAGGAGCCTTATGTCAACCACGTACCAACGGTCAGTCTATTGATGACCACCTTGTGTTACCCAGGTAGTTACACTGGTACAGAGAGTTATGGGGCTGACCTCGGTCTAGATGACTGGCGGCATCGGTCGGTCCAAGCTATCCCATTTTTACGCACACAATTTCATCTTCCAAAATTCTGCCGACTGCGACCTTGAGCTGACCAGCCGAACTGTCGGCATCGATCGCGTCATCGACGAGTTCATATGCAAATTCACTCACGACCAAATGATTGACTGGATGTAAGACCATTCTGTATCCACCTGATTTGACTGGGGCTAAATGTATAAAGTCTACCGGGAGTTCCACCCACCAACAAGAGGGTCGAAGTTCCCTTCACGGCGGTAGTAAATGTTCGTGGTGATAGGCTATACCACGAGCACATTGCGTGGGACCAAGGCAGTGTGCTGAGGCAGCTAGGTTTGCTCCCAGAGTACCTCCCATTCCCATACCCGCTGCCCGAGGGGAGCGGCATCGCGGCTGGACGGCAAGTGGAATACCGTGTGCCAGTTGCAGGTATCGAGACAGCAAACAAGATGCGCGACCGAAATGGCGGACCATCAAATGAGATGTTCGAGTACAAGGTTCGCGAGGCATGAGATGCAGACTACTATTATGGACTATGTAGCTTTGTAGTGGAAATACAATTATAGTTGTCTCGGTCTGACTGTCCGACTGGTTCCCTCGGAACCACCCTGTCATTGCACACGTCAATTGGGTGTTACATCATCCATGGCTCGCTCCCGTGGCGGAATTCCACTGCTGCGGAATTCCTCTGGCGGAGTTCCACTGGAATTCCTCTGGCGGAGTTCCACCCGCTCCAGGCTTGAGACCGTAAGCCAGCAGCATTTCTATAAGTAAACAACTACGCTTCGATTTCTCTTAATTATTGACCTTTCTGTAAAATACAGAGCTTTGAGACGATACGTTTGTTCACTTTGAACCGAGGGAGTTCCTGCAGGTGTGCGTTGGTCGCCGAAGCTCCACAGCTGTGTCTAATTAGCCACTTATCAATTTCGTCGTCAAAGATGACCGCAATAAAAAAGGTCGCTGTATTTGGGGTACGTTGTGGATGCCTCAATCACCGGCACGTTAAGCATCTCTAGCTGACACGACTTCAAGGCGTCTGGCAACTTTGGTGCCCCGATTACCGCAGCCCTCATCAAAGCTGGCTTTGAGCTGACTATAATATCGCGAGCCGACTCACCAACAACCTTTCCGCCTGGCGTACGTGTTATCAAAATAGCATATACACCAGAGAACTTCGCCAGCGCCCTCATTGGGCAGGACACCGCCATCTGCGCCGTCGGACCTGGTGGGATTCACCACCAGACAGCTATGATCGATGCGGCGGAGGCCGCAGGCGTCAAACGCTTTATTATTGATGACTTTGGGTGGGGACCGAATGTTCGTGCGCTCCCAGAGTTCCATGATGTTCGTGAGAAGCGGAGGGCCCAATGGGATCATGCGAAGGCGAGGGCCGACGCCAACCCCAGGTTCACCTGGACTGGAATAAGCACGGGGAATCCTATCGACTGGGTAAGTCGTGAAATCGGCCCTTTCCACACGAAACGGACCATATAGTTCACATATTGACCAGTGAATAGGCAATCAAGAAATTTCCACTCATGGGGTTCAATGTCACTGACCATTCCGCAACTATGTACGACAAAGGCGAGGAGGAATTCACAGGCACGACTTTAGAGGGTATCGCACAAAGTGTCGTTGGTGTTCTCACCCACCCGGAAGAGACCAAGAACCGCTTTGTGAGGGTTTTCTCCATCAAGACCTGCCAAAACAAGTTGCTGCAAGCTCTTCAAAACGTCACGGACGAGCAGTGGAGGATACGGAAGTCAACTACTAAGGAGCTCATGGCAAGCGGTCGCAGTAAGCTTGCCAATGGCACTGGTGGGTGGGTCTTAGACCTGGTCGTCGCTCAGCTGTATGATGAAGGCGAGGCTCGGTGTGTGGTCGCATCCCGCAGGTCCGAATCCGACGCCGACCTTTTGGGCGTCGCTTCCGAGACGGAAGACCAAATTGCACGCAAGGCTCTAGGGCTTGTGTGATGCGACACACAGCGAGCAGAGATCATAGTTCCTTGCGCGCGATGCGGGGTCACCGTGGGCGCATGCGGGTCGGGACATCTAACCACGAGGATGGAGGAGACGATGATCAAGTGGTTGTCCGCATTCAGAGATGCCGGCTGCCCGATTTTTGAGGTTGTTGATAAATCTGCCGGCTCTGACTATAGTCGAATCGTATTCAAATCTTGGCCTTCCTAGCCTCGCCCTTCGTACTATGAACAGTTGGCATCTTCGTAGAAGACGAGACGGTGTCTTCCAACTGTTGACGTATCTATCAGTGTTCGTAATTTCATTAGTCTCAGCAATGAAAGGGAACTTCCCGACCAGCTTTTCCCACTAATCACCTGTCGTGCAAGCACCAGGCTAAACTCTTCTGGCTGCAACCCCGGCGTTACGATGTGGGCACCTTAAAGTTAAAAGAATGTGCCCCTAGAATAAACAACCAGTTGTGATTCTTGTTCTACTGAACTTGCTGCTTGGAAACTCGGGGCCGAACCCAACAAAGACCAAGTCAAGTTGTCGTTTTCGGGCTGCAATATACCGCCTGCGTCTGACATAAGGCTACGATTATAACAAGCTACTTAGGTATCCAGAGCAAATGCGATTTCTCTGAATCATTCCTCATTTCCATCTGGCCATCGCCCCTCCTTTCATTGATTTCTTCAAAATGGCTAGACTCTTCTTTATCACGCTGGTTTCTCAAGTGTTCGGCGCTCTGACGAGCAACCTGCACCGGCGACAAGAAGAGACCAGAAATATCCAGCTTCAAGTCCCCGAAAGCGTGCCTGAAGGCCGTCAAATTGTCGATGCCAGTTTCCAATCATATTCTATTGAGTTCTCCTACATGCTAGATTTCGCAGGTAATGCAAGGTAAGCACAAAGCGTCCAGTCTAGGACATAAAAGCTTGTACTAATTTGCAAAGCCATCCAAATGTTTATTCCCACCAGATGCTACAGAACCTAGGCGATATTGCTGGTTCATATCCCATCATCCGTGCGGGTGGGACAACACAGAACCGCAATACCTATGTCGCAAACCAGTCTGAGGCATTGATAGCAAGATTTTCGACGCCAGGCGCGGATCAGCCAGCCTCGCTGACGGTCGGGCCTGCTTGGTTCGAGTCGTTCCAGCAGTTTCCAGAGGGTACCAAGTATATCTACGGTCTTAACTTTTATGACGGCGAAGAAGGCATGGCCCAAGCCGTGCTACAGGCTGGTGCCGCTTACCGTGGAATTGACAAGGATCTGTATGCCTTCGAGATTGGCAACGAAGTCAACTGTATGCAAATCTGAAGATTAGCTTGAGTTCTACCCAATCCGAGAAGATGATAAGCCCACTAATTAATCTCAGCCTGGCCTGGTGGCAGTCGTCGCCCGGCAAATTACACAACCAAGTCGTACGTAGATCAATGGACGGAGTTCGCAGACGCGATAGGAAAAGACGCACTTGGCGAGGACGATGCAAAGCTGCAGCCTCTATTTCAAGGTTGTGCGTTCACAGCACCACGAGACATTGATCCTGGCAACAACTCAGTTTGGAATGTCCAAAGCGTGCTTGAGCTGGGATTGGCCCGATCTGGTAGGCTGAAAACAGTAGCTGACCACGACGTGAGTCTGAGTCGGGATTGGAAGGCGGTCCAAAGTCTTTTGTGGCTACAGAGCTGACCAATTCGTGGAATAATTAGTACATGGGAGCCAACTGTGAAGGTTCCAAGATCCCTACTATCAAGGACAACATTCTAAATCACCATCGGATGACATCCCTGATGTGGTATCACGAAGCTCTCGGTAATTTCAGCGCCTCACAAGGCATGCCATATGTACTTGGCGAGACCAACTCAATCTCTGTGAGTGCCCCGAAACCCCAGCTTCACCTTGTTGAGCTCTTTTCGTTTTGAGAGTATGCATTCCTCTGCTTGCTTCGCTGACCTAGACAACAGTGTCAGGGGACGCCTGGGGTTTCAGACGCTTTCGCCTCCGCTCTATGGGCAGTTGACTACGTCCTGTACGTCGCAACGCTTCGGATCTCGCGCCTACACTTCCACGTAAGCAGTTTCTAGATTCAAGTTTTACCCCTTCAAGGACAAACATGTCCCAAAGACTTTACGGGCTGGAGGGGTTGACTCAGGCTACTCCTGTGGTTCTTTGATGGCTGACATTGAACCCCCAATGCTGCAGATGGGCACCGCTTACCGTTATTCACCGTGGCAGCCAATTACTGTCAACGGCACGGCGCCCTTTGCCAAACCTCTTTACTATGGAAACCTTTTTACAGCCTCGGCGTTGTCAGGAGGTAACAAGCAGGTCCAGATATTGTTGAACGAGACATCTCTTACCGCTTACGCCGTGTTCGATGCCGGCAGCTCCGGGTCCGACATTGCCACCGCCCAGGGCTCTGCTTCCGTACAGCAAAAGCTGACTTCACTGGTTCTTCTGAATCTCAACATATACAACTCGACTTTCACGACGCCGCGCCCATACACGAGCTTCGACTTTACTCTCCCGGCTGGTGCTGGTAACGTTTCCATCCGGTCTTCCGACGTCCAAGTCTATCGTCTTACAGCGCCGGGCGTTGAAGTAGCAAGCAATGTTACATTTGCAGGTCAATACGTAGATAACAGCTCAGGTGTCTTGATCGGGGAGAGGGCCGTCGAAGAGGTTGAGGATCTGGGCAATGGAGAGGCCAGGGTGAGAGTTGGTGACGGAGAAGCCTTGTTGATCACATTTTAGTGTTGCATGCCCTTGGCGGCTGCTACCGTTGCGTTTTGTGTTTACACAGAGTACACTGGTGTGGGAGGGGACGGGGAGTTTTTAAACCTAACTTGACCTGGATGACAAGGTTATTCGAGAAATGGCAACTCGGGGTCGTTGTTCTCTTCCCTCACTGCCCAGGTGGAATCATGGCTGTCCCAATGTTAGGACTAGAGCTCAATTTGCTCATATCTTGCCCCTGTTCAGATGAAATAACCTGCATGTTCACATCGTGCCCGTGTAGGCTGTCCCATTCTACCTAGGTACGCAAATGTGAGATGGCATGTGCACTTTACTTGGGTGATAGTATACTACAGCTGTCAGGAAAACGAGCATGACAGCTTGTGTCAATGAGAGCCTAGCTATGTACTTCCCAAGTATGGTTATTGAACGGTGGGTCTTGAGCGTTTACCACTGTATGAAGGCGCCACGTACATTTTACATGTATGGGGATTAAAAACGAAACCACACATGGAAAGGATGGCAGCCTATATCAAATGGGTGTAATGTGCCGGTGATCTGCCAGGGCCAGGACAAGGGGTCACTACCTACCTAGGTACCTAGGTATGGGCTAGGTACAGATGTATTTTCCGATGTAACAGCTCATTCTAGTTTCCGGTATGCCACAGGGCAAAACATTGTGTTCCAAGGTTAGCACATGTGGTTGAAGGAGGTCAGTCGTAGTGGGCCTGTGTCTTCAGGGTTGGGGTTCGTATAAGTGAGATATGCACAGTCGGAATAATGTTGCTTGCAGGGCTCGACACATCCCTGCCGGGCGAATGGTGGAGTTGATCAACACGAGCTCTGTCTGAAAGACACAGCTAGTTTGTGAAGTTTTGGCGGGCGCCACAACCGACGAGACAGACCCAGATGGGCAACAGGGCTCGAGGCCGTTGAGTTGCGGGCAAAAAGGGACGAAACATGTCACCCAGAGTTTGGACTCTGTCGGTATTGGGGCCCTGGTGCCATGGGCCATATACCCTGGTGTTACCACGGGCGTTAATGCGAGCGCAGGCAGCTGCAGAGCGACTGGCATTGGACCGAGATCCCTGGACGCATCCACTGTCCCACCCTATTCGTCCTGCCTCTTCCACTTGTGCTCCCCACTCACCCGAGCACCCGTCGTGAGGGAACCAAGGCCGGTTGAGTCTTGACTGGCTCTGCTGGTATACACAGTATCACCGATATGAAATTAGCTTGGGGGTCGGCGGCATGAACTACGGGAGAGAACTCTGCAAGCCCAGGAAATTGGACCCCCTTACATCCCCAGCCAGCCAGCCAGCCCAGCCCAGCCATTGCATGGGCGAGGTGAGGTTTTCAAATCTGAAACCAGACAAGCCTAGAGGTGGCTAGGGCAACCCCCGCAGCACATTGCATGATTGCCGGGAGCACATGCGCAAGTGTGGCTGCACCTCCCGGGCCAGCCTAGGTGCAGGGGGACCGGCGGCCAGGGCACAGATGCGGTGTAGCGGCATCGTGGGGGGGGGGGGCAGGGTGGCGGCGTATGGGAGAATTTCCCAAGACTGGCAGGACGGGACGAGGTGGCAGGTGGGAGGGCGCTGGGGCGCTGGGGCACTGGGGCACTGGGGCGACGGGGCAGAGAGGAGAATTGATTTGAGATCTCTGCGGGTCCTGCGTGCTTGCTCCTGCATGAATGATTTGCGTTGCTTCTGCGTAGTAAACCATTAGACGGAACCCACTTCTTTCAATGTTGTCATGTCACACAGGCACACAGGCACACAGGCTCCCAGAGCTCCAGGACAGCCCAGAGGGGCCAGACAAGATGGCGGGCATGATGGGACCGGCTGGCTGATAAGCTAAAGTCTCGGATGCCCATCATTCAATCTGATCCGTGGTTCGCACTTAAGTACTCAAGTGCATACCCAGGCCGGCAAGGCTACCTAAGTACATACTTATTATAACAAGTTACTGCACCCAGCCGATCTGCCCGATGTCAGCGAATTCGGCAGGGCATCCGAGGTTCCTACGCTGACACTCGTCGATCATTGTGATAATGATGCCACCAGGCAGACAGCTCATCTGCCGGCAGCTGCGAGGTAGCAGCCTCGGGATCATGGGCATACAAGATACTGTGTATACTGCAGCTGCAATAGTCCCAGAGTGGTTCTCCAATGTCGACGTGCAGACCACCATGACCACCAGGGTGAACCTTCAACGTCGCTGTGGAGTGGGCCCTTCGATCTGCTGCTTTGTTTCTCCCCGCATCGTCCTCCTCCTTCATCTCATCACAATTGCCTGGCATTCGTGTATCTGGTGGCATCTGGGCCCTCGGTGTGGCTGCCAGGCCCCTCCTGCAGTGTCTGATTGGGCATTCCCCCCCGAGGCGCAGTTTAAATATAGCCAGCCCGGCAGTACTACGTACACAGTAGCACATCTATCTACCCAGCTGCCAGGTATGTACAGTATGTACAGAGAGAGGAGCAGGAGGGTTCACCCGTGGCTGCGTGGCAGCCGTGGCCCGTGGGTGGAAAAAGGGGGGCAGGGGGCAGGGGGGTCCAACTCCAGGGTCCGGGGTCCCTCACGCCAGCCCGTCTTTCCAACACCCAAGTGGCCCAAGTGGCCCAACACCATGCATGTCCACTTACACAGTAGTAGAGGTCCAATCCTCGCGCAGGGGTGACGATGTCCTGGCCGTCTGTTGCATGCGAGGCTGTTCCTACACTACCGTTGTTCTCTGCACACATACCTACATAGATCCCTACTTACGCTACTAAAACCACCGCCCCTGCCCACCACTCCACCAAGACCAAATGTGTTACCCGACTACGCTGCCCGCCACCCAACCTTCTCGTCATTCTTTTTGTCGGTGCCGTCCACCACCCAGCCAGTTCCGCCCAACTCCACGCTAAACAATTCGCTCCTGCGAGAACTGATCAACGCCTCTGCCATATACGCCTCACGCTCGTCAATGCCTGCCACCTCGTAACCCTCACAGGCGCGCGGCAGATGGACCACAGTTCAGAGCCTCGCGATGGAGACGCTCAATCCGTCTTTGGCGACTACGATGGCCCGGTGACCCAGATCAGGATGTTAGTGATAGTCATCCGGGCAATCATGCTTCCAACCCCCACTGCTGTGGGTCTGGGGCCACCAACACGCTGACAATTCACAGGGTGCCGCCGTCCTCCTCGAGCGGCTCATCAGCCCGGCGACTGCATTCTCGATCGACCGGCCAGGGAACCAGCCATGGCGCCGACGACCCACAGCTGGACCCCCCGCCGTCGCGGAGGGGAAGGAAGGGCATGACCATACATTGGCCCTTCCAGAGCATCGCCACAGACAACATGTCCATATTCACCGCCAACGCCCCGGAGCTGTTCCGCCGCGCCACCGTCCAGGTGCCCAAGACCGGCAGCGACGGCTCCCGCAGCCAGCGCGACAGCACGCTCATCCCGGACTACGTTGTCAATTACATCCGGGGTGAGACGCCCGAGACGGTCGCGAGGCGCAAGCGCAACGGAGGCAACCAGGGCGCGCGCAACATCGATATCGTCCACCAGCACCGACCGCAGCAGTCACACATGGTCCTGCTCGAGGGCGTGCAGGAGACCAGGGCTCGCAGGGCTCACGACGCAATGTCCCAGACAACCGCCTCCTCCACTATGACCGAGCTGCAGATGATCCTGCCCTCCACCAATGAGAAGCCCAGGAAGAGGAGGAGGTTATTGACTGGATGGAGGCTGGGCGTCGTCCTCAACGCCGTCCTGGCTTTTGTGATCCTGGTCATAAGTTTCGTGTGCCTGGTATACGCTGGCTCGTCGATCGCCATATTGGTCGGAGATATGGACCTGTTCACGGGGTCTTGTGCGGACGTCACCTCCCTCGACTGGCGCCTGCACGCGCTGATCAATGTCTTGGTGGTAATCTTGGTTGTCGGCGCCAACTACGTCTTCCAGGCCCTGAGCAGCCCAACGCGGTCAGAGATAGGGCGGGCGCATGAGGGGAAGCAGTGGCTGGAGATCGGTGTTCCGTCGCTGCGCAACTTCAGGCACATTGGAAAGGGGAGGGTCATATTGGCCAGCATCCTGCTGACCGTGGCTGTTTTGACCCAAGTAATGTGAGCCTCGATGCGGTTCATCCCAACCTGCCTACACCTTTGAGGCTAACCGTCGGCTGCAGATATAATTCCGTAATATTCACCACACAAGCCGGGCTGAGCTACAACCTTGTCGCTGTCACCCCGTCTTTCCTCACCGGCTCCTCATTCAGCAATGGGACCGATAACAATGCTGGCGGTCTCAGCCGCAACGAACTGCTCGCGCTCCAGAACCTCGCCGGCCGGAACGAACTCACAAATCTCACCTCGAGCCAGTGTGTCGATCTCTTCAGCGGCGTGTTCAATACTGATTTCCAGAACGTCCTCCTCGTGGTCAATAGCCCCAGCTCGGGCAACACCCTCGTCGAGACCGCCCAGGCGGGCATCAACCTTCAGACCGGCAACAACATGTCGACCACCATCTCAAACGCTGAGATCTTCTTCGATGGGGCTGTGGTCCAGTTTTGTCTGGCACAGAGGAGCGATGCGACCCAGGAGACGTGCACGCTGCAGCTCAATGGTATACTCCTGGTCGTTGTCGTCGGGCTAAACCTGATCACCCTGATCGCTACCGCCGCGAACCTTCTCCTGCGCCGCTTCGAGCCACTGGTCACACTCGGGGACGCCATCTCCTCCTTCCTTCGCGACCCGGACCCGTCGACGCGCAAGAATTGTCTCTTGTCCAAGAAGAACCTTCGCACCGGCATGGGAGGCTGGGGCTTTACGGACGGCAAGTACTGGGCGCCGGAGCGCGACCACTTCTGGTTCCGGTCGCCCTCGCTGCCCAACTGGCTGGGCGTAGCCTTCTGGTGGCTCGCATGCGTGGTCTTTGCCGCCGGCGTCCTGGCGCTCACTGTCGCCTCCCAACCGTCGTCGCACCCGCTGTCACCCTTTGGCGTCGCCAGCCCTCATTCGACATACCTCCTTCCTACCGCGGCGGCGGCCTCCATCCCTGCCGGATCGCTCGCCATCGTCACTTCCCTACCACAGATCCTGATCGCCGGTCTGTACTTCGCCGCCAACGCCCTCTTGACCGCCTACTTCCTCTCGCGCGAGAGCAGCCTCCACGCCATACTGGCACAGAACGCACGCCGAGCCCTGCGTGTCTCATCCGACCCCGAGGGCCACCAGACCACCAGCCTCTACATGACGCTGCCCCGACCTGTGAGCTGGGGCCTGGTCGTCTACTTCGCCGCGATGGGCTTTGTAATGAGCCAGGCATGCTTTGTCGTCTCCTTGACGTCGAGCGACTCGCCCGATCCTTCCGACCCGGACGCCTCGCCGCAGCACCTTCTTGGCGTGGGCTTCAGCGGTGTCGCCCTCGCCATCCTGCTGGCGATGCTCATAGTCCTGTTCCTCGCGCTCATGGGGCCCGGTTTCCTCCGCGCCCCAGCTGTGACCATGGCTGACGGCCGCACTGTCGGCAACCCACTCGTCTTTGAGGGCGGGTCCTGCAGCGCCGTCATTAGCGCCCGCTGCCACCGCGTGCCCCACGAGATCGACGTCTACCGGCAGCCCGTTGCGTGGGGAGTTGTCCCCGAGACGCCGGGCGCCACCGTCAGCCACGCCACCTACTCAGCGCGGCCCCTCGGCGAGCTGGACGCTACCCGGCGCTACGCATGATCTCCTCGCACCTTACGTCGTAGGGGTGTCGGTTCTTTTACTACTTATTTTTGGATGATACTTTTGAATTTCCCCTCTTGCTTGTTAGGGCCAAATTCCCTTCGATTGTCAATATTTTACTTTCTTCCCCTATCCGAATCGCAGACGCTATTCCTGGGAGTGATATACCACAAAAAAAGAAATAGCCTAACCAGCAGCGCGGTCTGCTTCTCTGTTCTGGGAGTAAAGAGCAGCTGCAGGAAGAGTTGTGCACTTTTTGACTGTTTGTCATGGGCGGAAGGAACCATAACGGTTTGCATATTGATGGGCTTTGGAGTTTTACACGGGAACGGATGATACCAGCTGGGCTTGCGATGATTAGCTATGAGCGCATGAGATCTAATGATAAATCTATCAAACCTAAGCGAGACCCGAGACCGTGTTCCTGAAGCCGTTCATCCCAGGCCGCAGCGGACCTGTTCACTGTCCACGACCGGCGCTTTTCTGACATGTCTCGGGTACACCCATCTCGATCTAGGAGTAATAAGTGCTCAAGTGACACGGGCACTGTTGTTCTCAATTTCGGGAGCTAACACGACAAGCAAACTCCCGAAACTCAAACGTTGCGATTAGTACACTAGTTCGTGCATACACGGGCAGCTGGAGACACAATGACATCAAGAATTCCTCGTGGCACTTGTAGACCGTATCCGAAACAAAAAAAAATATGCAACTCGACATTTGGATTGCAGCCTCAGGCTATGGCCTCGGCCCTTGTATCTATGTTCAATATTGTCAAAGTTACGTGCAATGGACACCCGTTTAGGTGACCGTCCAGATGTAAAATGTGGCAAACCATGGTTGACCTCAAATGCCGACCCTGCTCTGCTGCCCAGAAAACAAGAACTCACTTTCAAGGTATCAAAAAAAGAAGAAGAAAAGTCATTCCCGTCAAGGAGGAAAGAAAACGAATAATGCCGTGGTCCTGTAATGCCCGGAACGCCCCGTGTATATATATCTCTAATGTGATTGGAAGAAGGCAACAAAAGCCTGCGAGTCAAGTCGATTCCCCAGGAATACCGTGCTCGCTGGCATCATGAGTTTGGAAACTAGACATCGATAGGGTCGTCGAGGAAGTTGTAGCCGTCGTCTTCTGGTGGCAGGAAGTAGGCGCACGATGCCAAGGCACCGACCAAGACAGCGGCCACGCTGGCGCTGACGGTGCACAGGATCCAGGACGTGTCGAGCCGCCAGCCCTGGACGGAGAAGTATTCGTCGTTATCGTAGAGGAAGGACTTCATGTGAGATGACGCGGTCAGCAAGCAATGAGCCATGGTTTTCGCAGAGGGGTAACTCTTCCACCCCCCCTCCCCAAAAAGAAAGAGAGGCAAAGACTCACAATCAAGCCCATGGCAGCAAACTGCACGACAGAGACTACACTCAGCAGACCGCACAGGACCTTCCAGCCATACTCCCTCTTGACCTGGCCGCCGCCAATGGCGACGACAAAGCAGACCAGGGTGGCGAGCTCGGCGATGGTGGCGAAGCTCATGAGGAAGCCGGAGGTGCGCCACATGGAGCAGAAGTACCTGTCGTTGGGGTCGCAGTCCTTCTCCTCGTCGGGGAAGGTGCGGCAGGGCTTGTCGGGCAGGGCGGTGTTGCAGTAGTGGTGCAGGCCGAGGTGTTGGGAGTAGAGGGTGTCGCTGTTTTGGGACTCGACGTCCATGCTGACCCAGTGGGGGACGAGGATGGATGTGAGGGTCAATGCCGATGCTGTTTGGCGGTATTCCAGGTCAGCTATGCGTGTGTCGGGCCATATTGATAAGGTGCGGCAAGGCGGTCGTGGGCTGTAGTCCCCGTTGCGCGGTTGACGCCGGTGACGACATGATATGACGATGTTGCTCGGGGCTGCGACTCGTGCAGGCTGAGTGCTAAGACCGTCACCCGACGCGGGGCACACGGTCAGGGACACGGACACCTCTGGCAGAGCTTCCCCCCGCGAGCAGTGCTTCCAAATGGCAGGTGAACCTCGACACAGAGGAGGAGCACTGCAATTTTTCGCAATGTGGTCGTTCCCTTGGTGGAGCGAGTGTCAAGCTCTTTGGGAGGGTGGGCTCGAGCGGGAAGTGCGCCGTATGGGCTGGGCTAATGGCTTGGGATTACGTACCAGCAATGAAGACGGCGAGCGAGACGCCGTAGACTGATAATCGTGTCATGGTCGTGGTCGTGGTCGTGGTCGTGGTCACGGTCGTGGTCCAGTCGGTGCAGGACGAGCTCGGGCCAGGGATTTGTTGCTGCTCTAGACGGAGTCCTTCCAGCTCGGGGAGTTGTGTTATGAACGTGAACGAGAAAAGAAAACGAGCTGGGGGGACTAAGATTAGGATCGGGATTCTGATGTGGTGTGGTGGAAAACGGTGGCAGGTTTCATGGGCTGCAAGTGCACACACCCCAGCACCCCAGACCACCCCAGACACTGGACCTAAAATGGACCTTCCTAAACATCCAAGGTCAACTGCTCCCAGGCTCCAGGAGCTGGGGTGGCCCTGACCGCTCGTTCCCCACACTGACTTACAGCAGCATGTCACCGAGGGCATTATTGTCTGTGTCTGTGTCTGTCATCTCTCCCGTTGACGTGAGCAGCATCAGGCATACATTCAACGGCCTCAAGCACCAACTGGCCAGACTACACGACGCTATGTCGAAACGTCGGACCCGAGCCATCGTTCTGCATGTCCGTCATATACCGTCATGGTTTCCACTCTCGCGGCCTGCAGCCTCTTTCATGGCGTCTGCCCCATGCGGCATGGTCCGATGCAGCCAACCTTGGAACCCGCGGGAGCCTCCCACACAATCAGGACAATCCTTCCCACCTGACCACTCCGGCCTGTGAGAGACGGTCAATCGCTCCGGGTGAGCTCCAACTAACTGCCTGCCTGCCTGCCTGCCTGCCTGCACAGATAAGAGCCCCCCCCCCCCCGATCGGGGATCGGCAGCATGGGCTCATGTGATTCGATGCTGTCTTGCTCTTGACGTCGGGATCTCTGTACCTTGGTCACATATCACCAGGCTCGCCCGATCGACTTCCACCAGCACACGAGCCAGTATATGCAGGCAACTCGGGTCTTTCTACGTCGACAATTCAGCCTCTAGCTTCTCACACTTCTTGGGTCGTTTGTTACTTGCGTTCGACAGGAACAGTCAGGATGTCTTTGCATGTCGCACAGAAAAGTCACCATGGCCAGCACTCCGTGAGTGCCTGAACCGAGGCCATGACTTTCTCGCGGGCTTCATGCTCTTGAGCGTTCCACAGCACTCAAGCACGCTCGGTGGATACCAAGCTGGGCTGCCCGCTTTCCCCTCACCAGCTGGTTCCAACCGGACCCAACATTGGGTAAATATGAAGCGGGGGGTTGGCAACTCCACGGTACCCCAAGGAAACAACGTAGCACATTTGTTAGCAATTGCAGATAGTGAGACGACTTCCTATCTTTCCAATCTGGTTAAACAGTCCTCTCGCCTTCAGGGCAGTCTTCTCGGTAGAAGATGGCCACTGGCAACCGCCTTACCAACAAGGTCGCTCTCATCACGGGCTCCTCCTCCGGGATAGGGCGCGCTATCGCACTCCGCTATGCTGCTGAAGGTGCCAAGGTCATCTGTGCTGACCTCTCACCCGCACCCCGCGTTGCTATACTGAAGGATCCATCTGCCCAGGCGGCGCCCGAAGCCCGGCCCACCCACGAGCTCATCGGGCCTGGGAGCGCGGCCTTTGTGCAGACCGACGTCGGGGAAGCAGCCGCCGTCGAGAATGCAGTCCACTTCGCCGTCATGACATTTGGCCGCTTAGATGTGTAGGTCCCACAGAGCACTTGAGACCAGGCTCGCTAGAACGAGTCCGAACGAGCACTGGGCCGCTGATAACAGACGCCAGCATGGTGAACAACGCCGGTATAGCACCCGAGGCCAGATCCATGGGGCCTATCCACGAGCAGCAAGATGACGTCTGGGACCTGACGATGCGAGTGAACGCCAAATCCGTCTACCTCGGATGCAAGTTCGCCATCAGGCAGATGCTGGCCCAGGAGCCCCATGGCAGCGGGGACCGGGGCTGGATCGTGAACATGTCGAGCATCATGGGGACGGTAGCAACACATTGGGCCCGTAAGTCGCGATTGTTGCAATGGTACCAACGGCCCCACTGACCTAGATGCCTCCAGCGTCGTACTGTGCCTCCAAAGGCGCCGTCTCAAGCCTGACCAGGCAGGTGGCCCTTGACTACGCGACGCACCGCATTCACTGCAACGCCGTTTGTCCCGGGTTCACCGAGACAGCTATCTTGGAGGAGACGACGTCTTTCGGACCGACTCCGCAGATGCTGGCTGAGAGGCACCCTTTCGGCGGGGTGGGCACACCGGAGGATATTGCGAAAGTCGCTGTGTTGCTGGCAAGCGACGATGCGAGTTGGATTACTGGTGTGAACCTGCCAGTGGACGGGGGATATATCATACAATAGATATGACTATCTCAATCGTTCTGTTAGCTATGTGCTTGGGATGGGGACCATGGTGTTTTTGGCTTACCTGGCGAGGGTAGATTTGGGTGGCTGTTGAGTGTATTGATGGGGAAGAGCCAAGTTTCGGTCTCACGTTGTGGGACCCTTCTTCTTATAGGGACTATTTTGAGACTATTTTAGTCTCGTCGTATGACTGCTTCGCTGGCTTTCTAGTGAGCGGCGCTGTCAGGAGCGATGCCTTCCAGCCTTGCCTGTGCGGTACAAAGCTGAGGCTACGTGTCCATAGTTGTACTATATTCTCTCTATGCCGTTATTAGCACTATATTTGTTTTTTAAAAAACGTTGGGTCTTAAGCCTTTACTATTATATGAAGGCGCCATATACATTTTATGTGTCAAGGGATTAGAAAGGAAACTGCTATCTAAATCGTTCCCGTGTGCTCCAGACGGGCAAGCACAGGTCGTATATTGCAGTTTAATTTCTGTCACACGAGCAGACCTTCTTCAGTACTTGTAGGATATCTCGCAATTTGGACCTAAATAGATGAACCGATTCCTCAAACCGATTGAAAATTCACAAGGATCATTTGCCTGCGCAGCTCAGCACCTGTGAGGGTTCAGGTGCTCTCGAGCCCGCCCCCCCCCCCCCGCTCGCGAATAGTCTACTTATCTTTTCTCAGTAATTACGCAAATCACTGAAAATTCGGGCATGAGAGCTTCATACCCAGGTATGGAAGCCGGCTGTGGAGATGAGAAGTTCCAGGTTTATTGCTTTGTAGACTTGGGTACGACTCGGTAGGTTGTCCGGCTGTACCAGAATTCTAGAATACAGGAAAACGATGATCTGGCCAGAAGCCTTCTACTAGCAATGCGATCTCATCAAAGCCACGTATACCACTGACTTTGTGTGCCAAATGCTACTCATCTCCACACCCAGACACAGCCCAATGTATGCCACGATCAAACACAGAACGGCTGCCCAATTTCTCCCCTCCACTGACAGCGGCCGGGGGAACAGGGGCTTTTCAACAGGAAGACGCCATTGTGGCAGATTCCCTGTTTGTGAAAGGGTCAGCCATTGAAAATAAATCTGTAGTCACATACCAAGTGGTGGGTGTTCACATACGACATTGGTGCAAGTTGTGTCACAACTCATCGCACCTTCGAGCGCCGGATCGAAGCCGCAGTTGGCACCGATGCTGAACATCGCGGAACATTCCAGGTTGGTCTCAGAGGAGGTGAGGACTCTGGTTGTGCTGGTTTCAGGATCGGTCGGATCGAAGCAGCTGGCTTCATTGCCAAAGCTCGGATCGTAGAACCAGCACGATTTAGGCTCGCATTTCTTCTTCAGTTTCCATTCCTCAGATTTACAAACCATCTTTGCTTGGCAAGAGCCGCATGTCAGTGAGTCGAAGCCAGCCCAGGGATGTTGGTGCGGGAAGGTGCCCGTGTGTCATGGGCCCGTACTTACGGCATTGTTGTACTTGGTGTCGCAGACTTCGCGTTCTTCCTCAGCAGACGCCTCCCCAAGCTCAAATTTAGGCTCACCAGGACGTGTGACCTCGCCAAGGGGACAACCTGTGTCGGGGTTGACGACGAGGCGGGATACTCCAAAAGCCAAGGGCTGGGCGAAACTGTCAAAGCCGACTGCGCGGGTGACAACAAGGGCGAGAAAAAAGGAGACGAAAAGCCGCTGAATGCATTTTGAAGGCTTGAAGCAAGGGTAGAAGTCCAAGGTCAAATGGGCGAACTGCAAGTGGTACAGTAGAGACAGTGGTGAAGACCCGTACAGATCAAAGAATAAGTGTTGTCCGTAGTTTTTGGGTCCAACGGGTCTGCGGTGAGACGGACTGAGAAGTGAAGAGATGGATCGGAACGCAGCTGATGCTCAAAGTGATTTCTGGTTGACGAATGCTAGAGAGGTGGAGAGGGAAAAAGAAGAAGCATTGGACACTGGAAGAGTCGAGTTGGACAGGACCCAATCTGGCTCAAGTACTTCAATAACATTCAACTTGAAGTTCACTCCTTCCCGTCTTCGATGCATCTAGATGCATGTGCGTGGGCTGACTCTCGGCCAAGGAGGCAGCCCTGACCTACTAGTAATACTGGATGTCCAGGTGGTATCTTACAAGACCGCGCCTTCTTCCACAATGGGTCCCTGGAGCCGTTAGAGAGAGGAAGTCTACCAAGAGCACAAATGCGTGCGTAATCATACGGGTCTAGTTGGGTACGATCCGGCTCGGGGCTCTTCCATCCAGCCCCACCGCACTCGAGCGGAAAGTGTGAACAACTGCCCAGAAGCCTGCTGAGCCAGGCATGGATGGTATTAATTTTAGTGAGTGCCCATAGACCCTGCCAACCCCTTCAATATACATGTCCTGCGTGACGGCACTTTCGCAGTCGAGTTCCACACATACGTGCGAGTACCTAGGAATTTACCAGCCCAATCGATCACCCAAGCAAGTTGCTAACTACCACCAACTCAGTACCTTTTCCCCTACCGCGGCCTGGAAAAGAGGTCGCCTATTAAAGCTTGTGTACAAAGGAATTTGCCGTAATGCCCCGGAACTTCTTGCCGAAGAACCAGAAGATTATACCGCAACAGGAAAAGAACGTGATGAGAGCCATGTTCGTCAGGATAGGTGGGATGAAACCCTTCTCCTCTGCCCATGGCGTCAAGAACTTTGACACGCCGTAGCCCCAAAGGTTCTTGTTTCTTTTAAGGGTCAGCGGGCGTCTGTTTGCGTCAAGAGGGTGGGCTGATACTCACATCGTGATGGTCACGAACAACGACCCCGTCACCGGTTTGTAACTATCAATTGCGTATGTCGAGGCGATACTTGGCAGGGCGGCGACCTGGCATCCCAGGAAGCTGTAGCCCACAATAACAATAGCCTCCCACTGCCAGTGATAGTCGTAGCCCACAGAAGTAACGATGCTGCCAATGATCATGATGATGATGTACGGAATCATGGCCACGAGTCTCATCTCGGGCTCACGGATGCCATTATTTCTCTTGGTCAAATAAGCTGCCACCCAGTCGCTGAGAGGCCCACAAGTGAAGAGTCCGACCATTCCACCAACAAGCACTGCGAGGTTGAACAGACCGATAGTCTGAGACGAGAAGTTGTACGGCGGAGCAGCGAAGGCTTGAGACTGAGACAGGTTGACGACAAGGAACCCAGAAGCACTCCATGAGACGACGAACGCGGCGTACTCGACAATTGGGAAGAGGTGTAGGTAGAAGGGCAGCCAGAGTTCGCGGAACAGATTTCCCTGGTAGGGCTGGAACGGCAAGAATTGCTTCTTCCCGGGGCTACCTCGGCCTAGACACGGGTCGACATGTGTTTCCGTAGGAGCAATCTTGCCGCCAGTGGCTGTACTGTGTTGCGTTTCTGCTTGGGTTACTTGTGCTCCCAGACCTTCTTCTTGATCAGTGCCACTATGTTTCTCGTGGAGTGAGCCGTTCGTTTTTTCGACAACCGCCTTTGGGTCCCTGACGGGGGGCGGCTTCGGCGCATCGCCTGTCTCCCAAGCCCTGTGGTAGCGGGTCTCTGGAAATAAGAGGATGCAGACAATCAGGGTGAATAACAGCATTCCTGTGTTGAACCACCAAAAGCTTTCCACACCGGTATGCTCAGCCATCGCACCACTGATGATCGGCCCAACCATCAGAGATCCGAAGTACAAGCTGAAGTAAAGTGTCTGATACTTCCCACCTGTTGTTTCGTCCCCCGTTAGAAAAACAGGACCTCACGATCCAGGGCTTTGACGCGTGCTTGGGAGATCCGAAGGCTGTGGGCACGGATAGCGAAATCACAGGCGAGGGGATCTACTTACGATCGTGCAAGAAAATCACATCCGCAATAACTTGAGGCATTAGAGTCTCGCAAGGGCCAGCGCCTATCCCGTTAAGAACCGAAGCACCCATGAAGCTATTATAATCCTTGGCTCTCGCTCTCCAGATGGAGGAAATGACACATATCGCCATGGAAAAGATTGCGACGGGGCGTCTACCAAAGCAGGTGCTCATGGGCACCCAGATGAAGTTGCTAAAGCCCAGAACAAGGATGGCAACGCCAGTGAACTGAACCACATCTGCAAGGCTGCGGTTGTACAACTGAATGTAGTTCCCGAACATGGGTGCGAGGGCGAGGGGCCCGAGATTCTGGCTGAAAGAGACAGCTGTGGCACAGAATATCGTCGCACCCTTCCAGAAAGGTGACCAGTTCAGGGGGTCACGGGGGTCGTCGGATGGCTGAGGGACAAGAACGGCACGATTGTTGCCCTTGACGAAATGGTGAGTTCCCACATCTTGCATGAGCTCCGTCCCTGGGTAGATCTTGGTGTGAAGGACCTCCTCTAGCTCGTGGATGGTGTTCTCGTCGAGATTCTCGTCCATTTTGGCGAGCTGTCGAACGCTGTCAACAGGCCGACTGGAGGGGGGCCGGTTTGAGCGAAGGTTCCGCCTTTGCTGCACGTACAACGACACTTGGGCAGCGCGATCGAGAATGCAACTCTGTGTGACGCCCTAATCAGGGTTGGATCGGCAGAATATAGTCAACTGATCGAACATTGAAGAAGGCACCGCGCTGGCAGAATGCGGACACGTGTGGACAGTATTTATTGGGAGACTCAGCAGCGCATTTGCAGGATGGACTGGATGCTACGTGCTAATTTCATGCGATCCGCCCCTGGCCCCGGATCACACAGGTATGGTTTTGCAACCATGTCGGCGGCCTGCCACACTATTGGATCCAAGGTGCGGAGAGAGCTGGCACGTCTCCCATCGGGATGGGGCGGCGGCAATTGGGCCTTTTGAAGACGGTCCCCGTCGTCCGGCATACCTACCTAGTTGCCTAGGTATCCTTATGAATAAGTGACACACTGACAGATAGAGTTTCCTGCATGCTGATCGCTGTCATCAGAGGATCCTGAGGATCTCCTGGATCTCTGCAGTGCACACATGTGTGGCGTCCGGATCGGCCCAACTTGCACAGACGTGCACGTGGTCGAGCCCAGCGTTGCATTTCCGCCAGTGCCAGTCTGCCAGTGCTGTCTGCCTGCAACGCTGCAGTGGCGAATTTGTCCCATCCTGTCGTCAACAACCGCCGCGAGCGGTGCAGTCGATTTCCCTCCTTACATATGTATATGTACCTAGGTACCTAGACACACAGGTCTCGGAACCCCATCTTTTCCCCACAACCTTGGAACCTGCGCCCACGAGCCGCTTGGTGCTTCCCCGCGACACAAGCATACTCGAGAGCCTTGAAACTTGGCTTTCAATGCTTCAGTACCGTAAGGCCGTATGTTTCCCCGCCGCAGAGAAATGTAAACTCCTGGTAGCCTGTTTAGCGCGCGCGTGAGCCATCTAGCTGGTTTCATAAGCTTGACCGGTAAATGGCAAAGGCAAATAGACCGGTAAATGCCATGGCCAAATAGACCAGGAAATGCCATGGCAAAATAGACCGGAAAATGCCATGGCCAAATAGAACAGATGACAGTAACTAGTGTAAGTTCTAAAGTTGATGAGCACCGCTAGCCGGCCTAGAACGAGGCCGACCCAGATCGCCGGTAATAAGCATTGCGCCAGTGGTCTCCTAGTTGACCAATTCCCACCTGGCTGGCTTTTACCTACCTTGCCTACGTATGCAGGCACTAGGCAGCAGACACCCGAGAAGACCTTGGTAGGGTTGGTAACTTTTGTCATTGATGCGACTACCTAAGTACTAGTAGTGCAACGACAGATCCCTGATTTGTGCTCTCCTCGTACTCGGTCCAAGCATTAGCATCTATTACAGTCTTTCAGTCCTGCTTTCTGTGAGGCTAGGACATGCATGGTTGATTTGATGGCAGTATGCCAGCATCGTGTCGATGAGACGTTACCTGTTACGTATCAACAACTGTGCCAAAGGCCGATCTTGGAGTATGTACATGTAGGTATAGACTTGCGCACATCCTCACATGTGGCCATGGCTGATGGCGCCGTTCGCCAAGTCATTAGAGTCTATGCGCACTTTAAATAAAGTCTTCCGCGGAATGCAATCGACAGCTAAGCAGCGCTTAGTTAAAACTTCAGTCAGTCGTTTCCGTAGACAAGGTTCTTCTTGTATTTATCTAGTTTCGCTTCTATTCCATATACGTCCGGGGACATACATGGCGCCTCGTACTTACATCGAATTTCCTGGCCTGCGCCATCTCCCTTTTGAGTGATAAAGGTACAGAAATAAGGGATGTGGTAATGGCAAGAGTCTTGCTCAATATGGCACAGTCCGCTTGCCACCAACAACTTCTCAAGGCCCCGGTGACTATTACGGCATGAGTTTCGACTCAGCCGAACATCAACACTTTATAGGCATCTCCTGAAACACTGCCAGTCTGATCTAGACGTCATTATATTGGAAAAGACTCGGTCAAGGATGGCATCAACAAATCGAGTAAAGAAAATAGTCCATTTATCTTGACAGCAGAATAATTACTTTGTGCGTGTGCAAGCCAAGTCCTCGGTCGCGAAAATCTCGGAACTCAAGTGCTGTTAGGACAGAAGCATAGCAGAAAAAATCAGGTACCTGTCTGTCCCAAGGACGGTCAAAAGAATATCTCATATGGTCTCTCGTGCCTGACGACACTAGCATGATTGTCCCATTCAATGAGTAGCGCTTCCTCGTTGCGGAACGGGAGCGCCGGGTCGCAGACTACTCAAGTACCTAGATGCCTACCTAAGTACTTAAGTGGGTACTGAATCATGTTGTAACCACGGGCCAAGCAGGAGTAATTTGCTCAATCGCTTGCGGCGCGCTCCGGCCCAGCCCGACGAGAAACAAAAAAGGGTTCCCAGGCTGACAGATGCCAGTTCTCGTTCGGGCACAAGGCAATGCCGTTACCACGATGGGATTAGTGTCACGAGAAAAAGAGCGGTAAGGAGTGTAAGGTTCACGCAATCTTTTAGAAGCCTTTCTGGAAGATAATGACCTGAACCAGAGGATTCTGAGGATTGACCACGTAATTACTGATCCCGGCGAACATTGTCTGGAAAGACTCGAGACAGGGCCAACAACTAGATTCTTATCCCAGCACGATGGGGCATTACCCTGGCGCGTATTTGAAGGCTTCGCCGTCCTATGAACTGTAAATTCACCGCGCGGTCCGCCGGCGCGAGCTAACCGGAAACGCTGCTGAGTACTCATCCTTCAGGGTTCAGGTGAGGTGATATGCCACAACCGTTCATGTGGGTTTCGAGCTTGTATTCGACCTGAGTACGATCCAAAGATCTAGAAACCTACTTCTAGAAGAGATCTAGACTACATGACGCATTAGTTTATTCACTCGACGGGCCTTGAAGCGACCCGCCATCCCGAGGTCTCTGCAGAAGCGACCAGATAAAGTTCTGACTAAGAGCCTAGCAGAGCTTAATGCTACGTATCGAATTTCAAATTACGGTCCTGCCCAAAACCCATGGCAGTCAAAGCGGCTTTGTTGTGTAACGACCAAGCTGATAACATTCCCAACAGACCGGACTCGCACCCGTCTGGCCCGTTAATTTGGGCGGAAACTAAATCTGTATGGGTAAACCCAATAACAGCCCTAGAAGGTTTTGGCAACATTGAAAGCTTAGTGGGTATGCGACGACATCCCAGGTCATGTTGACCCAAGCCTTGTTAATCTCGCCGACTGTCTTGGCCCTCCGGATTATGCCGAGTACGGGACGAGTAGAACATTTTGAAACTCCCCACGAGCTCAACCGAAACAGATGATCGATCACAACCTGACATCTTCTCTTCATTATGCTCACAATTGACCCCATATAACCAAGCCGTATTATGAGTCATCAGCAAGGCCACCCACGGACCCGACTCGGGGCTCTTGCGGTCAGGTAATCCATTCCCTGACATCCTTGGCAGGGTCTCGGCCCCTCAAACGACACTGCTACTCAGCTAACCCAACCTGTCTGGAGACCCACTCCTCGCGTGGAAGGACACTACGAGAACTTTAGCGGCCCCTCTTTGCACAACTAGATGAATAAGTCATCCTTGGAAGACACATTCAACGAGCCAAATAGATAGAACCTCCAAGGCAGTACCCAGAATCGGCGACGTACTAGTAGCCCTAGGCTCTAAGTAGGACTTCAGGATCTGTGCTTCCGTTCTTCAGCTGCACATAAGGTCGACAACTTTAGGCCCAATGCACTGACATCTACTATAGACCTTGAATCCGGTCCGCGTACTCCTCCGCGTAAGGCCTTGGGGCATGACAGGGAGCATCTTTACCTTTCTGTTTTTTTGGGACCAAAGACTGATCAAACACGCTGGGACAGATTAATGAGCTATAGGTGAGTGGTTTCACGACCCGAGAGTGGATGAATCGTCGCCGTCTCAGTCGACTCATACGGGCAGAACGGCTCTGATCGCGAGTCGTAATTCCACCGTTGTCCTCTTACACTTGAACATAGTCTCCAAAAGTACACCGCTGAGGCCGGACTAAGTCGCTCGCTTCAAACCCGGTATCCACATTCCGTTCGCCGCGCATTCCGAGCCGTAGCTGCCGTTACATAGTAGAGTAAGGCTAGCAGACTATATGATGCCCCACAATAATCTAACAACGCGCCGAGAATCCCCCTAAGGCTAGGCTAGGAACTGGATATCTATTCACCAAGAAAACGGGGCGCCTACGCCGGCTCCGCCGATCCTCAGAAAGAGCTTAAAAAATGGATCCTAGTATCCATCATATGTCTCCATAGCCGTGTACACTATGTTGTTTTGGAAGTAGGTCGTCAAGGGTTTGATATCAGCCCTTGACATCCCACCAGAACCTATATGTACACACTAGCACCTGGGAGACTGCGAGGACATTAAATTCGCTCTCTATACTGAATAGGTCTTGTTTAGGATCTACTAGTACGCGAGCAGTACGCGTCGATGGATGGTAGATACCGAACCTTGGAAGCCTTTGCCATCATCGTCGGCCTTGCCTCAATTGGTTAAATTCCGAGATCGCCAAGTTCCAAGGTTGTTGCCAATGGATGCCTCTTACAACGGTGACGCCGTCCAACACGAGGTGCCATCCTCTTGAAACATCCTAATGCATGTTCTCTTGTGTTCATGTTCGGGGTTCAACAATCCCCGAATATCGACCAGAGTTCGGAGGGCGAGGTTTCTTGCTGGGGAGAATCATCTCTATATAAGGGGGCTCTTCACGACCATAATCGGGAAGAGTAGCTCATACTCAATCAAGCTCACCAAGATACACACCAAACTCACCGAGACACATACCCAAGTTTCTTAATCATCACATCATGCCTTTCGTCCTCTCAAAAGCTGCCAGGCATCTGGCCACTCCCCTTGGGCGACCACTGGCCACTAGGGCCATGGCCACAGTCCACAATACCCACATCCGTGACGCCGGAGCCACCATGCCCCCTGGTCACAAGGCCACAGTGGGGAGCCTAGAGACGTTCGACCTCCCGGACCGTGTCACCGGATCGCCCGGTGACAAGGCGATGGGGCAAGCAATTATCAAGGCTTGGAAACGCGACGGCATCTTCCAGATCGCTATGAATAGCAATCAACGGGAGATCTACAAGTACGCAGAGAACGCCAGCAAAAAGTTCTTCGCAAAGCCCCACAATGAGAAAGCCGCCTGCGTTGACTCACAAAGCTATGCTGGATACATTGCTTCGGGTGAGGAGATAACAGACGGCATTGCGGACTACTCAGAGATATTCACCGTCACAAAAGATCTTGACTTGGCGGAGCATAGGGTGGCTAAGAAGTGGCCGTGCCATGGGCCATGCCCTTGGCCGGACGCGGAAATGCGGGATCCCATGAAGTCTTACATGAACTACCTCGGCGACTCTGGTGAGAAGCTCCTGGCTTTGACCGAGCTCGGCCTGGGTGTTCCCAAGGGCTCTTTGCTGCAGTACACACAGGACGGTTGGCACCACATGAGGGTCCTACGGTAAGCTCTCAAATAACTCTCAATCATTCGGTGAACAGTGACTAACTCAACCACAGGTTCCCTCCCACAAACAAGACGAACGGAAAGGGAAAAGCAGGCCGTGGTATCGGAAGTCACACCGACTACGGTCTGCTGGTCATTGCTGCTCAAGATGATGTCGGAGGACTCTTCATCCGTCCCCCTTACCAAGGCGAGAATTATGCGAACTGGGAGAAGAGCGCCGCGGGAATGAAGGAAGATGACGAGGGCTGGGTTTACGTACCTCCCGTCGCTGATACTTTCACAGTATTCCCAGGTAAGCAACATCAGACTGGCAAGATACAAGTACACGAAGTTGACCATCGACTAACATCTGCCAGGTGACATGATGCAGTACATGACCGACTCCTTCCTGCCATCAACCCCTCACAAAGTCGGACTTAATACAAGGGACCGCTTCGCTTTCGCTTATTTCCATGAGCCAAGCTTCCAGGCTGTCGTAAAGCCCCTGGAGGGATACAACAATGGCCAGAAGCCTCAAGAAGGCATCCACTACGGAACACACTTCACCAACATGTTCATGCGGAACTACCCAGACCGCATCACCACTCAGAGACTTCTCGCTGAGGATCGCTACAAGCTTCTTGCACAACCTGAGCTTCGGACCATGACAAGCCAGGCACTGGGCCAACAAGCGGCGATGAGCGCAGCTAAAGGATCGGCTGCCTTCAAATATTCCTAAGTGACATCGGATTAGGGTTTTCAAGGGGTTTCAGGAGTTCACCTTATTTATTTCTCTCGTTGTGCAAATGTGCAAATAGGATAGTTACTGAAAATGACAACGCCGACAATACTTCTGTCCGTTCATCACAAGTGCCAGATGATATCAGCTGATGTATGACAGATGGCTTGGCTGCGTCACCGGTCGCCGTCGGTTTCGACAGATCGACAGTCGCGGTGCAAGGATACCCGTGAGGTCACAAATTTTCAGAATTAACATTGTACTAGTAGTCGCTAGCCGGAAGCTATGGGTGTGTGGGCTTTAAGGAGTGATAGACTAACGGCGGGGTGTGAAGAGGCTGGAGGTGGAGAGGGAGTCTCTCCAACTGGTTTGGTGTGAGCTTTTCTCCGCCACAACACTATTATGCTAGCAATCTACAATTGTTTACTACTAGTAGGTGATATATATAACTCTAGCACTAAATATTATAAAAGTAGCTATTATTATAAGGACCTTCTTTCCTTTTTCTATTTATTTTATTTTAATAAATTAACTTTTTATTTAAAAATATATTTTATTTAATTATTTTTATATTAAAAGTTAAAATTATATATTAAAATAATATTACTTTTATAATAAATTTAAATAAATATAAAAAATAAATAATTTTAAAATTATTATTATTAAAAAATTAAACTTATTAATTAATAAATAAAGAATATTATTTTTTCTTATTTTTCTTTTTTAATTTTATAATTATATAAAAGTACTATATATACTTAATATATATTAAGACTAGAAATAAAACTACCTAAAAGATAGACCTAAGTAGAAATACTATACCACTGTCCTTGTATAAATATTTGCATTGCTGGCATGGGCTTAGGGCACACCTAGTATTTTCCAACCATCGCGGAAGGTACTTAAGTAAGGAGGATCGGTACTCAATGCTTGAATCAAGGCGTTGGCTTCGTGTACCATTCTAACCCCTGCATGCAAATGATTGTGTGAATTGACTCCCCATCACCTGGGAATGCAGTCATGGTTATTTAGCGTAGATTAGGTACCTAGGTAACTTCCGTAAGCCACCCGGAAGTCAGGATTCTACATGTTGCTTGTCATCGGTCATCTTCACTTCGTTTCTGTCCAATAGAGATACTCTCGCTGACCATTGCGCAACTTCTGCTCTCTGGGGCTGAATTGACTGAAACGTTCGACCGTTGAAGGTACGCGCCCAAATGCCCAACTTCTGAAAAACCTTCCGGGATATAATCTCCCTGGCACGACCTCGGGAGGCTTTCTGGGTGAGCATCCCCTCCCAAGCTGCCCAATGCCTTTGCTGGCCATGGTCCTAGAATGGACAAGTCTCCCACCAGAGTCGTCCAACCAGTCCCAGGGTACCTTGGCATATCCCAAGGTTTGTCCTGATGGCTGGGTGCCCAGATGGCGCAGGCTCCTTCAGGGATTGGTTACGTCAACTACCCAGGTAGCAAGCACCACAAGCTATCTAGCAACCAGGTTCGCTTCAGCCATGTCTATAAGCTGCCTTTTTATGGATAATTTTACCAATGAAGCTGCTTAGCCTTTTGAAGGGCCTTTGAAGAAGTCTCAGGGTTGGGTCGACAGTCTCTCGACACCTCGTTGAAACGAGGTTATGACTTGCCCTCAGCGTCTGAGCCGGACGTCCAGAGTATAGGGATGATATCACACATACAACCATAACCTACCAGAAGAAGCGACTCTCAAGATTTACCGGGAAAGGCTGAGACCACCAATTGGGCTGACGCAAGGCCAATACATTTGATTCTCTCAACATCTTTGATTAACTATGAGCAGTACGGTTCTGACCAAGTCCGACATTCGATACTGTTGTGCCCAGCAATGAAGTCCACACAAAACACGCGGGTGAGTCAGCCAGAGGGAAAATGGATGCACCCACGTCCCAAAGGCGTAGGTTTCTGATACTTATTGGCAGACCAAGCTAGGGTTTCCAACTGGGTGTGCCACGACGTAGACCCTCGGGTCTACCACAGCCTTGCACCCATTGAATTCAACCACTCCTCTGTCTCATCAACACCCAAGGCAGCGGTCATCATCATCTTGCCAAATGCCTCCACTTCGCCTGGCTCAGCATTCATCATGATGCTCCGGATCATACCCCTACGGACAACGTGATGCTTCCTATCGTGCCAGGCAGCCGCGAAGTCGAGCGGGTCCCGCGCTTCCCATAGATGCGCTGACAATGTCCAGCACTGCTTCTTAAGATCCGCATCGCCGCAGCGGCGGACAAGCGGCTGCCCTGTAAGCATCTTCCAGACATGCACGAAGAATGACGCGACGAGGAACGTGCGCCGTGCAGACTCTTGGTACACCCACGACTTCCAGAACTGCCGCGAGGGCTGGGCCGCCCGGGAAGACCCGCCGGTATCGCCCGTGATCATGGCCTGACCAGTTCCCGGTCCGCTCGCCACATCCCATGAAACGTGGTCGTGAAGGGTATGGATTGCGGACTCCAGCTCGTCGAAGGTTGCGTCGGCTGATGATCGGGCCAAAACATCACCGTCGAAGAATCGGATGGATTGATACAGGAGCAGGGCTTGTGTGCGTGCCAGGGCATCCAGGGGTACTGGTTTTGATGTGAAGTTCAAAAGGTCGTCCACTTTGGTTTCTATGCAGCGCATAATGATGCGAGAGTTGACTGTATTCTTCGATGCGTACAAGGCGCTTGCGGAGATGGCTTCTGAACGTATTATCAGCCAAACCAGATGTGGAAAAGTACTGGTAGCTCTGTGAGACGAACAAAAAAAAGAAAAAGCTTCCAGTCCTTATTGGGACTTCGCATGTCTAGGTGACAGTGGACTCTAGTGGCACAGATTGTTCCTTACCTTGCATCTCTCGAGGCATATGGTCCCTGTATAGCCACGGATGACACCACGGTGCCTGGTTCTCCAAAAGCATAGTCGAAGGCGCTGTCTTTATCCTATCCAGAGCGTACGAAAAGTTTGTGTCCAGAGCGGCGTGCAGACCTGCCAGACCTTGCCGTCTCTGGACAGTAGAGACCTCAAGTGGTGGCCTCAATGCAACATCCTTTCCCAGCAGCGAATCATCAGCGAAGTCGAACAAAAGATCTGGGTCCAAATCTACATGTGCAAAGATGTCGAGATCGTCGAGAGCCAGCCCCGAGCTCGCGCCATCGGCAGCCTGGTAGCACTGGTCGATAGCCCCTGCTGGAGCTTCAGGCAGCTCTAGCTGCTGTAAACATGGTGGTTCCCGAGAAGTCCGTAGATCCGTGAGTGTCTCGTCTGCAACAGAACCATCTGGCTGGATGCCCGTCAGGGTCGGAGGCGATGGATCAGTTGGGGCGACGTGGGACCGCGCTGGCCGGGAGGAGTAAAGGCAGGCAGTCTTGCTCTGAAAGCATCGCGTGCAAATCGGGTGCCTCTGGTCGCATCTCCGCTTCGCTTTCACGCACGCATGGCAGGATTTGCGCCGTGGCGGCGGGTCCTCGCGCTGCAATCTCAACCGGGCTGGGCGCATGTTCAGGGACGTCGTCGAGTTAAGCTCAAGATCGCGGCTGGAGGCGCAGCGCCGTGGGGAAATTGTGGAGGCTTCCTGTGTCAGGCAGGCTAGTCTTATTAGTGGACGAGCATGTGCCCCTTCCCCCCTCTCGGCTAAAATCCAAGGTTGCATGCGATTGAATTAATTGAGAACAATCCACCGCAATTAAATCTCTCTCGATGTCGTACCGCCTTTTCAAGAGGCATCGTGTATTCTTACGATTCTAGAGCTTGACAGGATAGCTGGTCTATCTCACACAGCACAGCTCCATGAAGCTGCCTGGTAGGCGCATGGCGAGCCCAATCCAGACCTGACAAGCTTTGACCATTTTCTTACGGTCAGATCGAAGGCAGGTCCCGGGGTCGTCACAGGCACCTCAACGAAGCAAACAATAATAAGTCACGTCAACACGCTCTCGTAGAAGTAATTCTATGGCATGTGCTGCCACCCAAAACTTCTTGGCAATCGTCAGTGGACGTCGCACTATCAGGAGCACTCCTTTACGGGTCAATAACCCACGATGGCTTTCTCCTGATACCTGTTTGCTGCTCAGGCGCACCGTTAAATGCGTATCCACCGGATCCACATTGCTACACCGCTTGTGCATACTCACTGCCCACTGCTGGGACCCATTCAGTTTCGTCCGCCGCCCCGCCGCCCGCCTCGACCCAGGCTGCTGAAGCCCCCTCGTCCTCGTGAGCTATTACTACTTCGTGCTTGAAACTCCGGGGGGCGCCAGCCTCTGCTACCAGGAGGTGGGCCTGGCGGTAGCGGTGGCTGTTGCTGCTTCTGCTGGGGGTTCTTGCCGTTCTTCTTATTGTTCTTGCCCTTCTTAGAAGCCTGCTGGGGAGGGGCAGGGGCTGCGGTCTGGGGTTTGGGAGGTAAAGAAGCTGGCCCATTCGCCGCACGCTGCTTTCGCCGCTTGCCCGCTTGTGAAGAGTCCTGCTGGGCAGCACCGCCATTCTGAGCCGAAGGGCCGGCCGGGGCCCCAAAGTTGATGTTCGACGTTATCTGAATCTGACCTTGGCGTCGGGGCCCAGAAGCCGGTGCCCTGAGAAACCCTTGGCCAGAGGCATCCTCGTCGCCGCTGTCTTCGAATATGATGTGGGACTGTGGCTTGATGCTCCGACCCGGAATGACAGGGGCTGAGTCTGCCTGGGGTCCTGGTAGGGGGTTCCTGAACGCGATAGCTTCCTCCAAGCTCGCGGGATCGATATACAGAGACGCTCCTGCGTTGCTCCACGTCGCGCTAGGCGGCAATTTGCGATCGGCAAGGCCGCAGTCCGTGCCAAAGTGGCCCTCCGCCCCGCAACAGTAGCAGAAAATAGGGACTGACCTGACCTGCTTAATATGGCCTATGTTTGGTCGATATGTTTCCCAAATCTCGGGGCATTGCTCCTCCTGATGGTCTTGGGCCTGGCAAAAAGCACATTCCATGAAGCCTTCACCTGCAGCCACTGCAAGTTTCTCTTTGCAAGAAGCTTTTGCATGGCCAAGCTGCTTGCACTTTGTGCATCTCTGGCGAGACGGACACGAGTAGGAGAAATGGTCTTGTTGGCAAAATTTGCAGGTTGCTTCTGGGCAGCCCGATGTGTTGTGGCCGTAAGAGGCGCAAGTGAGACAGAACACAGCATCATCTGTAACACCTGGAAAATAACGGTGGCGCTGCTCGAGCTCGTCTTCTGTTGGAGCGACTGTCTTGCTTTCGGCCTTCGTTCGATCCGAAAACATGTTGTTGGACCTCTGGTCCTTGCCAGGTTCGTCTTGGCCCTCGTCCTGGCCCTCATACATTGGGACAACATCATCCTCTGTGGCAGAGGGTGGCTGCTTCTCGGCAGTCAGGTCAGACAGCGGAGGCACAGAACTGTCAGGAATGGAAGGCCCGGAAGACGCTGCCGAGGGCTTCCGGTCAGAAGAGTCGGCCGATCTGCCCGTGTCACTGTCTGGTGTCGACTCGGCCTTCTTAGAAGAGGCTCTCGTTTGTCTCTTAGGCGGCTGCTTCGGCTCCTCCGGTGGTTGGTTTTCTTGCCCGGTCTCTACCTTGGTCTGCTCCGTGGTCTGGTTTTTCCTGCGTGTTCCTTCGCTCGGTGACTCTTTCCATCCTTTGGCAACCCTTTTCAGCAGGCTGCGTTTGGAGGTACGATGCAAATGCGCCTGAGAGACTTTGACCAGAGTCTGATTGACGCCAGGCAGCGAATTCAGTGTTTGGAGGTACATCTTGGTCAAAAACTTGTGACCAAGGCCGACCGCTTCGACATTAGCCTGATTTGTAGACATGAAATCTGTAGACCTATTTGTTTTGTTAATCACGTCCTATCAAAAGGGCACTGGGTGAACGGACCACTGAGAAAACATGGATCTGAAGATGTCATCCCAGGTTTCGCCTTGGAAGTCGGCCTTGAACGGAGGCAATTCCCACGTTCTTTCGTGTTCCTTGACTGCAGGGAGGACGGACGCCTCACCCGCTTTGACGGTGGCGACTAGTTCGTTGCAGACCTCTGGGGCCAATTGACCCGGGGGAGGAGGATGCTCGTCAGGAGCAGCTGTGGGTTTGGGTGAAGGTTTCGCAGCATTCGACTTGGAGGACCTGGATGAGGATCCAAAAGAGGTGCGGAGCTGTGTGGTGATGCCGCTGTTCCATGTCCGGCCTGGCTTCTTGGACGAGGCGCTTGCCTTTGACTCTGAATCAGAATCAACCTGTCCCTCGTCAACGCCATCTGATGTCTCCGCCTCTGCCTGGTCGTTCCTGGGCTTCTTGCGAGGAGAGGCGGCGGCGTTGTCCTCGGCTCGCCGTTTGTGGGTTGTGTCATCAGCGCGGTCCAAGGATGCGGCGGCGACAGCTGGCGTGGTTTCAACGTCAGCTGCCGCGACGGCAGCACCGTCTGCGGTTTGGTCTGCCATGATCCACAATGGTAGATTTTCAGATGGGCTGGAGGCAAGACGTCATGTGCCAATGGACCATGATCCGCGGCTTCGTGTGCTGCAGGGTACCCGAGGGCCTAGACGGGCGCCAGAAGCGCGTCCTGGTGGTTGCCGGTGAGCTCGAGTGAGTGTCCAGTGAGTATAGGCTTGGCCTCTGGCTGGCCTGGCCTCTGGCTGGCTTGGCAGATGGGGATGACAAGAGTGAGTGAGGTATGGGCTGACGTCGAAAGGTGACTTGAGCTCAAAGTGGCTCGGGCGTGCAAGGGTGTGGCGATACTGCCCTGACAGTAAGGCGATGAGATAGGATGCGTACGACCTGGCCGTAAAGTCACCCCAAGTTTTTGGATACGTGGGCTTTGGCGAGTCGCGTTCCCCGGCCAGTGGCCCTTCCAGAGAGACGAGGGCTCGAGTGAGTCTTGGCTGGTTGGTCTGATGCATTCATTGACTGTGTTGCCAGCCTGGACCGCCGATTCTCTGAGATGGCAGGGCAGCTGGCAGCAGGTCAAAATTCTGTGTGGTGTGTGCCTGCCGAGACCCGTTTTCGTTTCCCTTGCCTTGCTGCCCGCAACTCCCCTATAGCCCACCCCGTAAAGTCAGCGGCCGAGCTCCAGCTCCTGGCCAGCCGTGGCGGCAGGGTTATTAGTGGGTGGGTTCGAAGCTACCTGCGGGCCTACCACTTGAGAGGGCTCACTAAAAGTACCGTCAAACCTGCAGCGTAACATTGATGGAAAACCGGCTCCGCAAAAAAAGGAGGCGACAACCACCGTGTCGGGCCTCGCACTGCCCAGTGCTGGCCCCGTCATTTGGCAGACTGGGGCGAGCCTGATTTGGACTGGCCCGGACTGGGACCAGATTGCCCAGGCCGACCGACCGACCGACCGAACAAGCACAACACAGCACAGCATAACCTGGGCAGGACAGGTCTAGACAGCCGACAGGTCTAGCAGGGACCCTTTTCTTTTTGTCCTGCATTCTCAGAGGCCGGACATATCTATCGTCAATTCAATCCTCCCGCCTCACCCATTTCCACTCCCACCGCCGGCTTGCCTTGTCTTCTCTTGTCACTTCGGGACAGATTGTCGAGCCAGTCGAGCCAGTCGAGCCAGTCGAGCCACGACGGACCGGTACATACATACAACATACATTCACCACCACCACCACCACCACCACAGCAAACTATCCGCCGCCGCCGCTACTGCTTGTCGTCGTCACTGCGGCTGCGTTCTTAATTTCTCTTCTCGTCCATCGCTATTGTGTAGGTCCTGCTCCTCCTCCTCCTCTCCCCGCCCTTCCTTGTGCCTGCTGTCCCTGCTCTGCCACACCTTGGTCTGGTGCCACCGGGCGTCTCGGCCACGATTCATCGACGGGACATCTGCATCTTTTTGGCTGCGCTCCGTCACCTGGCTCCCACACGACACTCGCACCGACGCGCACAAGAGTGGCGCCCCCGGCAGCAGAGCAGCAGAGCAGCCAATAGGTCCCCGTCTAGCTGGACCTTGGTGCTCCCAGGAGAGGCTGTCTGCCTCAGCACTTCGAGACAGCACTTCGAGAGCTCAGCTCGGCTCGCTTGCCTCTGGAACACGACGGCAGTTGGCTGACCTTGGCTTGCTCCCAGTAGCCATCTTTCTTACATCGGTATCATTTCGCAATCCCGACAGTCAATTGGTACTCGTCTACCTTCGCCCGAAACCGCCCTCATCCGAAAGCTCCACACAAAGACGACCACCTTGACCCGTCCGGCAGCCACTGCCCTCTCCGCCCGCCGCCGCGAACACGTACCCGACCCGTTGGACCTCCGCCTTCTGCCACAAGTCCTCGCTCTTTCCGAAGTGCCCGTCCGACCTCTTGGCCGGACAACCCAGCCATCTCCCACAATTCCCGACAACACCGGCAAGCTGTCTTCCCCAATCCTCCTGCAGCGGACCGTCTCCTACGACACGGGGACCAATCCTCCGCGTCGGGGGAGTGTGTACAAGATGGCGGAAACAAACACGGCCCGTAGGAGACGGTCTAGCAGCATCCTCCAAGTCTACCACGAGCCCCCTGAGACCGTCGAGCAGCTCAGCGACCGCGCGGCTCTCCCGAATGGAAACGCCAATTGGGTCAACGCCAAAGGTAAGTAAGTGGCTGCTGTGCCGATGGTACAAGACAGCGGGGGGCCCTGAGCTCGGTGGCTCTTGAGGCTGACATCTGCTTGCTATTCACTTCCCAACAGGAGCATGGACCATTCACCTCATCCTCATCATGTGCCTCAAGATCTTCTACGACATCATGCCGGGCGTGTCGCAGGAAACATCCTGGACGCTGACCAACATCTCGTACATGGCTGGATCATACCTCATGTTCCATTACGTCCGAGGAGTGCCTTTCGAGTTCAACGCCGGGGCATACGACAACCTGAACATGTGGGAACAAATTGACGACGGAGCCCAATACACACCCGCCAAAAAGTTCTTGCTCAGCGTGCCCATCGTGTTGTTCCTCCTCAGCACGCACTACACGCATTATGATTTGGCATACTTCACGATCAACTTCCTCGCAGTCCTCGCGGTCGTGATTCCGAAGTTACCATTTGTATGCCACCCCCCCCCCCCGGGGTTCTTACCCCAGCCTCTCCCTCTCCGAGCCAAATCTGTAGCTCGCATGTTTCTTGTGGTTGTTGAAGCTGACACGCTCCACCCAGAGTCACCGCATGCGATTTGGGCTGTTTTCAGGTGTGCCCGAGGAAGCATAGGGCTTTTCTGTCAAGGAATTCAGGCGTTCGGCTTTGCAGCACTTGCAGATTGGAGTTTGGTGGAGTTGCGGTAGAGGGAAAACGTGGAGCGCGGGCCTATGAGGCCTCAAAAGTGACATACGCCGGACTTGCACAAAAGAACTGATGTTTACAGGAAACCGAGCATAAGTTGCAAGGCAAATGTTTTCGCAAAGGGGGCTGGCGTGCAGAAACGTATCGACAGCCACTTTGGAGGTATCAGGCTTCGAAGAACACAATATGGTTGGTTGTCGGGACATCTCCACGGGAAGTATCCCAGATGACTGTCCAGTCCCACCGTCCAAGTGTCTCCTAGAGTACTTCTTCTCAATCAATCCAACCACCCAGAAAGCCATCACATCAGAGGAGGCATCCATTTGACAATGATGTTCGCAGGCCTTTCCGCACCAAGTGGACTGAATGTATGACATAGAATACATTTGCAGCTGCTTGCCTGGGCGCTTGCCTTTGCGGGTGCCGTGTTCCTAACCAGGGTTTCGAAGGATATGGGAAGGAAAAGCGCCCACGAACACATCCGACGGCTTGCAGCAACTACCTAGGTATACAGGCATCCCACTACCTACCGAGTTGATTCCGAGTCAAGGGGTTTTCATTCGGGAAGCGCCATATGTGCGATTCTATTGTGGCCCTGTATGAAGTCTCCTCGATCATCCTAGTTGCCTGCCCTTTTGATGCTATTGATACTGCATTTGCATGCATGGCTCAAATGACGTTAGATGGGACGCGCATGAGCTTGGTGAGCTTGGCTCAGGCATTCCTTCTGGCTGGCTATAAATCTTAGAACAGAATGGCAGGAGCATCCCATAGGGAGGCGCCTTAAAAGTCAACAAAGATTTCAATACCCCAATCGTAGAAGCAGAATGTCTCTCTTCTTCATACATCGCTCGCTGATTATACCGCCCAGCTCGCCAGTTGCTATTATTGATTTTGATAACTCGGTACAGCTTATACACTCGCTTCCACTTGCAATTAATTGCTAGCCGACATGAAGTCGTATATCTTCCTCGTCGCTGCACTCGGCACTCCGGGTCAGGCAACATGGCCTCCGACCTTGACTGCCTCAAAATCCACGACACTGAATTATGCCGACTACAAGCCACCACTAGAGACTGTTACAATCCCCAGTTTTCCTTCGACACAGGCTTCTTCGTCTTCCCACCATCCCGGCGAATCACGTAGTCTCTCCAGTCTGCCAACGGAACCAAGTGTCTCTACAGGTCCACCGAGGCCGTTTACCTCGTCCCACATATCCACCGTGGCCTACTCTCAGGCATACAACTCTTCCTCACAGCCAACCTCTGTGGTAGCTCCGCTCGAAGCCAGCGTGGAGCCGGGTCCTACATCTTACGATCGTCCGCACCAAGTTCACGGGACTGCGCGGCAATATCCAACGGATACCACAAAAAAATACCGACATGAGACCACCGTGCTTCCAGGGTCAATCTGTTTACCGGGCTTCACATGTCAGCCAGATGACGACTACACTGAGAACAACCTTGCCAACGAGCAGTACCCGACAAAGTCACCGCGCGTCTGCCCAGAAGGGCACTCATGTCAGAAGGAGCTGCCGCCACCGCCTCCTGCCGCCCCGCCCCCGGTTCCCCAGTCACCACCATATACTCTGCTGAATCCGACTGTTCCACCGCCACTTCCGGCATTCTCGATCACTTTGGTGCGGCCGCCTCCGGCCCCGTCAGCGTCGTCTGCTATACCGGGCCCAGCTGTTGCTTCGCCTCCCTACCCCGATGGAAAGCATCCTTACCGCCATCGCCACGCAAATGAGACACCCTGGATACCAGCCACCGTTGTGACGGCTGAAACTGTGATCTCTTTGCCTGTTACCGCCATGCACGTGATGCTTGCCCCAATTGCAGGGCTAGTCATGGCACATGCACATGCATGAGTGCATGTATTCACAAGCTCGCTGTGCTTGGTGTAGAGGCATTCATTGGCTTGTAAATGCCTGTAGGGAACTGTCAGCATACATCTCGGTGTTCCAAGGTTGGCAAAGTCAAAAGCGATCACTGGATTAGTTGAAAGTCTTGGAAAGATTATAATAACAAGTAGCGATTTAATGGACGGAAAGGCAAGTTTTCGCCACCCGTATTTCACTTACAGCCGTTGCCCATACCGTATTCATCCAACTTCGCTCGTACCCTACACTTTGTCCCAGCCGTCTGAAGCCCCTACTTAGCCACATCCTACCCCTTGATAAAGACTCGACACAGCTTCATTCTAGGAACAAGAACCTCAGACAACCCAGGCCAACAAACTTTCTCCCTGAATGAGATGAATATCACAGGTCTAAGGCAAAAGGTCAAATTGCAATAACCCAAGACCACCCTTTTCTATATTTGCTCAGCTTGCTCTACTACTATTGTAAGGAAGAAAAGTCATTAAGCAGTGGACAGCAACCTCATCATGGGAAAATGCACTTTGCACTGGGTCTCCTCAACCCTTTCCTACATTGCCAATTCTATTCACATCTTCATGGGAGCTTGTGTAATTTATCATGTAATCGTCTGTCGTGCATGAAAAGTTTTGAGAATATTGTGGCAGTACCCTTCCTCTTGCTATGACTGGTTGAGCTGACCTTATAGTTGTTTCTACGGAATGTATTGCACAGTGGTGTCGGTACTAAGCTGAGAGATGCCTCGCAATCCATGGATTACTATTGATTTCATGGAAGCCGTCTCGTAACGGCAAAGCTGGATTGGTACAATAGAAAAGATGATGAAAGTAGGACGAAGCAGATCCCTGCGGGCGGCCACTCAATACCAAGCAGGTTGTTGCTCTGATTGTCAACGGAACCCGAGTGGAGGGCCGGGTGGAGTGAGGAGGCCCGGCCAACGTTCCCAAGGGTTCACAGCGGTGCCCGGCCCCGCATACCGGTCCTCGGAGACAGGCTCGGCGCTTGAGGAGCACGCTGGATGCTATCCCACAGCCTCGGACATGCGAACTATATGGTGGGCTGTCGAGTGACGGTATACTATCTCTGGGCCAAGGACGTTCCGTGGAACCGTGGCTGGGAGGAGCTCCTTCAGACCCATAAACGCTCCCCACCCACCGAAAAAGAGCCAGGCCGTGGATGTCTTTTCAACCCTGGATGCCTAAAATCTTTCAATAGGCTATTGATGAACAAGACTTCCATGCATGGACTCAAGACGCTTCTTTTGTGACCTGGATTTGTTGCTTTTGCGGGCCGCAATTGGAACCGAGTCTTAGGCCACCTTGGTGTCTTCACGACCTCGGATATCCGAGACACTTGATCAGCTGCCAAGTGATGATACTCCCGCTTTAAAGTATGAACGCTCTTAGGTAATCTGCTGGGATATTGTGTTTGACTCTGCATTTCTCCTCTCTGAAAAGGGTAAGGTAAGGAGAGCTTGGAGCGAGTAATATTTAAGACGCCTTGCCACCACTTCCAAACTCTCATGCGCCGAGGACGATGCATAGCATCAGCTCTGTTTTCCACAATTTGGTTTTCACAATAGTCAGTGCGTAATTCAGAACAAGATGCAAGAAAACGCGGCAAAGCTCTACCCGACTCCGGAGACATCGGCCAAGGTGCTGAACTGTGAGTTCGCCGATTGGACGCACATGCGTGCTGGCGATCTCGTGTACCTGCCTCCCTAGAACCATCAAAACCTTTCGGCCTGATCTTCCTTGACGCGAACAAGGACGCGTACCCCAAGTATCTGGACCTGATCCTCTCCAAATCCCAGCCGGAAAGCCGGAATCGCCAGCTCAAGCCCGGCGGGATCATCGTGGCGGACAACGTGCTTGGGCAGGCCATCGTGGCCGATGTGACGGCGACAAACCCGCACTACGCAGAAGCCGTGGCACGCCTGGGCGAGAAGCGTGCCCGGGAGTTCAACAACGAGGCGCTGCACCAGTTCAACGACAAGCTCGTGGCCGAGCCGTGGCTTGAGGCGTTCCTGGTCCCGCTGTTTGAGGGGCTGGGCTTGAATAGGCGATTGACTGAGTCTGATGGGATCAGAGAGTGGGCTGGGCAAAGGCAAGGCAGGCAGGTAGGTCACTTACTTGAGAAGTGAGCTGGAGATTCAAAAGGCTCATGATGAGGGAGATTCACGGTTACTAATATGGTCACGGCTCAGAGTACGACTTTTGCATGTACATGAAACTACTTGATAGTCTCTGAATCCATGCTCCTTCAATACCAATACCTGTTGTTAGACCTGTTGTCTGACCTCCTTACCCGAGTTCACAATTTCTTGTCCTCGACACCTGGCGCCTCAGCATCATACTCCCACTCGTCAATAAATTCCTGCAAAGTCTTCCTGTTCTCGATGGAAGCTCTCTCTTTGCTGGCGTGAAGGCGAGGGCTTGCTGGTGAGGAATCCACCGGTGGCTGACCAATAAGGAAGTACGAAGGCTCGCCGTTATAAGAAAGCGAGCATGTGACGTTGCCTCCGGCTGACGCCTGCAGCGGAAAGGCAGCCTCGACCCTTATGAGAGCGGGTGGGGATGAGACTGTGCTGCCTGTATCTCGGCTAGGGGAGATGGGGACTATCCTGACGTGCCATTTCGGAGACGAGGGGTGGTTATGCTTTGCGGAATCCCCTTCCCTACTCCATTCATCGCTCTTCTGGGGCCGTTTTAGGGCCGTCTCCGAATTTTGGTGGGGTTTGAAAGTTCTGGGTTGAACAGGCAAGTCTATCGGAGACTCCTGGGCGGGCGTCATACGTCTCACCAGCCGCTCGGTACTCGAGGTCTGTGTAGCTTGCTGCGGCAAAGACTCGTATGTTCTCGAGGTTGCCTCTACTGGTGGCTCTCGACCATTGTGCACGATCATACTGGTATTCCTCTTTGAAAAGGATGGGCGTTGTAGCCTTTTGAGTGCGTTTTCATTGGTGGCAAGTTGAGCCGGCGAGGTCTGGCCTGCCAAGCTATGCTGGCCGTCTTCTGACAAAAGAAGACTGCTCCTATTGCTTGGTAGCCCTAGAAGGCAGGGAGTAGCAGAAGTGGCTGACGCATTGTCGAGAACACACAAGTCATCATCCGATGTCGTTCCTTTCTCCACGACGGCATCAAGACTGACTGCTACGGACACTGGAGAGAAAGGTTCCTGCACGGAGGATCCAGGACTCGGGCTCGGAGCCTGGCTTTCCTCGCTGTCATCCAAATTCAAGGCCTTCTTCCTGTCAAGTAGTCCACGGCGAATGTCTTGCCGATGTGGTCCAGAAGGGTGCGCTCCAATAGGGTCAGAATTGGTTCTCCTTCGCACGATAACGCATTCACCGGGTAGGGGACGCCCCCTGTCCTCAGCGATCTCACCGGCAAGTGTGAGTGTCTGTCGAAGAAGCTCCCCTAGGCGTTCGTATTTGTCGGAGGCTGCGTCTTCGTTGCCGAGGTATGCCGTGTTCATCGTGAAATCTTGTTGCAAGAATGGTGGATATTGTGTTCTAGGTGCGTAGGTGGTCTGATTTCGTTGAAGTCGAGCGCATGCATGCAATTGTCTGTCGAGCACCAGCGTTGGTGGCAATAATATGATGACGTCCCTCTTGAGCCCTCCCTCCCGGGGGAGGGGGCCCGAAGGAGAAGGTAGAATGACTGCCCATTGACGAAGGCACGTACCTTCCCTTGCTTGGTTGGAGTTGTCTGATCAAAATTAAATGACAGTCGGCCTGGGCCTTCCTCATACCTCGGAAGAGGAATGCCATGTTTGGTGGTTGGACATCACCTGCGCGCAGTCTCCCAATCACACGCGACGGCAATTTGACCAATATCATCTAGGGTGATATCCCACATGGGTTGAGACATCGAGACCTTACTGCCGGGTTTGACGGTGCTCGTTCCTCGGAGTTCAGTCACGCGGCCATCGCCAGCAAGTATCACTTTTGTGGCGATGTTCTCATCACCAGATCCAGAATCGAGTCGCCGAGCGGCAATGACGTGCAAACTGGGGGCGGACATGGCTTCATCAACGACCATGTCAATACTCGACCCGGCTGGCCTGTCATACTCAGAGGATCCCTTGATCTGAACCAACCAGTCACGCACTTCGGCGGCGAGGCCACCGGCGACATACTTGGCACCGCGGCGCTGGGGGGAAAAGGCCTCGGGCAGCGGTCGCTGGTGGACTTCTGCGGCAATTTCGGCTGTCTTGAAACGAGGTGCATTCTGAAATGTTGGATGCCGAGGAATTTGCTCGTCTGGGGCCTGGGGCGACTGCGGCTGAGAATTGGCGGCGGGCCCCTCGAGATCGAAAGAGGACTCAACAGCAATCCTGTCATCCAAAGTGGGCGAGCTCGCGACCTGTACTTGCTCGTCATCCTCCATAAGTACATCTTGTTTTCCGTCTTCAGGGCTAGGATCTATCTCTGGGGACACGGAGACTCGACGACGCTTCGCTGGCCTGGTTGTCCGGAAGTGACGCGGCGGCAACCGAGAGGCCAAGGGCGAGTCGGTCTCGACAGACTCATCTAGACGGGTGGGGTCCTCGTCACCATCTTGGGGATCATGTGGGGAGATTGGCGAGGTGTCGATCACGTCGCTCAATGGCTTATACTGTGTTGCCCGTGGCCGAGCCGAAGGCGTTGCCGGGGTTGAGAAAGGAGGTGGCTGTTGCTGTGAGACTGGCCTGGGAGTCCCGGAAGTATTGAAACGAGGGGTCGAGGCGTACAAGCGAGGGCCATTGTGCAGAGATAAAGGCACTTGCCCTGCCGTCTGAGAATGCTGACCCGTCTTGGGGGGCAGGAAGCGTGGCTGGGCTGGTGTCTGGATGTGAGTTAGTCCATTGTCCATTGCTCCGTGGTCCCTCATGCCCAGGTGTGGGCCAGACTCACCGGTGGTGGTGCCATGTTTCCAGGATATTTTCTAAGTTGTAGCTGTTTGTTCCCTCAGGCAATTTCAATGGTATCTGTTCAACCCTGAAATGTTGTGAGATCCAACCTGGGGTTCTTGAAGAGTCCACCAAATGTGACGATTGACGCCTGGGACAGGGCTGCCGATTGGGCTCGCTCGATTGCCTGCCTGCCTGTCAAACAACAAAAGATGCAGTGGGTGTTGCCTTTGCACGACTTGCTGTTTCTTTCTCGGTTTCTCAGGGATGCTCAGGGACGCTCCATTGTCCAATTGTGGAAGGATTGACATCATCAACCACGTCAAACTTAAAACGAAGGAGCAGTTTGGCGGCTGTGGTCTTGTGGTCACTGTCATTCTTGTTTCTGATGGTCGTTATGCTTAAGTAATCAGCAGCCTCCCGAGGTCCGATGATGGCGCCCAAATCAGTCTCACACAGCAGGCCACACACATGAGAAACACAAAGAGCTCCCAAGAGCCCCCTGGGAGCTCTTGGACCTCAGGCTGGTTGTTTCCATCCAGTTGTTGGGTTTGATAAGGGTGGTCGAAGGCCTGTCGGCTACTGTTTCTGAATTACATTACTTTCTGCTACACAACACTGTCATATTGATTCTTCCTTCTTCCCTTCTTTCCTAAGCTGCAGGCCTAGAAGTCAATCTAGCCCAATTCCAGAGTGCACCAGCCCAGGTTATCTTCTCACGTCACAATGCACAGTTGTATGCTTTGTTTTAGGATCCTGCCAAGCTGCAGGTGGCTTTCACGTAGTCCTACACACTTCTCAAAACGACCATCTCCTACCCCTGCATGGATGAAAGAAAAAAACATTCGGTATCAGCCTCGAAAATTCACTGGGGGAAAAGGCAGGCAGAGACACAGTCTGCAAAACCTCTGCTGGGCCACACAACACTGTGCTGTCAGTACCAGCATCGCCACCTCAACGTCTCTGCTTCTTCGACTTCTTGCCGCCGCGTGACTCGTCTTCCTCAGCAGCGTTTTCACGGTCACGCTTCTTGGCCTTGCGCTCTAACTCATCCCAATCTTCACCCTCGTCCTCCTCGCTGGCATCCTCGTCGCTGGCTTCTGCGGACGCATTGGAGTCGAAGTCCGAGTCCTCTTCGCTGGATTCAGAAGCGTCCTCAAGCTCGCTCTCGCTGATCTCAAAGTTGCTCTCCTGCTCCTCTTCGTCATCGCCGTTTTCGTCGTCACTATCGTTTGCAAGGAACGACCAGCCACCGTCGGCGAAGAATTGGTGTGTGTCGGCAGTCACCGTCTTCATGATGGTGGGCCAGTTCAGGTTCAACGGACCCTCGGTAAATGCGATATCCGAGGAGTCGAGGAAGTCCTTCACATCCTCCAGCGACTCCACCGGAATTGTGTTGATGTGGTAGGGCGGTCTCGTGAAGTCCTTGAAAACAAAGACAAGGTCAAAGTTCTTCAGGCCGAATTGGACTCTCTCAAGATGTGCGACCTCGATGTCCTCCAGAGTGATAACCATGAAGGGTGGTTCTGTGAGCTGGATCAGGCATTCCGTGGTTGGCTGAATGTAGACATTGCTTCGGAATGGAACCCCGTGGAATCCAAGGTCCCTTATGGGCATGTCGACCTCAATACCCTCGTTTCGACCGGCTTCCGCAATCTTCTCAGCGAAGCCCTTGAATAGACGATCGAGCTCCGCACGTCGGCGGCGCTCCTCCTGTTCGGCCTCGAACTCGTCTTCATCGCCGTATCGGTACTTGCGCTTACGGTTGCCCGTCTCGTCGAACTGGATGTCAGTCGCTTCCCGGTAGAACTGGACATCCCTCGTCTTCTTCTTGTTGCCAACGATGATCGGGTCTTTGAGATAGATATGGATAATAACAATGAGCTCATGCTCGCAGGGCTGAAAGAACAGATGGCGGACGTTTGAGAAGAGAATGTCGACCCTCTGGTGAGGGTTCAGCGGGGACTGGTATCGAATACCGTTCTGGTGTATCTCGACCTTGCCAGGAACACGCTTGCCCTCCATTGCCGGTCGCAGGAAGACATTGTCCAAGACAGCCGGGCGACGGTCTGACGGGGGAAAATATTAGCACACATGCACGGTTGTTCTCTGGCTGTAAAGGTGGACCTACTCCTAATCTCGACGAGCTTGTCCTGCTCGACAACGTCTTCCATGTCTTTCTTTTCCTGTTCCTTTTTGGTCAGGTCTCGTTTCATGTTGGAGATCTGGTTCGCAATCTCGGTGTAGCGATCACCGTCCGTTGAGCGGAAAGTAAGACTGCGGACGAAATGAGCAGACGCGTCCTCGAAAGGCTGGTCATCTTTCCGGCCGACTCCCTGGCCTGGCGACAGAAAATTGATGCGGAGGAACGACCACTCGCCCTCGTCGCTCTTGCTCGCATTCTTGATTGTCTGGATATGGAATGGAACCGGACGGCCCATCACGGGGAGCACGACGGTCGAGTTCTTCTGGTCGACAACAATGCCCATGTCGCGGACCTTGTGTGGGAACTGGTTATCACGCTTGTAGGACTCGAAGCGCTTGAACTTCTTGGCCTCGCCGCCGTTCGGATCACTCGTGGATTCGGCAAAGCGAGCCATGCCCTCTTTTTGTTTCTTGGCTGCCAACTCCTTCTGGTGCTCCTTGCGCCTATTCTCGGCTTCCTCATCTTTGTCGTGGCCACGGCCCGACCGCAGACGAGAGCTAGTGATGTTCTTGGCCGCAACGGCGCCGACGCGCGAGTCTTTCTTCTCCTTCTTCGGTGCCGGCTGCTGTTCCTCATCGTCCTTGAAAAAGAACGACGTCGAGTCGGGGTCAGCGGCGGCCTCGCCGGTGAAATTAACGGTGCCCTCAGCCGTAACGCGGATCGTGTCTGTCACTATCAAGGAGTAGATTTTGCTGTTTTTATCTTGGGGCTGGGGATTCTCCAGGTCTTGGAAACCGGTAGAGACGCAGAGTGTCATCCCGTCCTTCAGAGCACGAGCATTCTTTCCATTCAAGACCAGGGTCGGATCCTTGTTCTCGAGGCCAATGCCATATCCGACGTTCTTGACAAAATGTTTCTCCAGCTCCGGCTTCTTGCTCCGGACGTAGCCGAGGGCCTTGTTGTAGACGTCTTTGGCCACGGCTCCGTCTCGGATCTCTTTGAGAATTAAGTTGTGGACCGCGAGAAGGAATTTGTAGTTTGACTCTTGCGTCTTGTTTGGGTCCACCATGTACGTTCGGGCAATGCTGGAGCAGTAGGACCTATATCTGAGGCCCATGCCGGCAACAATGACGCCTGGGTGGAGGTTTTCTTCGCTGGACTCGGCCTGCATCTTGAGATCGAATTTCCCCCCGCTGTAAACAACCGGGCCGATGGTCCAGTCTAGCTGGGTAGAGTCGAAGTCTGAGGCAAGCTTGCCGGAGGGCAGTTTGACAGCCTTCCAAAACTTCTCATCATCGAGTTTGCTGTCGACCTTGTCGGCCAGAACACGGTGTTTGACCTTCTTCTCCTGGTCGAGTATCGTTGACATCTCATCCAGGAAGTAAGAATGCATCAAGGCGACGCAAGCCTTGGACGAGTTCCTGACGGCACGGAGCTCGATCTCATCCTTGGTCGAGAAGGCTGCCGTTGACAGAGCAGAAGTGATGTCAACCTCTTCCACACCCTTGCAGTCCTCAGCGAATACCGCCTTCCAATCATCGACGAAGGGCCCTCGGGAGGCATCCTTAGAGATGACGCCGACTTTGTTCTGTGGAGCGACTGCTGTCAGTAGATGTGACGTGTGATTCCTGATGTGGAGTGACTTACGCCGGCCTTCTTGATGATTTCTGCAACCTTGGCGAAGAGCTTCTTGTTCTCTTCTGCGTCCTTGCCACGAACAAGGACCTCTACGGGAAACTTGTCGCCCTTGATCTGGTCGAGATATTTCGCTATTGTCTGTTGTCAGGTCTGATCCGTCTGCTAGTGCGTACAATCTGTGGTGGGGAAAGCGCACCTTTCTTCTGTGTGGTCAAGATATACAGCGTCTCGGGGGTGAAGAGCATCAGTGTGGTAGGGAACTCGTAGCCTAGCAGCCAGAACTGCAGAAAGGGCAAGGTTAGCTTGGCAAAGGTCTCAGACGTGGAGGTTGGGGAGGAGAGAGGGGACAGGACTTACGTGCATGGCATTGTTCTTTTGAAAGCCCTGGGCCTCTTCCATCTTGCCCATCATAATGATGATGGAGGAGGCGCCTCCAAAGAGGGCATCTCCAGATCGCTTGTCTGCCTTCCAGGCATTGACGAAGTGGGAGATGCGCTCTTGGAAGAGCTTGTTGTCAATCTTGATGGCCTCCGACATGATGACTGCGCGCGATTGCAGGTGCCTCCGCGATGATGCAGATGTCAGAAGTCAGAAGACGGATGGAGCAGCAGGTGGTGCTGCGATGAGGTTTGGAAAGGACCGTCGCGAGGAAAGATTGTGGCCGACGGGGACCAGGACGAGGTGAGACTTGCAGGAGGAGCTACCTGCCCGGTGCTTGCCTTAGCTTAGCGGCCACACGCTACTGCTGCCACTGTAAAGTGTTGTGGGTCCACAGGTCAGGTCGCGTCGCGTCACCACAGGCAATTGACTTGGCTGCTCCTCGCGGCTCAAGCACGCTGATGCCTCAGGCCACAATCTCACAGGGCAGCCGATAACCTTGGAAGTTGGGCACCTCGTAGAAAGGGAGCCCTTTCTCCTTCTGCGAGAAGAAGGTGTGTCTAGACAAACCAGTGTTAGGATTACAGAGGGATTTTTGTAGACTCAAACCAGGATTTCACAGGAGACAGGATTGATCAAGACACTACCGTGTAGCGACCAAGGTGAACGAGGTAAGGGTTGAAAGTTAAATAGGTCGAGGCAGTCGGCAGACACAGAGGCACAGTTGATGCGCGCCACTTGCTTGGTTGGGCAAGTACTTAGGTGACAGGCAGGCTCTGTAGCTTCCTTTGTGCTTGGGGGCACAGTGCTGGCAATGCTGCCAGCCAGAATCCAGCAACCCGCAAGATCATGGCAGAACTATGCCTCTCTGTACTACAATATCGAGGAATTCATCCAGCCTGGTGCATTGGCAATGCTGGGTGCCTAGGTACTTGAATGTCCAGTAAATAAACACTTGAAGCCGTGGTGGGAATTGGCCCGTCGTCTTAGTCGAAGCCAAGGGTTAGGGGATGGTGCTCAAGTCCGTCGTTCGTTTGAGCGAGGGACAATGACCAGCCGCCGACTCCGTCTGGGGACCAGGTCCAAGCATACATAGCACATGGTAGAAAAATACTTACCAAGCGGTTTTATTCTTGATCAATCACAACCAGCAGAGTGGCCTGCAGTCAGATGGAGTCACTACAAAATGGCAAGGGCGAGACTGCTTGTCCGATAAAGGCGTCTGGATTTCTAAGCAGCATTTTCCCAACTGCGGATGAAAATTGCTGCTGTATAAATAGGTAGTCTATCTACGCGCGATACGCACGATTTGTCGGCAGATGGGCCCACTATTGCAGGGTGGTTTGTTTGCACGTAAATGGTGCATCATCCGCGACTCACTCACTCGTCAAAGAAAGAGGCAAAACCCAGTCCAGCAAAGCCTACTTTTACAAGCGTGGCCTAGTAACCTAGGTACTTGAGTACTTGAGTAGTCTGGGCTTGCTTGACTGCGGTCCCGGCCGTCCTCCCGCGAGTCGGCGCTCCGTTTCCCGCTCCCGTACTGTGCCCATTCCGTGTCGACGGGTTTTTTCCTCTCCCACCTGCCTCCCTCTACAGTCCAGGCTAGTTAGACTGTTCCATACCCGGCTTCTCATTACGTGTACAGCTCACAGGGAGTGCGGCGTGGAGCATCGCTGCCCACCTCGCTTGGTCAATCATCACCCAGTCGCCGTCCAGGGATATTGCGCGACCTAAGCGCGGCACACCACCCCCGACGTTGATGCACTGCGGCAATAATAAGCCCCTTCTTGGTCTCCTTCGCTAGAGACACACGTCCTATACCTCAACCTGTTGATCTCTCTCGTCAGTCTCATGCCCGTTGCCCGTTGTGATCCAGTCCGGCGTGTTCTGACCCCGCCAACAGCCCGAAAAACTTCACCGGATCATGCAGTAAAGTCGCTCGGGCCAAATTCGGATATCATCGGTATCCAAGACGCCTGAAGCGCCCCGACAGAGTGCACTTGCCGCCTCGCCCATCACCAACGGTCGAATCTTGCGGCCAGTAACCACTCACTCATAATGGGGTTACTGTATGTCGATGCCCCAGCCCGTTCCAGGGTCCTGTCTCCGAATATCCTTGCTAATGACCTGTGTGAAGAGCCCTCGGCACGCCTCTGGATTGGCCAGAAGCTAAGCAACATGCCGATCAAGTCCGTGAATGGGGAATCAAGGTGAGGAGTGCTTTCCTGGCCATCGTTGTGCATCACATTAAGCATATCGCTGACCCTGGGACCAGCAACTCCTGGAGATATGGAACAAGGCCAAGGGGAAAGAGTCAGATGCTTTGCTTTGGGGTGACGAGGTACCATTTCCAAAAAAACACCGTCCAGAGTGCCATGTCGCTCGGAAAGTGGCCCCTCACTGACACCTGAGTTCCGTCCAGGTTGAATATCTCGTAGTGACACATTCGAAGGACGACCCTCGCGTCCTGCTATCCCTCAGGCAGGCAGATATCCTTGAGGCCTTGGCATCGGACACCAACCTCGCCGCCAAGGGTGGTTGCGTGCCAGCTCTTCAAGATGTAGCCGGAGCAAGGTTAGTCCAAACCCAGACGTGCGTTTCTACCGGTCAGCTAAACCACGCCCCAGTGCCAATGAACCCCTTCCTGTGTTCCACCCTGAATTTGGAAGATTTATGCTGGAAGCAACTCCTGGCAAGCCGTGGGGCATTGAATTCAGAGAACTCCTGAAGGTGGAACCAGACATGATCCTCAGGCGAGCCATCGCAAAGGACCACATGAAGCCAGAAGAGTTTCCCATAACTCTGACGACTTTCCCCAGGATAGGGAGCCCCGGCGTCTTTACTGACCCACACTACCCGGTCTCTGGGCCTAAGCTGCGCTCACAGTTCGTGCCTGACGAAATCGCGAACCCTCACATCCGTTTCCCAACCCTAGCTGCAAACATTCGCTGGCGGCGAGGCAGGAAGGTCCAGGTCAATGTTCCAGTCTTCAAAGACAAGAACACACCCTGGCCGTGGAAGGATCCCACAGTGAACTACGATCTTCATCACTGGCCAGAAGACGATGATGTGAGGAACGGAGCCGCTCCCGATAATTTTATCCACATGGACGCCATGGCTTTTGGCATGGGTAGCTGTTGCTTGCAGATCACCTTCCAGGCCAAGAACATCACCGAGGGCAGGAAAATGTACGACCAGCTCAGTCCACTTGGGCCCATCCTACTCGCCTTGACGGCGGCTACGCCTATTTACAAGGGCTTCCTGGCAGACACAGACGTGCGGTGGAACCAGATCAGCCGAGCGGTCGACGACCGAACCCCTGAAGAACTAGGAGAGAAGGTATGTCTGAACGTGAGCACTTTCGCAATGGAATGAACCCGGCTGACTTTCACAAGCCTCTACAAAACGACCGTTGGCGAATTCCCAAGTCCCGCTATGCCTCAAATTCCACCTATATATCCACCGACTCGCGTCTCCGGCCCGAATACTTTGACCCTGACCTCGTCATCGACGAGTCCATCAAGAAGAAGCTCCTCGACGGCGGTATGGACGACCGGCTAGCAACGCACTTTGCACACCTCTTCATCCGTGACCCCATCGTCATCTTCAAGGAGGACCTCGAGACCCTAGACATGAGCAAGACGGACCACTTTGAGAACATCCAGTCGACCAACTGGCAGCATATGCGCTTCAAACCTCCACCGGCCGACAACAATATCGGATGGCGCGTCGAGTTCCGGCCCATGGAGATCCAGATCACCGACTTTGAGAACGCCGCCTTCGCCGTCTTCATCGTGCTAATCACCCGCGCCATTTTGTCCTTCGACCTCAACTTCTACATCCCCATCGCCAAGGTTGATGAGAACATGGAGACGGCTCACCGCCGCGACGCTACCCTCAATGAGAAGTTCTACTTCCGCAAGAACCCCTTTACGACCCGCTCCCCGCGGGCCAGCGGCGCAAACACGCCCAATGGGGGCATCAGCAGGCCTCCTACGCCGCTGGGTCCAGTCGAGGACGAGTATCGACTCATGAGCGTCAATGAGATCATCAACGGCACCGCCGCCGCCGCGGGAGACCACGACCGGGTCGCCGCGGGCGACGATGCTCTAGACGACGGCGAGAGCTTCCCGGGGCTGATCCCCCTCGTCGAGAGCTACCTGGACAGCGTCAACGTCGACGTCGTCACGCGCTGCGAGCTGGCCACTTACCTGGACCTGATCCGGCGGCGCGCGAGCGGCGAGCTCTGGACCGCAGCCAAATGGATCCGCCACCTCGTCGCTGGCCACCCGGCCTACAAGGGAGATAGTGTCGTATCCGAGGAGATCAACAAGGACATCGTCGGCGCCGTCATAGAGATCGGAAACCGTGAGTGTGCTGGCAAAGGTTTCGGGGACTTGAGCCACGTTCCCGGCCTGGAGAACCTCCTGGGCAACTTCCGGCGTGGCAAGAGGTGTAGCTAGGACGAACCATGGTTTTCTTTTCCCCACAGGCAAGGTGTATTTGAGAAGCAGCCGCGGTGCCTGTCCGACTGATGTAGCATTCGCATTTGTATTCAACACGGGCTCCTTCAGATCGGTCATCGGCCGAACCGGCACTGCTCCTACTCGACGGATGTGTCTGGCTCGCGCGACCAGCGTTTTCGTTTCCTAGACGCCATAGAAATCACAAGAACAGTAATATGAAACTCATCGACGGATCCAGTTTTAGACTGCCGTATGGGCGTTGGAAATCCGAGGTGTCACAGCCATCAGTGTATTTCGGACTCAACTGGACCATAACCTTCTTTCCTTGGGACAATGCTCGTGGAGAGTCGCCGCCAGGTTTTGTGTCTCTTCGCTATATACTTAAACCCCAACCTCATATATGAATTTTCCAATCGGATACGCGGTATTGCTTGGCGCAATGTCCGAGACAGTATCCCCGCTTCAGCACGACAGCCACAATGAGCTGTCTTGAGGCCAGACTGATACACGACACCCGAAAACTGGTTCCCTTACACCAGGTACAGATAGTGTCTACCGGTTACCGTCCATGGATAGAAGCCATCATACCTTGCTTTTCGTGCCTAGTCCGCAAGAAATGCTACGGAGCTCTCCTGTGAGTCAGGTGTTGCTGGCTAAGCAAACCCACCAAATGAAGCAGTATTATCCCACCACAGCCCTTAAAGCTGCCAATTAATCGCTCTTCGAGGTCGAAATGTAAGCCCCACACAACGTCCTCAACAAGCACGTAAGTATCCTGTCACAAGACTGCTGCTTAGGCACAAGCATTGACAGAGAGCCTACAAGGCAACCGGAGAAGCCTGAACGACACGGGCTCGGGCGGCAGCACAGCACGACGGCCACCAGGGAGGTGCGGACTTCAGACTCTCCAATATGATTCCCCGGGTACGCCATCCGCGTCCCCCTGGTTTACCGTGCGAGGATTACTGCCCTCAGGGGGTGTATACCTCCTCGACGACAGGCTCCACAGTCTGTTCGCACAATTGCACACACATGCCCAAAAGCTAAGCAGTCGAGCCGAGGCAGATCTGCTGGCCGGGGTATTGGTGTTGGGGGGTTGAGCAAGTGTGTGAGCACTAAACAGGGGGAGGTTCGTCCTTGAGTGCGTGAAGAAGTAGTGTCGACACATCGCAAGGAAAAAGGAAGGGAAAGCACAAGGTACATTCGAAACCCCATCAAAGTCCCTGTCTCCCATCCCAGCGAAGGGAAAGTCCGTGTGGGGCCCTCTCATCATCCTGTTCTGGCGCGCCTCGCCTGTTATGCCTTTCGACGTGAACGTCATACTGGTCTGCCACTCGTAGAATTGCCTCCAACGCACGTGTTTCCCCCATGAGGCAGGTCGGCTGGGGAGGCCGAGGGCGGGCGCTCTTCAGCCAGAAGGGAAATCTCCTAGGTCGAGCGATGGCCTCGAACGAATCTGACCCAGCACCTCGGTATGCTCGGATGCAGGTTGTACAGGTACCAAAGGTACCAACCGCGGACCATTCTTTTTTGAGAGGCGCACATCGCTGCATCTATTCGACGCGACGCTACCTCTAGGGGGGAGACCCTCCAGGTCGGGCAGGCTGCAGTCTTCTACGGGCCGCGCACGTGCACCCCTCTGGGGGAGGGGGGAGGAGGGAGGGCTCGGTGAAGGGGAAAAGCAGACACCTCCTTATAGGATGGCGGGCAAGAGGCACGGGAATAAAAGGAAAAAGTAGCCAGAGGTAAGAAGCCGCTCAGAAGCGCCACATGGCGTCCCGACGGAAGGTATAGACGAGACTTTGACAGCTTGCCAAGGGCCTCGAGGCAGGTCTTATCACAATATCGGACCGGGAGCTGCAGACCTGGCAGCCTCTTACCGGCTGTCATCAAGCCATCAGATGGATCAGGATCTCAAGAAGACATGGGGCTCGACGAATGATGTCGACGGCAGCTCCCTCCGGGCTTGATCCTACGCCAAGGGGAGGGACATCAGGGAGGGATCCTTTCAGCGTAATGGTGAAGAAAAACAAAGAGTTCAACGTGTTCCATCACGTGTGGTCTCACTTGACGACGTCTCTCAACGCATGTCTCAGCTCTCCGTCCGATCCCCGTTACCTACCTAGGTACAGCCACACTACAGGTCAGAAGGGGAAACTTGAAGAGAAGCAATCCAAGGCAATACACACCCGAGGCATAAGATACGAAGTCAACGGCCTGTCTTGTGTCGTTTCTGGGCGCGCCGGTCCGTTACCAAAGAGAAAAGAACACACATGCCTCTTGGTGGAGTTTCAGCCCCCAGACGCCATCGACCACCGGTGTCTGCCGCTTGGATGGGCCAGGAGCAATCGAACACCGAAATCTGTATGAAAGCGGCTAAGATCTCCCCGCCCGACACGAGATCAAGTCGAATCTCGATAAGATTGAACGGGCTGGGATTTATCATGGGATGTGGGGGCAGGCTTGGGAGGGTGGTCAGCGTCTTTTGTGGACAAGTCCAACCGAGACGACTGGCACGCACCTGGGCACCGTACATAGTAGCTCGCCATACTCAAGCGAGATATGGCCAGACGGGGTTCGCGACCTTAAAAGGTGGTTCAATGTGGGAAATCGTACGTTCAGGTACTTGTCAAGACGTCAGCGCTACTCAGTGTGGGCAAGCACCGTGGACCAACGGCGCGTGTGGGCCGGGCCTGCTCCTCTTTTTTTCGTGGTGAAATGTGACAGGTCACAAAGGCTGGTCACCCACAGTCGGTTACATTCCGAATAGACATTCCGAATAGAAAAGGTGATCGGGATGGCCACCCCAAATGCGACCCGTCAGATCTTGAGCCGATCTTTCCTTCAAGAGACCCAAGGTTGACGGCGCAGAGTCGGCCCTCTTGCCTTTTCTCGCAGGCTGGTAGTGAGCGGTGCTTACTCACATGTTTTTTGGTCGGTTTGGCATCGTCAGATCCCACACATAAAGGGGAAATTATCGCGTCTTCTGTCTCACCTTGCCCCGAGGCTCTCCAAAATGCGACAGGCTGCCGGATTGCGGCGGTGCATCGAGCAAGTCGACAACACAGTCAGACCTGCCCACACCTCTGAGGCCTAAGCAACAACTCTGCCGGGCTGCCGTGGTCAGGTAGCAGGCGCGGCCTGGACTCTCACAATGTCGGCATCCCGACGGCTTGGTCACAATCCGAGCATCTCTCGGGATACGTGTTGGCAAGAAGCTGCGGCCGCTCGCCCGAGAAGGCTCGTGTAACGGCTACCAAGCCGCAGGTTGCATGAACCCAGAAATATACAGCCTCAAAAGGGGCCACACGCACTTGTGATGGAGCCCTTGGGCACGCGAAGGGGAAACCTGTTGGTGGTAGACGTGACCCGACGTAGAGTAGTTGTTGGGCCGCGACTTCAACCAAGGCGTACGGGTGGTACTTACATGGTGGTCGGGATGTTGGCTTGGTCTATTGCGCCCCGTGCCGCCTGTCATCACTTTTGGCGTCCTGTCTACTGCCCGCGCGCCCAACCAATGTCCTCGCCTGCTATTTTTCAGCAGCCGTTGGCACGAATCAGGGCATCCAACGTCCCTGTGGGCTGGCAAGCCACGCTTGCTGCGTCCCATATGGAGCACTTGTGCGTGCCTCGAGTTTGCACAGCCGTGATCACGAAGTCGCACAATTGCCTGCTGCTTCCGAGGCTCCCTTGCTGCCCAAGTAAGGACGGCATCTCCATAGTGCAAGGGCCTGTGACGTGATGGAGCGCTGTTTCTGGAATGAGAACCCCCAGGCTTTCTCCCTTGTGCGTGGGAGCCTCGTGCCTGCTCGTGTACTATACGGCTTCTTGCGAGCAAGCGACATGACTGCCTGAAACTTGAGCATTGACTGGAGGTACACGGTGTATTGAGGAGTGCACACGACCTACCGCTTGTTGAACATGGAAGACAAGCGTCTTTCTGGGTATGGACACTGTGCCATGGGGCCAGATCCTCTCCTCTCAACAGCGAGATGAGAAGCGGGAGGATCGTGGGTGGCACTCCCTGCCGACACATGACAAACTACCTGGCATTCTAGAGCCTTGTGATCAATACTAAGGTTGCAGGTACCATGAGATCCTGGCGATAGTCTCTATGATATGATGATATGTCGGCGAAATGTCACACCTCCTTCACTCTCTTTGCCATGCTGTGAAGGTTCCTCGAATGTATTGTTACCGCACGGAACGGAACTAGACCTGGGCGACGGGAAGTGCCAGATAGAGGAGCCTGCGCTGCCCTGGACTTTCTGTCAAATCTCGCGTCAGAAGTAGTCTCCTTTTTACTTTTCGCGGCAGGCCAAGCCCAAGGTTCTGACAGAATTACCGCCAGTATGGAGTGATCTAGATAGGTCCGATGAGATGATCGAGGAGGCCAAGGGTCCGTACGGATACCCAGGTCTGGGCTCGTATGGGGACTTCGCCGTTGGCAGCTGAGATGCAGCAGATCGGGTACAGTAGGCTTGCCCCGTTGCCCTCTGCCCTGGCTCCTTAAAGCAGCCGGCGAATCGCTTCCAAGGCCAAACAATTGCCCCTGGTTGATCATATGTATCTACTGGGCAGCCTTCAGCCGGCCGCACATGGCGGCAAGGCAAGCAGCCTCAACTGGGCTATCGTTGCCGCCAGAGCACAAGATGCCTTGTCCTGCAGCATAATGGAGGCGGTACAAGATGCGTATCGCACAAAGGTCAGATGCTGCATTCCGTTGTCTCCCCAGAGTGTCTTCACAGGCTCATATACGAGACGTGTGTTCCGTCCAAGCCCTGCCTTGCATGGGTTTGAATCGGACAGAGTGCCTCGCGAGATTGTGGTGCAAGTTTGTGCCTTCGAGGTGCCACCAAGGTAGTTGGGTTCGTTCCTCGCTGCATGCTGGCACAGCAGGGTGCAGCAGGTGCACAACCTCCGTATGGCGTCACGTCAACGTCGAATCGTGCTGTGTTATGTAGTCGTGCGCTCGTAACACTCGGAGAGTTTTCGAGTTTGTCCACTGCTTCCACAATCTCACAAGCACGAGGTCGCTGTCTTGGAATAGACAATTGACGGGAACTTGCGAAGGATAATTCTAATCGGGACAATGCTTTCACTAAGCCTGGGGCTAATACTGGCCACGATAAATGGATGAGACCAGCTCCACCGGTCCGCAAAACCATGAGTTGGCCGCTGCCGCTCCGTACGAGCACCACGGCTGCATGCTTAGGGAGTCAGTCCCATATTGATGTTGTCTGACAGAAAATTGTCGGCAGCATTCAGTGGCAGCACGCCCGGTCTCTCGCCCGGTGGATGTACACTCCCATGACAGACCTGTGGATCGGGCTCACAGCGAGGCGAGGGAGTTACTTCTCACTGCCAAGGTGGCTTCTCACGCCCGCTTGGGGGACACGACTTCAAGAAGTCATGTCCCGGTGCCAAATCAGATGCTTTTCAAGCCTTCGCTCGCAATTTTCTTGGTGTGAAGCTCAGTGGCAGGCGGCAGTGCGGCGAATCGACGGCAGTGTCCATCTCCTTGCTTCGGATGGGTAGTCAACCCTCGCAATACATTGTTGCTTCTTCGAAAGTGACAGGTGAGATGCCTCTGCTTCTTCAAGCAACGAAGACCTTACCGCCGTGCCTAAAACCATGCAAGGTTGACGGTTGACAGCTGCTTGTGCCCCCCCCAGATTTCGTGGCCCCCAAGAACATGCAGGCTGCAATGCATGGTCTTAAGTACACTGACGGGGCGGACAGCTGTCCATGGTTGTGATGAAAACATCGCCCAGTCAATTTAAAGCATAGTATGATCCAGAAAACGCAGGTCTCATGCTTTTGACAGTTTCCAGGACCATTGGATCCGATCCACGCAGAAGACCAGGTGACCAGAGGCTTAAATCTGAGATATCGGCCACTGCTGATCGCAGAGCGGTGCAGTGGATTTGGTTCAAGACGGAAATCTCAAGCGCGCAGAGCCACTGGCGAGCCGTCCGTACCGGGGGCACAGCGTGGCTGAGAAGGAGGGCATGCATTTTTGTACGTGTACATATCTCGCTTATGATTCTGCATGTGGGAGACGACCCGGAGGAAAGGTCGCGGTAGCGAAGAAATTTGATTGCATGCGGTCATGACCGGATCTGAGTGGAAACACGGCTATCTCTCGCGGGACCCAGTGTCTGCAGATCAAGCCCCGTAGTGATCGATGCCGTGATTTGACAGCTCTTGATGGACATTTTTCCCAGATCGGCAGCTGTTCCCGGCCGCCTTGGGACTTTTACCCTGTACGGAGTAAGCATTGTCATCGAGGATCGTGTGCAGGGGCGCCCACTGGGGGAGGTGGGCACTGGACCGGATTATGTCTGCCAGGTCGAATGATTCGAGATCACAAGGTCACCCGCGGGTGGCCCCGTCGTGTCGATACAGTTCACGCAAACTCCATCCTGAGCGGTCAGGATTTGGATGCAGATTCAGGATGTCACAATTCCACACCGTTGTCATCAAAGTCTCCAAGCTTTGTGTGGGGAATGGGGTTCCCGCCAAGAAGCTCTCACGGCCTGTGATCGTCTCTCGGGCATTGAGACAGGATATGATGATCATGAGGGACAGTATGCTGGAGTGTCATGGCGTCAAGCGCACGACGCTTGGTGATTTCCGGGGATTGGCGCCTATTGTTTTAGTTCTCATCTTCCCGTTGAGCACAGCGTTGCCATCGCTTCCAAAAACGTGACCAAGCAGGCCAAAGGTTGTTGTCGTAAGCGCACGAGGCGTTAGGTGAGGTGGCAGGACACAATGGTTTATTAACATTATAGCCCATTCATCCACCGACAGCGACGCGGAGGCACCGGCAGCCAAGGCTCACCGACAACCTTGTGGTGATTTCACTGCTTGTGCCACAGTACAAGTACCATCCATATCGGCACTCCCTTTGTCCGACACGATCGGAGAGGGCCCACACAGTCCGGAAAGCAGGCGTGGGGCTCACCCTTTCCTGAAATCTTCTCGAAGCTTGAAGGGAGGGGCCTGCTGAAGTGATCCAAGGGGCCGAGTCGTTGCAGTATCAGGGGCAAAAAAACTGCGATCCCAAAGTGGATGCCACAGATCCAACCGCAGCAGGGGGCATCACGAACCTTAACGCGGGTGCAAACAGCTGTCAAACAAGGGGCCCACACCTTGCCAGCGGGTGGGCGGTGACGACAAAGTGGCAGGTCAGGATTTGACGAGGTCCGCCCTGCCACGTCGTGTTACTGTCGTGGGGTTCCGGACTGCCGGATGGCCTCCCGCCCAAGACAATCACCCCCCTTTGTACTGTATGTAGAGCCTCACTGTGTTTGTAGGCATCTGTGTCGAGAACAAAATGAGCTGAGTACTGCATGACAGGATCCGCTGTGAATTTTCCAGAGTTTTTTCAAAGGGGCCAACGTCGGATGCTACGCGCAAGGTAATCGAGATCGGGATTTAGACCCGCAGATTGTGACAGGATGCCATGTTAGGTTCCAGCCGAGCCCAATCTAGATTGTGGACGGAGGTACATGTTCTTGTCGGCCTGAATCAAACACTCGAAGTCATCGTGTCGTTCTGCCTCCGCCCAGGAGGCGCAGCTGATCTGTTTCTGGAACAGCTGCAATATCGGAGGCCACGGACGTGGTTGATCCTCCGGAACTCTCGAACCTGAATAGACCAATCGCGATTTGTTGAAATGTGGTGAGTAGTGGGCGGAGGTAACCGTAGGTGACCAGGTTTCCAAGCCCTCCCCGGACCCGTGTGGTGTCCACACCGAAAGAAATTGTCCCCTAAGGCGACCATCAACTCAGATTCCATCGCAGCGGTGGACTTCATGCATCTGCCCTGGTGAACCCTGTTCCTGCCTCGAGCGTGAACTTGTTGTTTACAGCTGAACTGAAAAGGATGGTGATCTTGATTTTTTTTTTGAGGGGGGGAGGGTGGTCCTCGGCGATCTGCATCGGAGGCAGACAACCTTCGCGCGTTCACATCTTTCTCACAATCTCACAGCTCGGTGACGGGCTATTCATACACGAGGTCCGAGAGAGGCGGCATGGGGAGCTTGTCTTGCAGCTTCTTTCTTTCTATAAGCAGTGGTTGTAAGACCTGGATGCCTGGCGCGGTGGTGGTGGATCTGTGTTTCGACAGGTGTGCATTGAGTTGCGTTGCACTGTACGACGCGAGTCGCAAAATCTCCGTGATGCCAGATGGACCCCGTCAGATCGCTTTGCTGGGATGCGTTTCGTATGGATATTGCCGAGTCCCAGTGTGTTGCTGGGTCCAATAGTGAGGCAGCTGAGTGGTTGTGCGAGCCACCCCCCTTCTTACCCTACCTCTTCGTTGTCCGTTTCGGCGGCTACTGAATGTAGTGAGCGTAAACATCTATTGCTCAACTCGGCCGCTAACACAAACACCACCGCGGCCGAAAAAGAAGAAGAAAAACCGAGCCTAGTAGAGTAGGCCGGCCTGCACAGCTAGCTATTTTTGAGACCACTGTGGAGGTCCCGGGTTGCCGGCGTCAAAGCGGTAAACTCCAAGTAGGCGGCCAAACGCCCCAATACTACCTGCCCGAAGCATCCACGGCGGAGTCGCTGTTTCTGCCAGAGCTCGCAATACGAAAGGAGATTTGGCTTGTGAGAAAGCACACAGTATTCCGGCAACCAGGTTTCCGTGCTCACAGCAGCTACCGCCCCCCCAGGGCCCGGGCCGCAAGGAGGGAAGGGCTGTAGATCACAACAATCAATGAGTATTTTCGTCCCATCCGACAATGTGGCGATACGGTAGTATCGTGTCATCGGGGGTGCAACGGGGTTCTCTGCAACGGCGATGCAGCTGGTTCCTTCAGGCGAAACAAAGAGCCACCAATCGCCCGAACGCGAAAATCAGCCCTCCAGATTGTTTATTGCATTTGGTGCTCGGCGTGAGACCGCTGCACAACACATAGTGGAAATGCAAACGAGAATGTCCGTGGTCAACCACCCTTCGTCCCGGATGTGGCCTGATCATTGGGATGGAGGAAATCGTGCCCGACGGGCCACATAGGTCGAGAGCGGTTGGAATATTGCTGTCGTCGATAGCCGCATTCGTGATGGGATTATCCTTGTAGGCAGATGCGTCCCCCCAAGGTCAGCCACGAGCATGATTTCTGCAGGAGGACTGCATCAGGTCAGCCACCTAACCATGTCACCTTTTGCTTTCCCCGTGACGCCTAGAATGCTCGATTGACCATAAGTGGCTATGGTTTGTTGCCGGGACTCGGGTCTCATGATTTTCAAGATCTTGGTTCGTCCCAAAATATGTGTTTCGACAATCACAGCGTTCTCACACCCGAGATACTCCCGGTCACAATTCTGGTGCGAGAGGAGCCTGTCACGCCGAGTCACGGCCAATGCGCTGGCTCTGGCTGCCTCTATAGCAGCATCAGCAGGGCACACAAAACTTCAAGCAAACGCCTGGGGCGTGGTCGTGAGCATGTAGAGCCGCGTAAGGCATGTCCGGGGTTAAATCGTCCGGGAGACCAACTTGTCTGTTGTCGCCTTTGCAGCGCATTCAGTGTTTGGACGGGGATCCGGCGGGACCGGACGACACAGTTTGATACGGTTTGACAAGAACGCCCGCCGTTGAATCGAGTCGGGCGCCAGACAAGCTTTTCCCTGGCATAGTCTAGCTGGAGCTTGTAGAGTGAGAAGGTACACCGCACATGGTGAAGTGGCCTGCAGCGCAGCCCGAGGTGATGGCCAATCTGAGCAGATGGATGCGGCGTCCGCATTCCTGTCGTTCTGCGATGGCGTTCGGACCCATGGATGGACCAAGGTTTTGCAAAAGGATCTTGCGTGGAACTCAAAATGTGGTGTGACAACAAACTTCAGTATCCGCCTGCTCAGTGCCGGCGCTGAGGTTTGTGCCCGATAGGCTGCCGCGAGTGGGCTGTTGTTGGGTCGAAACAGGCTATCGCAGATCTGAGAGAAAGTTTGAGGCTGCCAGATCTGGTCAGCATCTTGGGTCGATTCGGCCCATCGAGCCGTCCACGGACCTCAGCAATATGCTCCAGAGGCCGTCTCACAGGCACGGCCTGATTTGATGGGTGCAGCTCTCAGGAGTCTGTTGTCGTCAGCGCTGAGAATCGTGCCAGGCGCCGCAGGTAGTACTCGGTAGCGGACGGTAGGTGCTGTGGTCCGAGTGGGCCTCGGTTGTTGGCCTCGCTGCCAACCTCGAATCGAAGCTTGGCCACCAGCCTGCCCAGCAGGCGACTGCGAGTGCCCGGGGACTCATGCTCGGCGACGCCTAGAGGTTGTGCTGGTGGAAGGCCCGGTGGCAAAGTATAGACGGCACAGCAAGCAATCCCATCCCACAGACAGAGCCTTGGCGGCCTGGCCGTCTCGTAGGAATGTATTCTTGCAGCGCGGCGGACCGGAAGACGAGCATGTTGGCTGGCGGGGCGGCAAGAACAAGAAGGTCGGCGGCGGATGCCATGTCAGCATGTCGGACCCGCGCTGGCCGGCCAGCTGACCCGGGACTCTGCCGGGACACGCAGCTGTTGCTACCGTGCACGGCGCAGGCTGTTGATTTGACGCCAGGCGCGACCAGTTCCAAGGTACGCGGTTGAGGATGGAACGGCGCTGGAACGGCGCTAGAACAGCCGGAGAAAACGACATTCTCAGGGCGTGCTGGAGCGCCTTGCACGGGGCATGTGAGATCCAAGATTCTAGCCGGATCGGGCCTGCAGATGGGCCCAACATTGCCTAGATGGGCCCCAGACTTCGCAAACGCACACAGCATCATCGCCCACCCTCACCACAGCCACGGCAGATGCTGAGGAAGACTCAGCGGGCCGAGGAACTCGTGGACAGTTTCGCTGCGCTATAAAGGCCAGGCCTTGTGGCCGCGGCACAGGACTGCCGATGGCAGGTCTTGACGAGGAGTGGCCTCCTTGGGTGTGGTGGAGGAGGTGGTGGTGGTGGTGTTGTTGCAGGCAGACCCTGCAGCACAGGACGCGGGTGGACAGGCAGGCGGTGCATCTTGCGCAGGGCAGGGCAGGGCAGGAGCAGGGCAGGGCAGAGCGTCGGGTCCAGGTGTAGACTACACCACTACCTACCTACCTACCTAGGTAGGTAGGTAGGCAAGTACTTAGTACGGAGTACATGGCAGCAATACAATGCAAGCCGCCCATCCTCCTGACAACACCCTCAGCAGCAGCAGCAGCAGCAGCAGCAGCACCAACACCACCACCACCACCTCCACCACCTCCATCGAAATGCAGGCAGGCACACCTTCGATCAAGCTGTCAGAAAGGCGTGTGTGCGTCGGGTCGGGTCTAATTACCACGTCGCCGGCGGGCCCCTGTCCCCTGAGCCCGTCCTGTGCGTGGCCCATCCGCTGCCGCTGCCGCTGCCAATGCCTGTGCCCACCCACAAAAAGTCGCACCACTTTGTTGTCAAGAGAGATGAGAGATTACCGCTCCTGCATATCGGCCCCCCCCCTGCCATCATGCTAGGCAATCGAGATACTATCGACAGTACAGCGATCTCTCCTGCTCACTGTCCCGGCTCCCAGATTGGGCCCTGGGCCCGATGACACGCTGCTCGGCCATAATTCCCATCTTGTCCATTCGACACGAGCCGCCTTGTCTGCCACTCGGCCGCGGGTCGCCACCTCTTGGTTCTCACAGCATCTTGCTGCAACACGGTGCCGTGGCCGATCTGCCTCTGTCCCGTCCTGGTAATCCAGCCCTGCCTGCGTCTCGAAACATCGGCTGGGGACCTTCACCTGTCTGTCACCCTCCCCCACCAGGGGCCCAGCTCGCCCATCTGCCCGCCCCGACCTCCGCGCTAGATCACGCACATCAAGCAGACCACGACAGGGGACACGCCGCGGGGGGCGGGAGCGATACAGGCTGGTACCACAGTAGAAGGCTTCTGCCACCACGTCTTACTCGCGCGGGCAAGCTGTCTCCGGCCGAGCCCAGACAGTCATGTTGCCTTGAGCTCGGCCGCTGGAAAAGCTTGCGATCTCCCCCGGATCTCAACGCAACGAGTCCACCTGCCACAGCACTGCACCTCCTGCGCTGAGCCCGGCAGCTGCTGCGCACAGCAGAGCACTGAGCACAGCAGGGTAGGGCCAAAGGGAAAGTGCTGGCTGCGACCTTGCCAAACCCAACCGCGTTCCATCTGTTCAGAATATATACCACTTGCAACCCTGGGCGCCGGCGCCGGCTCAATGCTTTTACCTGATTACGTCTGGCTGGACGCGAGATGCCCCGAATCCGCCTCGAATCCTACCCAGGGCAACTTCCAAGGGATGAGGGCCACGCCGCACCGTCCCGTACCGTACCAGAACCTTGGTTGCCACTCACTGGCTGACTTGCAGCAGCGACTGCGACCTTCCACTGTTGCGCCAGACACCCCACAGTAGGTCAGGGTCTCCTTTTCCGCGCCTGCTGCCGGGGCGCGCTTAGATGGTGGTGCTGTTCTCACCAGGTCTTCCACGGACAACGACCACACAGCAACACAAATTCATACAGATAGGCAGACCCGATGACACGCAGTGGGCAGGCTTCGTGTGCACAGAGCCTACAGAAGACGAGGACGAAGGATCCAGGTGTCCCCGTCCATGGCCAGGGCCGCTCTCGTCCAACAAGCCTGCACCCTGTCCCATAGCATCAGCCCTGCACTATAAGTGCATGAACATGTACTGTACAGATCGCGGGTAGATACCAGGAACAGGAACACAGTTCACTGCTGAGGCCAACCGCCTCGCCATCAACCCCCCCCCCCTGGGAGAACCTTCTCCCCCACCTCACGCCAATCTGTCCTGTCGTGGTACTAGCGTCTTGCAGGGGTACTTGTTTCTGCTGCTCTCAGATTGCCCCGGTTTTCCACCCATCGACATCTCATGTGCAGGAGCAGGGAACAGGGCTCCTGGGCATCGGTGAGGCACCTGGGTGGTCCACCCCTGCGCGGTGTGGTGGTGGTGGTGCGTGCCTCTGGCGCAGCCGGCAGGGGAGGGTATTGTGCATGTATCTTTTCTGGGCTGTACCTCAGCGGGTACATCTGTACACGATACGTACCGCACGAGGACCCCTGCCGGCGCAGATACATACTCGGCCTACTTATTACCTATCGAGCACCAACTGAGCATGGGGACCGCAAAACTGCCTAGATGGGGTGGACTGCACAGCACTGGACCGTACGGTACTGTGGACTTTATCTGTTCCTTGCTGGATGGACATGAACGACCTTTGGCCTTGCCCCAGCGCCCCAAAACCAGACAAACCGCGCCTCGAGTTTCTCATCCCAGGCCTGTCTTCCCTCTTGTTTATTAAATCTTAGCCTTGTATCCTTTTTCTTCGGCAACTTGGACAAGTGCCTCCTTCCCCCCCTCCCCTCTCTGCAGCCAGTTTAATGGTAATTATTATTGTTGTTATCATCGATGCCATCCCGCCCCGTCTGCACCTCTGGCCTGACCTCTAACCTCTCTGACCTCCGACTTCTCTGACCTGCCACTTTCCTGCGTGCCAGCCTGAGTGCGTGCCAGCCTCGTCCACAGCGCCCACTCTCGACCATTCCTACTTCTACGCCTACATCCAATCCCTTCTTCGATCTGGATCTGGATCTGGATCTCAAATCCGATCTGGCGGCTTTTTTTTCTTCCCACACGTGGCGAACCCACATCGGCAACGGTTATTTCTTGTGCACGCAATTCATCCGCCTTCGAACCACTTTCTCGGCCCTCCCCCCCGCCCGCGCCTTGATCAGTTGCGGTGACTCGGCAGCTGCGTCAAGAGTTGCAATTGCCCTCTGCGCCATCGCAACCTTGGAAACAGCCCTCCGGCCCTCCCCCGCATACGAGTCGGGCTGCATTCTCAATCACCACCGACCAGCAGTGGACCCATTTTGACTTTGTCACTTGGCCGAACCTTCTTGACCGCACGATCCATAGTGGTTCGCCTGAAACCTTCGAAAGGAGCTGCTGCGGCCACGCACTCGACGCTTCCATTCAGAGACGCTTTCTTACTCCCGGCCTGCGACAACCACATCGGCGCACATCTGCTGAGCCAAGACACCTTCACCTCCCCCCGTTCCTCTCACATCCTGGTGACCGCACTTCCGGTTTTTGTCACCCCGCTGGCACTGGGATCCTGCCAGCTCGCGCCGCAACCGTGCTCCTCTGAAAGGTCGGCTGTCTCTGCTGCACTGGGATATTTCACGTTGGCCATCCCACACTACCCATTTGCCTACCGCCCTCCGCCTACCGCCCTGTCCTCGGCTCGACTGACTCACCTTGGTTCAAGCAACGATCCCCCGCTGGCCTCATTAAAAAGCTAATCTGCGGCCCGAGCTGCTACCTACTACTCGCGTCGAATAGCGCTGGGGTTTTCGCCACACTCACCACTAAAGTCGTCTTGAGCCTCAATCCGGACGGGCGTCCCAAGAAGAACCTTACGGGCTTGTAAACTCCTTGTTCTTGCAAGCTCATCACAACGCGGAACCAGAACCCTGCGTGTTTGATCAGAGTGTGTGCGTTTGTGCGTTTGTGCGTGTGAAGTTGCCCGCCGCCTATCCATAAGGCCTCTTACAAGGCACTGTCTCTTCGGCCGTGATTTACTCGCCTGGTCAACCTCGCTCGAATTGAACTCTGACAAGAGCTTACCAACCGGCACCGCGGCAATCGGACACTAGGCATCTGTCTTTGATCGAGTCGGATCGGGCTGCGAGATCAGACAGTTACCGCCCATTAGTCATTGCAAGCTTTGCATACTCCTGCAGCGTGGATCGTTGTGCCGTCAGATGAATTAGGCTGGGCACATCGCATTAAAGCGCTGGGGTGTTGACACGACCGTCTTGATCCTGTCCCGTTATGGAATTGGGCAACACCGCTGGCAGGCAAAGGTGTGGAAACTCTACTCATATATTCCTCGGTCCGCCCTATCTAACACTTGAGTCACAGCTCTCACTCTTCTGCCAACCACTCTGATCCTTACCACCACCGACCAAAAGGCTCCTGGGACAGACCATACAGGGAAGGTCCGGCCATGGCGACTGCCACCTTGCTCAATCCTGCATCTCACTACCAAACCCAACAGCCCTCGTACCCATCCAACTACTCTCGTTCCACTGCTGGCTCAAACATGCCTGGTATCGTCTCCCCCGTCGAGCCAAGGAGGCGGCCAGAAGAGAGTGAGCCGCAGCGGCAGTCGTTGCCATCGATACAAGAGGTCATCTCTGGCACCAAGCCTCCAGCATCGGCATTTCCACCGTCTCTGTCGACTTCGGTCCAAGGCGCCCCGAGCCTGCCATCTCCGTTCGCATCCTCAACGTCGTCGCGGCCATACGCCGACCTTTCGCCTCAGGACAAACATCCTTCGCCGAGATCATTACACAACCCGCCGTCCTTTCCCACCAGGAGCGAGCCGATGCCTCCATTTTCCGACCCTTCCAGGGCTCCATTGTCCAGCAGGCCGCCGGCCCTCGCGCCAGTCAACAACTTTTATCCTGGACCGCGGCACTCTCCCCCTCCGTTGAAAAATGAGCCCCACCCAGGGGAGAGGCAAGCAGAGGCACACAGATTAAATGGCTCCTATCCATCAACGGCTGCAGAACAGCAAAACGTCCCTTACGCACAGCAGAACCAGTTGCCTGCTGGGCAGTTACCCCTTTCGGCACATCCCATGTCTCCACGATATCCTGGACACTCACTTCCGTCGCCTTTCGATGGCTCACGCTCGTCAATGCAGGAAGACTCTGACTACCTGAGGAGGGAGAACAAGTACGAGCAGACGCTGAGCAGACACTTTGAGGCATGGCAGTACCAAGAATCACTTGCCAAGGTATGGAGCTTGGCACCGGGGGCTGCGCAGCACCGAATGCTGACATTTGACCAGATCGCGTCCGGGTCACGGACAATTTTCAATTTTGCGGATGCATACGGTCGCTGTGCCGCGGAGGAACAAGGCCCTGGCTCCCACCCCATGCCCACACGGTTGCCTTCAGAACGCGAGATCGGAGACATGTTAAATATGGCGGAGTGGATGCGCGGTATGTTGGATAACCTGCGGACAATGGTTCAGCAAAGCGTCGTGATGAACGACCGAGCGCGCGAAGCTAGCCGGGGCAAGGGACCGTACGAGGATGAGGACATGGCCATGTACGGCGACGGCATGAAGTCTGCTTACGAGATGGCGGGTGTCAAGAAGCGGAGAGGAGTAAGCGAACGCAGACCAGACCCCTTGACCCACACGGGAACTTGAACTAATCATGCCACAGCGTGCCGCTCCTCCTGGCCGTTGTCACAGCTGCAACAGAATCGACACGCCGGAGTGGCGTCGTGGTCCCGATGGCGCGCGAACGCTCTGCAACGCGTGCGGCCTACACTACGCCAAACTGGAGCGGAAGAAACAAATCGACGCCAAGAACATCCGGCCCAGGCCCTCGGTTGAAAGAGGTTAGCCCGTGCGAAATTCGGGGGGTGGGGTTGTCAGGGACAGCCCTGACAAACGCTGGGCTAAGAACAGCAGCGGCCCTGCTGGAGACGACGCATTATCAAGAATCCAACGCATCGTTGTATGCGCCAGCATCTTTTGTCGTCGCTGTTTCAAAAAGTCGCCAAAAAGTACAGCATTTACCGGCAAGCCAACGCCGGTTACGATCACTACTAGCACCGCAGGCATCGAGAAAGAAAAAGGAAAAGGCACTGGGTCTCATTTTGCAAATTCGGGGGCAGGTTCCAGGTGGCAAACGCCTACGTCATCATGCTGTGTCTCATTTTATACCCAAATATATCAGGTCGGACACGAAGGATACGCGACAGGATCCGATCAGCACATTCTATTTCCCACGACAACACCGGGGAGGATCTTGTAAATACATCAGCGGGGTCTGTTAACTCTGGGAACTGGACTGGCCGCGGCGGGGCTAATTTCTTCCTTTTTTTTTGTTTGGGTGGGGTGGGGATGGTATATAACTGGCATGAGAGAGGCGTTTTGTGAGAGCTGCTCAATGTGATGTTCAGACGTCATGAAGCCTTTTTTTTCCCCTCTGCTGTGGGGAGTCTCTTCTGCTATTACCATGCGCTGAGCCTCGATCTGGGAGAAGCATGTACATACCGCTGTCGTCATCATCATTATCATCATCATCATCACCACCACCACCACCACCACCGCCATTACCATCGATTTTTGCCAAATTGATATGAATGAGACGCGCAAGGCGTCCTCTTCCTGCCCATATGTGGACAAGCCGATGTCGAAGAAAGCATCCAATGGCCGGGGTGAAAAGGGAAGCATCCGAATCCCAGACTTTGGTCGCCGTTGTCTGAGCTGTGGTGAAACCGCCCTCGCAGCCCCATGGACAAGAAGAAAAGCACGACACGGGACGGAACTGACCAGTGGTGGGCCGGCCAAGAGATCTGGCCCATCTGCCGAACGCTGGGATGGCACTGATCTCATCTCAGGCATGATCAGGGCAGAATGCCCGCATCATTTGCCTGATTGACGCACAAATCCCAAGTCGGGGGCACGCAACTACCCTACAGAGACGGAACTAGATGGATTGTCCCGGGGCCGAGCTTTAATGGGGCTGTCAGACGGCGCGATGACCGGGGGCTAATTTTGTAAGTCAGGCATTAGTGCTTCTTCTTTTTCTTCTTCGCTCGTGAGTCTCTCTTTTGGGTACGCTAGGGAGTGTGGACGCGCAGCAATCCGCCGCTAGTGATCAACCACACGAGATGAAGACCGAGAGATCTGTGTTGGCGTGACACGGCAACTGCCTGTGCTTGCGTACAATATGACCGGTTGCCCTGCTTTGGCAATACAGAACAAGAATTTCCAGAAGGGGAAAAGGATCAGATATGAGCCAATGACCCGCGAAATCCTTCCCTGAATCTACGACACTCATCGCACATGTCCCGTGCAGCAGGCGAGATTGGGACAAGCGGCACGCCACGCCTCGGTACTGTACCTGTGAAGAAGGCATATGCGGGAGAGGCCAGTCCAACTACCTTGGCAATAGGCCATTGGATGAGACACAGAAGGTCGAGGTTGCATTATACGTGGAGCTGGCAACCTCTCGTCCCCTTTCAGCTTTTTCCCATGTGGCCCATCCCCGACAGCCCCACCGTCAGAACGTACCAGCAGCGTACACATAGTCTGAGATATCCAGCAGCTGACTTCCGCCCGTGCCTTAGCCTCTCCGGCTAGCCCAGCCCAACCCTAAGTCACGCCCTCTCGGGAGTTGAAGGTTTCTTCTGGTGAAAATGTCTTTGCCCTGGTTGCCTGGGCGGTCCCCCTGCTTGCCGCGCTGGGAGAGGGAGGAAGTCGTAAGATGAGCTTTATCAGATCGAACGGCCTCGGCCGGGATCACCAGTCGAAGCTAGCCCCGGTTCCTATACGCAGAGCAGGAATCATCAGGGCCGTGACAGCGGTGGGATTGAACATTGGACACTCATCTGTCGGCAGAAATGTCGGTGCGACGCCCATGTGACACTCTCCGCGCGCGAGGCTGTACCGACTATGAAGGAGAGAGAAACCAACCTTCAAGGTTACGGATGGGACGAGACCCGTGAAAGGGTCACACATCGGGCTGGCATCCGGTCTAGTGATTCATCTACTCGGTACTGCTGGTGGATGGGTGGCCGGCAAACAACTTGGACGGGTTGCCAAGTGCGGGAGGGCAGCCCGAGCTTTTCAACACCCAATTGAATATCATAGTTTGGGCGTGAAACATGGGTAGGGCCCAAGAGCGAGGCGTAATATCGAGATTGTGATCTCGATAAGCGTTCCCGCGCCTTGCAGATTAAGCTCGGCCGATATTTCTTTTCCCTTTCGCTCCTATAGCCCACGGCAGGGTGTTCGTTCTATTGGGCGTCGGTGGTTTTTCTGTCCTGCACCATCGTCCCGATCCATCCACGCGAGTCATGGCTTCTTCTTCGCGACAGTTTTCTTCAGCCCTATCTATGCTGTGGGTGCATGCGTGCGTGCGTGCGCGTGTGTGTGTGTGTGTGTGTGTGTGTGTGTGTGTGTGTGTGTGTGTTTGGCCCACGAGTTATAATACGGCAATGGAGGTTACCCGGACGGGGACCCGGACGGGGTGACGCTGTTCGGCACATGGTCCATGGGCATCTCGTAGCTGCTGCCGTGCGTGCGTGCGTGCCCAGGTGCTGTCTGGACGTCCTGTGAGATCTGCCAGGGAGGCGTACCGGGCCGGTTCTACGTCTGTCTGGCCCTGCTAATTAGGGGCTGTGGGCTGGGAACCCCGGGATGGGCTGGGCCGGATAGATTTGCGAGTTGGGTTGCGGTGTTACGTGCTGCTACTACTCTTGAGTGGCTGCCGTTTCTTGCTCGGATGCTGCATCGTCGACGACAAAGTCTATCTCGCATTCGGACAGCGAGTCATGGGGGCAAATGCTCTTCCCGGTTGGGCGGCCTTGAGGTTTGCTGCAGAGCTGCAGGCCTGGGCTGACGAGCTGCCGACGGCGGCGGTCGAGGTGAACTCTGATGAGGCTTTTCATCCTCTCCTTTTGCTTCATGCAGGCATGACGTGACTGGTCGAGCTTACACCTGCCAAGGATGGGAGCGGGTTGAGGGCATTGAGGATGGGTGTTCGTGTGGGTTTCATCCGGAATCTAATAACGACCAACAGGGACGAGAGATGGGTGCGGAATGTTGATGGAGGACTGGCTCTGGCTGGCTGGCTGGCTGGCTGCAGCATTGAAAGGCTTCATCGCCCAAGTGCCGTCTTGTTCCCCAGATTGCTGGGGGCCGTGTTGCAGCCGCGGTGGGTCCGAGGGTCGTCCCGCCAAGACCGGACGCCCACTCTTGAGTGCCTGCCTGCCTGCCTATCTGCCTGCCTACCCGGCCTACCTGCCTGTCTTGCCGGTGTCTGGTCTGACGTTCGGGACCAGGAAAAACCCTCCAGGCCCGGCTGCAAACATGCAATCGCCCAAGGACCTATCAACCCAACCTCGTCGTCGCAATCTCAAACTCTATCGCAACTTTATCTTCCCTGGCCCCCCTGGCGGCCGTCGCTTCGCTAACGAAATGCAGGTTGGATGCTTGATGCCTGGTGCCCGGGTGCGCCTCGTTCATGCTTGCTCGGTGCCAGGTTGGTGGCTTGCTTGGATGGCGTTCGTAACTTGAAGATGCACATCCTGACATCCCGGACCATCAACTATCAACTATAGTTCCTCTCACATGCCGAGACGACTGTTCGACGGCAATCTTGTTAAGTTGGCATGGAGCCTCACTTGAAACCCCCGTTCGCAGCCTGCGGAGCACTCAAGATCTGGCCTGCCAGAGACGCGCAGCAACAAGAGACGAACAGCCGCCGCCGGCAGCCTCTTGACCACCTATATTTGCATCGTTAGGGACTGCCGTGAGCTGGCCTCCTGGCCTCCCAGGCAGGCTTGGCAGGGCCCTTGCTGAGGTTGTTTTCATCACTGTGTGTGCCTTGGCACTAGACTCTGCTGATCTGTGTCCCGTGTACGTGTGGCGCCAGCGCACCACCGCACCACCGCACCACCGCACCACCGCACCAGCAGGGCGAGATCTGGCCCATCATCTGGGGGTGGATTGCGGCAAGTTCCCGCCACGCAAGAGCAGCTGAGGCAGTCCTTGTCCACCTTTGCTGCCCGCTTGTGCAGCCAGTCCGTCAGCTCGGGAATTCTTGCGAGCCAGCGTTTCGCGCGGGAACGAGCTCGCATCGCATCGCATCGCGTCGCATCGCATCGCATCACCAGATCACGACGCAAAAGCAATGCAAGACACCACACCCCCAGAGGGCCGAGCCGTGGACCCCAGCAGCGCGCCGAGTCTCCCTCCCTCCCTGCCTTGGCCCCAGACGAACGGCTCCACCAGCGCGCCCCGTGGCCACCCGCATCGACGGGATGGGTTCGGATGGGCCCAAGGCGTACGGTGCGAGATGCCTTGGTGCATGAAATACAGATCATCATTTGCAGCCGTCTTTTCTCAATCTCCGAAACGAAACTCTACCCGCAGACCCGGCGCTGGTCTACCATGAACCGCCCGGCACATGACCTGCGACGAGCGGTTCCAACAGCACGGCCGCTTTCCGCTCCTCCCAACGCCGCCTGCCGCTGCCGCTGCTGCTGCTGCTGCTGCTGCTGCTCACTCCCTTGCCGGACAGGCTGGCCAGCCGATAGGCCCCATGAAAATCCAATGAATTGGTAGCAGTTCTCTGTGAGACTGTGCCGGATCATGGCCATACTTCCACCATGCCGAATCGACCCTGCACAATTGCTCCAAGGCAAGATCTGCTGTGCGCTGTCGCGCTGTGCTGTGCCGTGGACTGCTTACGCCCAACAGCAAGCTGACACAGCAGAGGGACAGGCTGATGCAGAATGCCGCCTCAGCCCCTGCGGCTCCAGCCAGAATTGTGTCGGCCATCATCTTCCAGAGGGTACCTTCGAGCGCTAGCAGGCCAAGTGTTGTCTTGCTTTCCTTTCCTACCGCATCATACCGCATGACCTGGTTCACACGGCGATGGTCCCGGCTCCGCTCCAAGCTTCCTTGTGAGGATCCGCGGCGTTGAGTCCTCGGAGCCGTCCAAGGAACCCTCCGAAGATGGAATAAGACGAAAGGCTGCTATCCTTTGAGGCCGTCTCTCCTTCAGCCTTGCTGAAATGTCTGGGCTGTGTCTTACTCCCCTGCTCCATCCCGGGGAATGGAAGGCTCTTGCGAGGCAAAAAAAAAAACACTTCTGAATTGCACTACCTCGGAATGTGCAGTTGCCTCAGCAGTATTTTCACGCGCCCTTTGCGGAATCGCCTTCGCCTTCTCTTGCCAGACGCGCCGACCGATCGACGGGCGCTCACAGGGACAAGCCACCGGCTGGTGCGACCCTCTCCCGCCCACAGGGTCGCCGAGCTGTCGCCACTACGCTTGTGCGAGCCGGCGGCTTGCAGAGGCTGGCGGGGATCATACGACCGTATGCCGTGTGGCTGATGCCTTTGGGGCTGGACTCGGGACCAGCAAAAGCCCGGTAGCCTTCTTATTCAATCCGACAGAGAGCCCCATCGCAAGCGTCGGGCCTTTTGAACCAGCCAGAGGCATCCCCGAGTTACTCGCGGGATGTATGGCCTATATCCATCTGATCTATTAGGCTGGGGCTCGGAGTAGTCTAACTGTCCCATGCTCGTTGCTGCCTGTCAAACAATCTAGTGACCCTCCCAGACCCAAGTGTCCTGTCGAGATGATCCGTGGCCTACATGTCGGCCCTGCATGAACGGCTTTCCGATGGTGTAGAGGCTGTAGCATCTGCAGGGCCAGGTCGCCTAGGACTGGGCCACACCACCTTTTGCTCACCAAGCCCCCGGTCAACCCCCCAACATGCCTGCCCGCAGGATGCTGTGCGCCGGTTGAAACAACTTTATGATGTCGATGGATTTATTATCCACCATACATGGCACGGGGCACGGCTGAGGAGTTGGCATAAAGGTCGCCCACGTTTGACTATCAATGGCGCCAAATCGACACTGAGAGACATGCCATGACGCGGCACTTGGTCGCCGACCTCTCGTTTCTGGTTCTAAGACCAGGGGTAGCACAGAGACAAAGGCAGCCAGGCGCCTTGATCCTATCTTCAGCATTACACATCAGCCTCTTTTTTATTTCATTTTTCCGTCTTCTTTTCTTGCTTGCCTTTCTTTTGCTCCTTGTGTATATTCCAGATGCTTCCGTGGTTGCGGCCGCACGGGAAGATCGGGGAGTACGACCTTAGCATCCTCTCATACCACCCTGGCAGTAAGGCGATCGGACGACATGGCACGGCTTGATGCCTATTTTAGAACCTGTACGTCCTCTTATTCCACGGGTCTTTTTGGACAGTTGGTCACTGTGTATGAGGACAGCGGGTGGGTGGAGTCGGACGGTGTCACAAGAGAGAGTCAGAATCAGAGACCTCAAGATGCAAGTAGGCGCACCCGCACAGTATATGAGATCTCGCCACGCGTCTTTGGCTGTACGATAGAGACACTTCCTTCCCCTTTACTTTCCCTTCCTTTCCCCTCCCCCTTCATCTCGCTCTGTTGTCAGACAGCGGCACAGCAGGCAGGCGGGATGGTCACCTGGCAGGGAGACTGGCTCCCAAGCTCCCTATGCACGTACAAAATGTCGTGCTTGGCCATCTTGCTTGGGCTTTTCCTTGCTTGCAGATACGATGTGCTCGCGTGATATCCGTGTGTGGTGCGTGTGTCGCGCGCGCGCGCGTTTTGATGCGTATTGTGTGTGCCATTGTGTGCGCTGGAAGCCTGGTAAATGGTGAGGCCCTAGGCATTCGCTCATCAATTACACGACACAATCCCGAAGTTGCGTCCACTGTACGCAATAGAGTGTTACACCCACCGTCTTGGCCGGTCCAGTCAGACGGTCTCTTGCAGCATTACGCAATATATAGTACTGTTGATGTCTAGACACTCCCGTGACAGAGCCACTTGGACAAGGCAAAATCCTTGCATCGAGTAACCCTAGGACAATATCAACAAGCTCGAACAACCAACATGTACAACAATTAGATGTCATCCAAGACCAAGCCTCCCCTCCCCTCCTCACCCTTATCCCGGGGGGGCTATTGCAGCACGTTGTGAAACCCACCCAGTCCCCTTGAAGAGAAAAGAATGCGAGACCCAATGCAAGAATATGCAGCCTGCTGATGGTGGCCGATCCCTTCTTCCCCCCTTCTTTTGTGACCATGGAGGAGGGTCGGGTACAGCTTCCTTACGGTCCCTCCCTCTCATCCCTTCTGTCCCAAAAAAGGAGTAGGGCGTGTTGCCGGGGTCTGCTTTTTGAGATTATAATATGACACCTCGACCGCATTTCCGGGACCAAGACTTTGGGGCTTTTTTGTTGCCGCGCTGCCCCTAGTTCAGTGGCCCTCCCGCCCCCCCCCCCCCCATCATCGAGTGTCGTGGCGTGGCTGAATTCCAGTCGATCCAGAGCGTTAGAAGGAAGGCGTGGCCCAAGCATGCAGTAGTCGAACGGGCTTTGTGGATTT